TCTCTTTCATCCCCAACTTTACTTCCCTGTTTTTCTTGGAAGGTTTCAGATAACCCTTTTGGGAGCGACCATTTTCCTGTTTTTTTTAGAAAGTACTGTAGCACCTCCTTCACTTTCAACACGTATCCCCAGGTGGAAATTAGACAAAGCTGACTGGGCTCTTTTTGCATTGGAAGCAGTGCTTGACCCAACTGAACTTTTAGCTATGACTCCGGAAAATGCCACCTTGTACGTTACTGACCGTATCATAAATGCTGCTTCTGCCTCCATTCCACAAACATCTGAAAATCTTCCTAAGCGCTGCAAGCCGTGGTGGACCAAAGACTGTTCTGTTACGCTTAAACGTCAGAACAGGGCCTGGGGCACTTTCTGCTGCTACCCAACGGTCTGGAACAAGATAGAGTTTAAAAAATGTAAAGCAAAGGCTCGTTGGACAAGGAAATTAGCTAAGAAAAGCTCATGAATGAAATATGTTTCCAAGGTGAACAGTTTTGTCACTACTAAGGAGGTGTGGGATCGAATGAGGAAATTTCGGGGTAACTACCTCTCTTTTAGGACGCCTCTTTTTCCCTCGGCTTCGCCAACCTTGAAAGGCCAGGCAAATGTTCTTGCGGAACATTTTTGTGAAGTGTCCAGCTCGTCTAATTATTCGGCAAAATTTAAGAAGTTGAAAGCTGTAGCAGAAAAGCGGCCAATTGCTATGTCAGGATCAGACACTCTTGTATACAACCAGCCTTTCACAATGTGCAAACTGAAGGTGGCCCTTGGGTCAAAAAAGCAGTCGGCACCTGGTCCTGACACAATCCACTATGAAATGTTGCGGCACTTGTCTCCTGAATCTCTAGGCCATTTGTTAACCTTTTTTAATCATTTGTGGAGGGCTTCTGCCTTTCCTCTGTGCTGGAAGCGGGCACATATAATTCCTCTCCTAAAACCCGGAAAAGACTCTACTCTACCAGCAAGTTACCGTCCCATTGCAATGACCAGTTGCCTTGGGAAAACTTAAGAAAAACTAATAAATAGACATTAGTACACTTTTTAGTGACTGAGGGAATTTTTGATCCCAATCAGTGTGGGTTTAGAATGGGGCGATCAACTTTGGATCATCTTGTTTGCCTGGAAACTTTCATATGTGAAGCGTTTGTTCATCGACAGCACTGCGTTTCGGTATTTTTTGACCTAGAGAAAGCATATGATACTACTTGGCGTTATAGGATTCTAAAGGACTTATACACACATGGTGTCCGTGGCCGCATGTTGCGCTGCATAAGGGAGTTTTTGACAAACCAAACTTTTCAGGTTAGGTTTGGTTCCACACTTTTGGATGTTTTTCCTCAGGAAAATGGCGTCCCTCAAGGGGCTGTATTGAGCGTCACTTTGTTTGTGGTGAAAATAAACAGCCTTGCTGCAGTGATACCTCCATCAGTTTCATATTCATTATATGTAGATGATGTGCAGATTTCCTTTTCGTCCTGCAATCTCTCAAGTTCCGAGCGCCAGCTTCAACTCTCAATAAACAAAATGAGCAATTTTGGGCCGATGAAAATGGTTTTAAGTTTTCATCTGAAAAAACAGTGTGTGTGCCCTTTTCACTATCTCGTGGTCTGTTGCTTGATCCTTGTTTGCAGCTCAGTAGCGCTGCAATACCTGAAAAATACGAGCACAAATTTTTAGGGGTTATTTTCGACAAGAAACTTACCTTTCTGGCTCACGTCAAGGAGCCGAAGCAGAAATGTTTGCTGTCGTCTAACATTCTCAAAGTACTTTCACACACATCCTGGGGGTCTGACAGGTGGTTCTCATCCGATTGTACAGCTCACTGGTCCGTTCCCGTCTGGACTATGGTGCAGTTGTGTACGGATCAGCACGGCAATCTGTCTTAAAAAGGCTGAATCCGGTCCATCACCTTGGCCTTCGACTTGCCACAGGAGCATTTCGGACATCGCCTGTTTTGAGCCTGTATGTAGATACACATCAAATGTCACTAGAGAAGCGCAGACAATATCTTAGCTTGTGTTCTGGGTACAAAGTGAAATCTGATCCTCTGCATCCCTCAAACAACTCGGTTCACACCACCATGTTTTTACGGCTTTTTGAAAACAAACCTAGCATAATACGCCCATTGAGCTTCCGACTTCAGAGCATTTCTGCCTCCCTGTAGCTGGCTCTTCCTGAAATTGACTTGATTAAGGAAACAAGCTGTTGCCCCTTGGAAGGCAGTAAGATTGTCATGTGATTGGTCGCTTACAAAATGTAACAAAAGGTCAGTTAACCATCAGGTTCTTCACAAGGAATTTCTTGCATTACAAGAGAAATATCAAGACTATGTGCAATTTTTTGCTGCTGCTGCTGAGCTGCTGAGCTTTTGCTGTGCTGAGCTTTACGCTGTGCTCATGGCGCTTGAACACATCTTAGAAGACCATGTGAGGAAGGCTATTTTGTTCGCAGATTCCCAGAGTGCTCTACTGGCGATATGTTCTCTTAGCGTTACAAAGAATCGCCTCGTTCAACAAGTGCGTGTCCAAATGAATCGCACTCTCCTACTTGGCCTTGATATAAAACTATGCTAATGTCAAGCCATGTAGATATTCCAGGTAATGATACATCAGATAGATTGGCTGCCTCTGTTAATGGTGGCCTAAAAGCATTGGTCAGCCTACCCTATGAGGATTTTAAACCAGTCATTAAAAAATCACTTTATGAACTTTGGGAGTTAGAATGGAATCAAGAAACAGACAGTAAACTATGTATTATCAAACCTTGTTTACGATTATGGGAGAGTTCCCACCAGAGGAACCGGTTCCACGAGGTCTTGATGCGCCGCTTGCATATTGGGCACACTCGTTTAACGCATCTATATTTACTTTGTAATGATGATACTCTGCGCTGTGAGCATTGTGGCAAAACGTTGACTGTCCTACATATTCTGTGGCACTGTAGGTACTTGGATCAAAAACGACAAGCATGTTTTTCCACTGTTTTTAGATCCCATCTTCCATTTCATCCCAAATTTTTGCTAGGAAATGAACCTCTTGTACCTTTCAGTAAAGTTTTGGAATTTCTTAAAATAACATTCTATCGACACCTGTTATAACCCCTCCTTTTTCACCATGCTTTTTTTTTTTTTTTCTTGAGATAATTCCTTGTTGATTATAACTTTTATACTTACCTGAAATTCATATCCATATCTTTTACACGATTCATGTTCATGCTTTTATTGCATCACCAGCTACTATAGCTCTGTCTTCTCCTTAACCCTTTTCCTGCAATAGTGTATGCACCTGGCGCATTTTGGCCTAGTTGCTCTCGCACCATAAAACTCCAATCAATCAATCCCTTGGTGGGCTTTCTTTCAAAAGGAACCCCGGTACGTGAAAAATCTGCCGCGAAAGAAAGTTGAAGAGAAGTGAGCTAAAGCAAAGAAAGCAACGTCTGTACGCTGAAGCCGCACAGCTCGCTTGTTTGTCTGAGTTTAGTCATTGCACAAAGCGCTCCAAGAACTTTTTGACCCTGGCTCGCGATGTCTTGTATTGATGCGCTCAAGTTCTTTTTTTCTGTTTGTTTAGCCTGTACCTCGCCCGCCGGCCTAGCAAGCACGTGCCACTGGACCGTTTTTTGTTGTTTGCTGGGCAATTACATTTTGCATACAATTTTGAGAACCAGTTGGCGACCGAGCGGAGTGGCATGGTTTCGGTTTCGATCGAACGGTCGTCTCCGCTCACGCGACGAAGCACGTGCAACTGCAAGCCTGCCGAAGTTGCCCTCACGTGCATGCGAGCATGATTGCACGACAGAGGCACCAGCCGTGACGCTTGCAATCCATTTCTTTACGTTTGCTTACTTTTGACGAAAATCTGACACGTCTGGAACCAGTAATGCGCTGGCAAGCGGTTTTTCGGAATTGCTCGGCAATGCCCATGGCACTGTACACTTGTGGGATGTCTCTATGTCTCTTTGGAGACATTGAAAGTGGACATTCGATACTTGCCAAAGGCAAAGCGAGGCTTGCAGCAGCTTTGCAGAAATTTTCGAAAAACAAAAAGAAAAGCGCCCGCTAATCGTAATGCACCCTTGTGTATAATATCGCATTGCACTGTCGTAGTTACGTGTTTTATCAGTCGGAGAGTGTTTTAATTTATTATATAACTAGTCAACCTAATGCTGTGATATTTATTACTAAGAATAAATTTTAATATGTGCAGTTTGGTTTTTATTTATTTATAGTGGGTAACATATATATGTATCATTTAACTGAAGCATTGCAAAATGTGTCATGTCATTGGCGTTTCAGTTAACATGTTGAAAGACTCCCGGGTGGTATAACTTGACCATAATTTGTTTATTGCGGTGAGCAAAGTGCTTTTCATTTGCCCAGCACTTAAAACAAATTTTTTTTTCTTTCTAAGATTACCTGCTTTAACAGCCACTTTTGCTGCTCCAGAACACTGTTTGGCTGCTCCAAAAGCCATGTTTACTGCTCCAGAACATTGTTCTGGCTGCTCCAAAGTGCTCCAAAGCAGTTTTGGTTGCTCCGAAAGATGCTCGAAAAAGATGCACACGACTTGCTCCTACACTCATATTGGGTCGCGGGGTCTGCAGCCTTTACAGTTCGCCAAGTTATAGTGCAATGGAGGGTAGTGAGAGCTAGGGTCACTAAATAAGCTACAATTAAAGAAACGACACTCCAGCTACCTTGGTCCTTAAAATTGTGGTAGCCAGTTATCTGAAGCTTCGTCTGAAATCACAGGAAATGCTTTTTCATCCTCCAGACATGTTCAAACAGTTTGCGACAGAGCAAGATGATTTCACCTGAGCTTCCTAACACCACATCTAAAGCTGAGGAAGTTCCATTTTTTTAACTTTGACGATCGACAGTTGCATCAGCTCTGCACTAAACACCAAGATGGTGGCGTCCACTAGCAGATCGGCTCTAAGCGTAGCTCATTTAGTGGCTTTAACGAGAGCATAGTGGCTCAACTTTGCTTTGCACGATCTTTCAGTGCCTACGAGGTCGGCAAAATCCATGTCTCAGGTGGTCGAGCCAAGTGGCTTGACAAATGGACGCCACCACCCGTCGCTCAGGAGCCGGGTGGCTCATGCCAGGGTCATAGTGTCGTCGGACGACGACATGAACGAGGGCGAGGACGACGACAGCATGGTGCGTCGGAGCAAGCGGCGTCGCAAGTGCATTTACGACAACTTGAACCAGTCGTGGATCCTCACCTCGAACGTCCCAGAGTTCGTCAAGGTGCGCCGTCTGTGATCCTTCCCGTTCACGAACATACCTTTATGAATGCCTTAAAAAAAAAAAAAAAAATTGGGTTGTGTGTATGTTTATACAGCCTAGAACTTGGTCTGCCTCGATGGCGACGAGTCTCTCAGTTGTAGATGAGCAATTTAGCCAGTGCAGTACGACCGCTAGCCTGGGGTCTTTAACGTGCACCACGCAGTAGTAATACACGACTGCACGCTGGTACGATGCTCATCCAGATCGAAATGGGCAGGGGTGGGGATTGAACCCAGGATCTTGGGTTCTGCAGCACGAGCTTTCGCTCCACGTGCTCCGAGCTGGTGTGCTGTAGCCCACTCGGCCACCGATCCCCCCGAATGCCTCAAGATTTAGGAGACCATAGTTTTCTTTCGGTATCGACTGGGGCTCCAACTTGTTTTGAAGAACACTGCCTTCGAACACTGTGTTTAGATTGTGTTCTTGTGGCACAAGTTCAACCTGCAGGCCCTACAGATCCCAGACAAAAACGTGCACATATGCGGGGCCTTTTCCCCCCTCAAAACGCTGCCAAACGTTGCGGCACGCCTCAGATCTCTGAAAGAGGGGGCGTGTCGCGGTGCTTGGTCACACTTTTCATAGGAAATAATGCCACGCATGATTGCAATTTTGGGTTTACTAGGGTGCTTAGGAAAGAGGGGCATGTTGCAATGTTTGCATCTTCATTGGGGAAAGAAGGCCGTACGAAATTGTGATGCTTGGTTTTCTGAGATGCCTAGGGCGCGTAGGTTGCGTCTGTGCCATAGAAAGACAATGTCAAAATTCACTCTAGTGCCCACTCTAAGGCAACGACAATTAGACCCTTTTTCAAAGCTGCACTCCATCTATCCCCTGTTGCAGAATTTTTATCTTTATCTTTATTTTTAATTTTATTTTACTTCTGGGCTATGAAAAGCATATCGCCCCACATTGTTCAAGCTGTGCCGCTTGTGTAGATGTTTGAGTTGAGTCATTGCATTTCATGTGTTTTCAGATATTTCTATAATAATTGTTTCTATTTGTTTTTATGATGATGGCTGTCTTGTTATTTATTATCACTGTGACTTGTTTGAAATGTTATTTCCGCCGTATGAACTGCAGGGGGCAGAGGCGCTGTCAGGCATCATGCCTTTATCTCTGCCCCCTCTGCGGATGAATGAAATCCTCAAAACAAATAAAGAAAAAAAACCAAAGAAAAGCTGACTAAGCTCCTGTTGCACAGCCCTCCACTCTTTCCAGCTTAGCATAGCGAACACTGGAAAAAAGGCGTGCCCCCCTCGCCACCTCTCCAGCGTTTGCTCACTTAAATAAAAAGAGGGACGGGTGTCGAGAGAGCCTTGTCTTGCTTTTCTTAAACCTGCAAAAGGGCAGTTTAGCTTTACTTTAGGCATGCATTTTGAGCCTAATATTGGACAATAGTGCTGCGTTTGGCATGAGATTCAATCAGATCACACCCAAGAAATGGCGACTACCAATGTTGCTTGCTGAGGTTTTGCAAAGGGTCTCTCGTACAGATTAAGAAAATAGAAATCAATGCGAAGAGTCGCATCATTAGTGCATCATGAGCGTAGAATAATGGAAACAATAAATATCCAGTCTAAAATGAGAACACCAAAATTCTTAATTTGGCGCCCAGGAAGAAAGCTCAAAGCGGCATGTTCGAAGAGTTTGAATTTACAGAGACCAGCATCATTCTGTCACGAGCACCTGAATGGGAGCGATGTCGTACGACGATGGAATGTGGCCTTTGCAGGCTTCGGCGGAGCGGTCGTCAACGAGGTCCAAGACCAACTCTGCTCCGTTCCATCACCTCCGCAGCAGCGTCACCCACAACATCTGTCCTGTCGGAGCCAACGTGAGTGTTGCGTTCCTTCGCCTCTCCAGCAAGAATGATGCAAGTTTGTTGTAGTGAGTTTCCCGTGCCTGAAAGTCATCACTTGGGAGGACTTTTCATTACTCAACCTGTTGACGGACTGCTGCCGGCAGTTATGAGCCTAATGCTGCCCCTGAGCTTTCGAAAGAAATTTTTATTTCTGCTCTAAAGCTTTGTATCGAATGGAAAGCATGAAAGAAAACGGGTACGCTGATGTCTCGTTAATGTGGACACCTCTGCTCCCCAGCAAAGCTGCTCATAATGCGAGTCAACCATAATAATGAGTCAAGGTCAAGATTACGAATAATAAACAAGCGCTGCCATAAACGAATTCATGCCGAGGTCCGCGATCGCTTCACACCTGACAGTCTTGCCTTCTCCTAAATGGTGGGGGAAGCGTCCTGCTTTTACTTTTACGCTTAGTCGGTACCACATCCACGGCTGTGATGCAGTTAGGGAGAGAAGGGCAAGTGGCCCGTTTGGCCGGAAAGCCCCCTGAAATTCTAACCATTGTTGGTGCCCAGGCCTTTATTTTCTTTTTCGGTAAGAGCAACAGACAGACAGTAGTGGAGCTCCGAGTGTACTGTGTGACTCGAGGGCTTCTGTCCCCAATAACGAGGCAAATATTCAAATCTTTGCAAATCTTGTCGCCATACTTAAAGGGGCCCTGCAAGGACTTTTTACTGTCTTTTAATTTGCACCGACCTTGAGCGCACTGAACGTAGTAACTTAGTGAAACTTTTTTTTTCGCGAAATTCGCTTTATTTTCAAAGTTATAGGCAATTTAGAATTACAAAAACAAGCAAAAAATAACCTCCTTCATGACGTCGTACGTCCTGGCTTGAGTGGCCGTGAACTAGAGGAGGAATGTTGAGCTCATCGAGTACTCACGGCCGCCGCACTTCGTGTCGACGGCGCCAGAGGGCGCCACTAAAGCATGTTCTGGATAGGCTGTATGCAGCGGGCAGCCAAAGTGGCTTTCATTGCGTTTGCTGCGCGATTAGACACTAATTCGGCATGACACTTCATTGGCCACAAACGACAGCAAACACGAGGTAAAGACCAGTTCAGAATTGGAGTCCACTTCACGCTGCCGTACCGTGAAATTGCCAAAACGCAAGACAAAGCCTCTAGCCGAAGGCCTTCGGAACGCTCGGAGCCGGTCGGATCCTCCTGCCCATACGACTGCAGCGCCACCGCGTGCATCCGGGATTTTTCCGTGTCGGTGCCTTATCCCACTACTCCTTTCTAGTATGCGCCGCCTTTTCCACCGCTTGGCGGCGGGTATGTTGACGGGTCATTTCTTGTTTCCGTACTTTATAAACTGCATTTCTTTCTTTTTTTCATCTATAATAGTGAACAAAAACTACTTTTAGAAATCATTGAAACGGTTTGCGCCACTTATATTTTCTATTTCGACCAAAAAGAAGTTTTTAGTGGCTCTGACCAGTAGTAAGCCCAGGACCAAAGACGCGCTTTCGGTACCGCGGGTCGCCCTCGTCGGTGGAGGAGGTTTCCGTGTCGTCCGGTTAAAATATGGCGCACTGATATTTAGCTACTCTTTCCGTGCCCGCTGGCTTGCCCGAACCCCAAGAGACGTGGAAACCTCATAAAAGGTAGACGCTTAAATATGATTGCAGGGCCCCTTTAATAGAGTAGATTCTGAGGGGGACGGGACATCGGTGGCCAAGTGCGGTAGTGCGCTGCAGCTGTTAGTGTGTGGAGCGAAAGCTCGTGCTGCAGAACCCAGGGATCCTGGGTTCAATACCTATCCCTGCACGTTTCGATCCGGATGAATATACAGCCGGCGTACGGTCATGTATCACTACTACGTGGTGCACATTAAAGACCCCAGGCTAGCGGTTGAACTGCACCGGTTAAATTTTTCGTATACAGCCGAGGCACCGGACGCCCACAAAGGCAGACTAACTTCCGGTCTCACCTTAACGGGACACAACCGTACTTGTTTTCATCAACATTCAGGGCCGAAAGGGTCGAAGTAGATGCAATTCAGCTGTGGAAGTCGGTTAAGTTGGCATCACCTTTCAGGACTCCCGGATGTTGGACGGAGATAATGAAGACAGCCTGGAGTCTAAGCAAAGCCATGACAAGTCTGGCAGCAGGGAACTACGCCAGCTGGAGCCCCCCGAGATGGCGGGAACGGTGGGTGCTCCCTTTTTCGCTTGAGCTTTCTTACGGTCGCACACACTTTGACCATATTCAAAGCCCAGGCCAATGATGACCTCACTCAGCCACGGCAAGGGATAAGCGAACATTGGTGACCGGGAAGGACTGTCTTTGGTTCATTGTCAATTTCCCCCCTACCTGTGTGGTCGCAAGTTTCACAGGTCACAAAATTTAAAAACAAGCATTTTTGTTTTTACTTTATCATTCATAGAAAGTTAGGTTACTTCTTATTTTCACCCGATTTGCTTTCGAATTTTTCGATTTGCTTTCGATTTATCTCTTGGGATATTACGGTGTGCGTCGCCGAACGCTCATTCTCCGCCCGAATGCTAGCAGTCTGAACCAGATGCCAAAGTTTACAACTAATCTTTGTCTTGTTAAAAAAAGATGCAAGTGATATTCTCAATGTTGCAATGGAAAAATGGGGCCTGTTTTTGCCCGTTTTCAGTAACTGTTGCCATTCAGCTGTATTTCTTCAATAGCTCTGTCGGCTGCCATTTTTCCATGGAACATTTAGGGAGATTATAATGTTTTAATAAGGTAACGGCTACTGTCGAGACCGCTTATAACGAAGTCAGTTATAACGAAATAGCCGCTACAGCGAAGCGGTCATGATTTGCCATTCCCTTTTATACTTCGTTATAACCGAAGTCTGTTAGAGCTAGAGTTCTGAGTTTTCGATTTTTAATTTTTCGAAATTTGGAGTACTTTTTTCGGTGTTTATTTTAAATTTCAATTTTTGTTTTTTTCGGTGTAGTATATTTATTTCCAGAAAAGTTTACCTTTTTTTTTTTTTTTTTTTTCGGTGAATATGAAAGAAACACCATTAGACACCGGATCAGATGATCCTTGTAGCTGTGATATTTGTGATCACTGAAAGAATAACCACACAAATACATGCGTGGTCTTCGCTACAACTTCCGTCAGGACACGCCTAAAATCGCGGAATTCGCGGGCGTAATCTTCAGCGTGCTTCTTTTTCCTTTCCATTCTGACGACGTGACCGTCCGAGGTGATGACCGTACAGAAACCAGCGGAATGGCGAAAGAAAAAAAAAAATCTATTGTATTTGTGTTCTCAACCATGGGTAAGTTTGAGAGAGGTTGTTGAGAAAGGTATTTACCGCTTTCCTCGATGACCTCTGAAGTGCATGAAGCGAAAAACCTTATACTAGCCCACATCCAAACTTTTTTTTTTAGGGCCGGGAACTTGACACATTAAGCCCGATCACAGAAAGGACACAAATGTCCTGTGAAGGCCAATCCAAGACCTCTTTTGTTGCACGTTGGACCTTGGAAGAGGGTAATCACGAAGACGTCGCACAATGTCGAACTTTGCAAAGCGCTCTCTCTCACTCCCCCCCTCCTTTCCCACCCACCTCGACGCGGCCCTAAAAAACTGACCTTTTTCGGTTGAAACCGAATTTTCGAAAATGGATTTGGCGTACGTTGATCGGTTTTTATCGGTTTGAACCGAAAACTCCGAACCCTAGTTACAACGAAATAGCGGATATAGCGAAGTGATTTCCGATTCCCGTTGACTTCGCTATAACCGGTCTCGACAGTAGTTCTCGGAACTTTGGCTTCTGGCTCGGATTGCCCTCAGTACATTAAAGGGACACTGACAGGGTATTTATGTTCGCCGAGGTTTTCATTTGTACATGACATAGGATAGCCCGACTACCCAGAAAACAATTTGCGGCTCGAAACTCGTTTTCTTTCCGCCCGACAACCGCCGATCCAGAACTGGCCGATTTGAGTCGCCCTCACTCTTTTCTGTGGTCACGGGCCGTTTTCTATGGTTTAGACACGGCCACCAAATATAATCAAAGTCGTGGGTCACTGAAGGCGCACACACAGTGTTAAAGGTGGACCAGAAACATGATACCCACTTCTTTTTTGGCTTCTAGAAAGCTGCAAATGCGTTTGGCGGGAAAAAAGTATCGCAGCCACGTGACTTCCGCCACCTCTCTCCTCCTCTATACCTCTCCTTCCTCCCCAGTCCAGTTTAGGTTTTGAGCAGTTGAGTTTTTGAGTTTAGTAAAGATATATGTGATGCTGTAGAAAAATATTGATTGGGTAGTCTCCTGACATCATAATGAATTGGCTGGGAAAAAAGTAAAAAATAAATTTTGGGGCGTGATCAGTGTCCCTTTAGGCAAAGAGAGAGTGTTCAGCGATGCATAGTTAATTTTTCCTGTGGAAAAATCTCTGTAAATTTTTTTTGGGGTGACACCTTGTATTTTATTTTTTTTAAAGTTTTCCTGGTTGCTGTGCTGTGCCATAGCTGATTGGTTTACCACGCAACTTGATTGATATTAAAAATGCAGGAAAGGCTGTCGAATCATTCAAAGCATTCTGTTGGGTAACAAAGATGGAGGTCCTGAAACTGATGGGATCACTACTATTTATTTAAACATAGATTGACTTTTGCTTATTGTAAAATTCTGTGAGGAGCGCTACTCCACTTTCACTGTAATCTCGGTTAATCTGGGCACGGGCGTTCGTCCAGTCAAATCAGGCGCTTAACGTATAACTTGCAGAATTCCCAGGTTTGGGAAATGTTAATACTGGGTGCTACTGCGGTATTTTACGGTAAATCTTTTTTAGGCACATAAGATGCGGAGATGACCTGTTATCATAACCAAAGAAATTTTGACCTATTGTAGTGAACAAAAATGGTAGAGCTAATTGAGATGATCCGCTTCGTTAGCTGTTTCCCCAAGCATGTAGGTGCAAAACTTGGCTCGAGGGTGGAGCACAAGTGCCTTTGCACGGAGTCGCATGGTCGTTTATTCTGGACGTTTCGACGGTTACATGGCCTGTGCAGTCCGAGTGAATTTTAGCTAGGGCGACAAGGGATGTCCTTAAACAAATGTTTGAACAAATATCCTTTTCTTCCACTCTAAAATTTAGGCTTTTGGGTTGACCTACATTTGTTTATTTTGCTTCTTCTGATGGCAGGGGTTAACCTATATTTAGGGTTTGCCCATATTAAAAGTGCACTAAAGTGGTTTCTGAGATTATCTTTTTATATTACAGTCTGGATCTACATGCCTGGAGCATCCTAGAAAACCAAGAACTGCATTGTGACATGCCCCAATTTCTAATATATACCTTGTAGAAAAAAGCAAAGAAAAAAAAAAAGGCTTGAAGCCCTTTTACTGCCAGTTCTTTTTTTTTTTGGCATGGGTGCACAATTTATTTGAGTTATTTTTCCTGCATGTTGAATGCAAATTTCACTTCCAGTAGCATAGTGGCATGTTTTATAAAATATATTTGCTTACCAAATACACAATTATTTCTGGGCACTATGTTAATTAATGTCGGCATGCCTCCAGTGGAGGACATTTTTCTCGGACTGTACTTTTCGAGGCACAGTACTACATATAAAAAATGGTACCTTTACCTTGTAACTGGGGACATTTTTTTTTTTTTTTTTTTTTTCAGTGGCCTTATTCTGCATTTTTTTTTATTCAGAACTATAACTTCCTCTTTATCACAGTTGTTGAGTTCAGTTTGTTAGTAATTTGTAGATCTCTTTGTTTGCTGTGAAGTTCAAGGTAAAGATTTATCATTCTGGAACAGTGAAGGAGCTAACCAAAATATAAATTGAATAAAAAAAAATGTCCACTTGTTGAAAACAGGTGACACAACAAGACAAGAAATTGGCTGTTTGTTTGATCATTCTGCCAAACACGTTTAAATACGGTAGCATTATAGGGTGGGCGGCGCTTTTAGTTTGGGCGGTGCCTAGGGCGGGATGACCCTTAACCTCTGTGTCTGGGGTGGTGCCCAGAACAGAGTTTTGTATGGAAACAGATTGTGTTGCAGCATTGCCTCTTCGTGATGCTGCGCACACTTCCCTTCAGCAACACTCGGATACAAAGCGTTTCAGCCGAATTTTCGGGGTCGCCGAGAGAGGAAAAACGTGCTTTCCTGACCTTTCCACTGTTCCTCATTCTGCACGCTCTTCGTACACCACCTGGTTCTGCTCCTCCTGTCACTGCGTGCTGGATCCGTAGCACAGTCAGCAGCTCGCTCGGTTCCCACATTGGTGATGGGGGTTTGATTCCTGGTACTGCTTGCCGTTTTTCTCAAGATCGTTTAGCTGTTATGGACTGACCAACCTACACATTTTGTTGCCTATGCGGCTCCAGAGCTTGATTAGCCCTATAAAGCTACTGCCTTAAAAAGTAAACCATGTAACGAGTCAGGCACGTAGCCAGGGGGGTGGCCCATGGGGCCTGGCCCCCCCCCGAAATCTTTCATTTTGCTGGGGACTTCTCTCCCCCCTCCCCCTCATACAATCATACAACATTTTGTCATGGGTGGCCCCCCCCCCCCCCCCCCCCCTCCCCCCCCCCCCCGAAAGAAAATCCTGGCTACGTGCCTGTTACGAGTATACTTAGGCATGGCACTATAAAGGTTAGTGGAGAAAAAAGACCAGGTATAAACATAACTTTGGGCCTCTCGGGATGCATAAATTGCATAGACTGAGTTATCGTCATATAAAGACAAATTCAACCTCCATTTTAGTGCCCACTTAGAAAATTCGGCAGAGACACTTAAAACTGCTCACGTGTGGGAGTGCAAAAAGCATTATAGTCCCTTTGGTGAAATGTTTTCGATTGATGTTTTCAACATGCATCATAGTTCTTTTTGCTGATTCGGTGTGTGTGTGTGTCTGCGTATATGTCGGCCACAGACTGGAAACATTCAAACTATTTTACTGCAGGACGATGAATTTTATTGGGTTCCCTTGCTTCTTCTTTTGAGGCGTAATTCCGTGGGCGACGATGTTTCGCAGCTGCCGCTGAGGTAGAGGCTTCACAGTGCATCGCAGTAGAGACAGCACCGATGAAAATTCGAAGGGCAAGTGACGCGTGGGAGGCAGCGCGCTAATTTTTTACACTCATGAGGTGGCTTCACAACCTCCCCATTGGCTGCGCCGTCACGCGCCCAATGACGCAAGCACTATGCCGCACCCTTAGTGAGCGAGATGGCTGCGACGTGACGTGTGCAATGATGCACACACTAGGCACATCAGCCAGAACGTGGAGCCGCTGTGGAGTCGGGGAAGCATGCTTATCTTGTACCTTGGAGGCCCGAGTTCGATTCCCCAACCCAAACCAAAATGTACCAAATTTTCTCTTCAAAGTCAATAATTTATTTTGTTTACAGGAACCTACCAGAGAAATTTGACGTCAATCCGAGCAGTTTTGGCCGTCGGACATTTTTGGTACCATTGCTCAATCACGCCGCCAAAGTTTTCTGTAATGGGGCAGATAATGCTTTTGCATTAAAGGACACTGTACTAATACAACATATTTCGCCGCGTCATCCTCTTTGTCTGCAGTTTTCGGACGACATGTATTCCCGGGTGAAGCGCACGCGGCAGCAGCACCGGGACGCGGCCCCTCCCACGCGGTCCTTCTTCAAGTCGGGCCAGTCCTCTAGGCGGAGCAGGCGAGGGGACCGTGGGGAGGCGGGAGAGGAGGGTGGCGAGGGTGCCAGCGACACTGATGGGGCCCAGGGGAGCTCCGACGCAGAGGTGACTGAGCTGGGGGACACGGAGGATGAGGGGCCACTGCCCACCATGAACGGCTACCACCTCCGGCCCAAGAAGCCAGTCACGGAGCGCTTCCAGGTGCCTGTCGGTACGTTTATGTCTAGGTCTTTCCTCGTTCTAACAGGACGTGTTCCATGGCTCGTTACGAGAAAATCATCTCGAACGAGCGTCGTGAACAACCGCCATGCCAACAGTGCTGCGCGACCCCTGTGGGGCTCGAACCTTGGTCGGTGCGAGGGCTGTCGAATAGATACTGCAGCCGCTGAGCTGCGTGGCATAGCTGCCCTGGAAGGGTAAATGATTTTGCTTGAATGCAAGCATGCTGGCTTGGGCAGTGCAGCAATTTTTGTACGTTTTACATATACCGCTTAGAAGGGATCCCCGACACTTATGACCCCTGAAACACGCATTGGTTTCTTCCCATGCAACGGTAGTTGCGGAAAAAATTAAAGAAACTCGAGCGGCCTGAACAAGAAGCCATGTCTACCTGGACCAATTATTTTCTGCCGATGTCTTTTTTTTTATTTATTATAGCCACACGTTGGAGTTGGCAAAGCTCAGGACATGTGCCTAGTTCCAGATATCGCTAGGGTTCGGCAATTATCGGCGTTGCAGCGATTGGACACGAGCCACTACCCAAATGCACGTGGAGGCGTCGATTGCGACTCGCCCAAATCGAGTGCTCGGGTTTAGTAGACTAGCCACATTCAAATATTGTCACTCGGGGCCTTATGCCAACACTGGGACTTCCGAGCTATGTCGTCAACTTGTGAAGGAGAGGTTGAAAGGGAACTCTTTTATTCTTGAAATTGTACCGCAGCTAGGAAGTTTCTTGGTCAGCGATGTTGTGTTCTAGTAGCACTTAGCTTGCTCATGTTGGTGTTAGATGCACCGTGGCAAGGACATGGGAGAGAGGGTCAGCATTGGGAGCGCAGGAGTTGTTTTGACATCATTGTGCCTGCAATCAATGGGATTGGACCATGCAATGAGGGGGTGAGAAGTGCGTTAACACTCTTTGTCCGGGACAACACTCTTCGGCTTGTAGTTTCGGCTTTGCTCCCGCATAAAGCGCAATAAACTCCAAGGGCCTCCAGGCTTCTAACCCCGCAGCATGGCATAAAACATGGAGAGGGTGTTACTTCGTTCCTGGGAATGTGTGTAAATCAATTAGAATGACGACGGTTGAATTTAAAAAAAAATGTATTTGGTCATTGTACACCCAATTCGTGTTATTCGTGCCCAATGCTTCGTGCCCTGTCGGTGCCATCCTTCGAAACAGCTAAAGTGGGGCGTCATTTCACTTCTCATATTTGTGGGCCAAGTGCCGTGGATATCCTCGTGTGACTTGTTTTCTCTTCTCACGTCGTCCAGAGGCAACAAAGCGGTCCAAGCGAATAACAAGCATCTTCCACACTCCCAAGCACAACCGGATGACGCCTTCCTTCAAGTCACCCGCCCACCGACCCATCTACAGGAGGTGGGTGCCGGGCGGGGAGAGGGTTTTCCTCAACCTGTGGAACACCTCTGCGCCGTTGCAATCACGTGAAAGACTGAACAGGACACATTTGGGAAGTGCCGCATTTTTCGGCCTTTGAATCTAAATTTTTCTAACATGCGCACCGTGTAAAGTGTGGCCGCCGGTTAAACTCCTAGCTTGCACCACGCAAACGACTGACGAACGTGCAGCCAGTCCGGCAGCTGTGACTGCTCGGTTCTATTACCCGGGTCAAATGGATTGTCAAAATTGAAGGTACCGCGTGAATCAGCTTCTTAAGGCATCGTGCTAAAATGTTTTACATACGTGGTCAAAGACTATTCATCTTGAGCATAAAACATTTCAAAGGACGAACTTACCCGAGTAAAAAGTAAAACGTTAAGAGCCTCATTTCGCTACCTGCCGCGTCTGTTTGGTGACTGAAGGCACAGTCCCCGATCTCCAATAGTAGATCATGTTTTTGAGTCGAACGTGGCTCAAGCTTTCTCGACAGAGTGCACAACCTTGTTTTTATGAACAAAACAAGGAAGGTTCTTTGTCGGGCTGTTTCGGATAGATGTCATCAGCCGCCGCCACCTCTCGGCCGTTGCGTCGCCCAGATTTCTTTGCAGACGACCGTCGTGAGTGGCAATTTCACATTGGTAATTTTTTTTGCTCTTCGTTCGGGTAAGCTCATTCATTTAAATTTCGATACACAAATTACACCCTTCGCAGCCACCTCCGTTCAATATCTTAGCTCGACACGTTAAGAAACCGACTCGCACCGTTTTTTCAAAAGGCCAACGATTCGTTTGACTCGTACGGAATCGGCATAGCAGAACAATCAACTTCAGTGGCCCGCTGGGGATGCTAAGGGGCGCATAAGTATTGCTGTTGACACTGACACTCAAAGGCACTGGGTGGCCGTACAACCAAAACTACTTTCTGCCATCCTCACCTCGTCGGCGGCCATAAAAACCTGTAGACGTCCTTTTTGCGTTATAAAACAGAAGTCTTCTCTTGCCTCCCAAGAGACTTCAGTCGCTCCGTTTTGGCGGGCCTTCCGAGCCCGTTGATATAGAAGTTCTTGGGACGGCGGAGTTCGACAGAAATCGCCAAGTCGGTGATTTGGCAGTTTCTGGTGCTGGGCTCTTCGACATATAAGAGGGAATCTGTCGTCTTACGGGAGTATTTAAAAATGCCCGGCAAATATCTCGCTAACCGGTCCATTAGCTAACCACCTGGAGAACTAGTCGTGAAGTATTTCACAGACGTCGCGAGGAGCGGTTACTGTGGTGGGGATTGTTTTTCCTGTCATCGACAGAAAGTTCACGGGAAAACAAAATGCAATGGTGCCTCCTTTCCGCACTTTTGTGAAAAAGGTCTGTATCTCCGCCGTCGCAGCAAGCGCCACGCCACGCACAACAGCTCGTCGACGAGCAGCTCGAGCGACGACGAGCGGCGGTTTGAGCGCCGCAAGGCACGCAGCATGGTGCGCGCCCGCAACCACTGCCTGCCACTGAACTTCCAGGAGAAGGACCTGGTCAAGGGGGTACTCCGGGACCGGGCCAAGATCGGTTGCAGCCTGGCCGACGTGGACCCCATGCAAGTGGACAAGGAGGTGAGCGCCCTTTCCCCTTTACGCCGCACGCTCGTTCGTCGGACCCCTTCCAAAATGCGGCGCCCATCCAGTGGCACACATATTGGTGTGACGGTTTTCGTGCCTACGGCAGTACAGCGAAGTACCAGTCGAACAAACCTCGAGGGACTCCGAGAACAAGTTTCAATAAGCGAAAGTTCACTCAACCGAATGCATTGGACTCGATAAAGTTTTGCTGGGGACTTTTACGGGGGATTGTTCATCTGGAAGTTAGTTAATCTGAAAGTTAGTTAATCTGAAAGTGAGTTTGTCTGAAAGTTTGTTCATCTGGAAGTTTGTTCATCTGGAAGTTTGTTCATCTGGAAGTTTGTTCATCTGGAAGTTTGTTCATCTGGAGCTTGTTCGGATGGTATTTCACTTTATAAGTGTATTACTTCAACAGCGGTGTCTCAATGCGTCTCCAACCGGTCTGTTTACTGTACCCTCAAGGGTTCCTCAAGCCCCCAAGTGAAAGCGTTATTCTAGTCGCCATTTCAACAAATCTGGGCCACCCGGCGATGCGTTACTACGAGCCAAACCCCATCCGATACATATACGGTGCGAAGGCGTCGTGCAAAGAAACGGTTGCTGTTTTTTTTCCCCCTTTGTTCTCTTTCGAAATCGAAGAGCTGCCATAAAAACTGCCAGGATGGCAGAAGGTGCTCTGGACAGTAAACAAAGAAAAATATTTTGTTGTCTATCGCAACCTTATTGCGTTGCCGCAGGGACCAAGAGGGGTTCGTCGGCTCTCGTTCGAGAGAGTTGGACGTTCTTCAAGTTTGAGAACACTCGCGGCGTGTGACATGTCCGGCTGATCGAATGTTCCTTTGGGACCGGTGACGTTCCGCAGGTGACGTTTGACCGCGTGGGGGGCCTGGATGGGCACCTGGAGCAGCTGAAGGAGATGATCCTCTTTCCCCTCATCTACCCGGAGGTCTTCGACAAGTTTAAGATCACTCCGCCCAGGGGCGTCCTCTTCCACGGACCTCCCGGTGGGTGGTAGCCTCCGTGCTCCGCTTCTGCCTAACTACAGTCGAGCCCGGTTATATCGCGCCCGGGCATTTCGAATTATTGTTTAAATCAAACAATCCAAACATCCCCTTGAAAACTACATGTAATACTATAGGAGCGTTGTGTTTTTGTATCAAACTCCCGTGGCGGGGATGCTCGAAATTGCAAATGAAGCCCGGCCACCCGTTGCTTTTCCTGCTATCCGATTGCGGCGGTGGTGAGCACAACGCTTGAGCACATTGCTTGTGTTGCAGGGCTGGCAGACTGCCAAGCCAGCATACACGCTCTAAGATGTGCAGCGAAAAAGCAGTTGTGAAAAAACAACAATGAATTGTAAAAAAAAAAAGAAGAAAAAAAACATTCAGCCTTTCCACTTTCGTGAAGAAGGAAGACCGGCGGAGCTGTACTCGATACACTGCGTGCTTCTTCGTCGTCGTCGTCCGTTTTTCACGCTGTTTCCTACGATGAATTCCCACCAATGCGCCCAACTATCCATTCTTCTATTATAGCTGAAAAGGTTGGCGCCATCTACAAGCGACAACGGAAACCATGCTGGTTGTGTGCTTGCTGCCGTCGCTAATAGATGGCGGTAGCTGTCCATCTAGGTTTGTGTCTGCATACACAGACGCGATCCTGGGAATCCTAGCCCTTAACAGCTCCGCTGTAAAAAAGTGGAGGATGTCAAAAACAAGGGGAAGGGCACACGTGCGCACAAGTAGGGAGAGCAGGGAGTGCTTGCTGTCCGAACAGCAGTCTGCACCCTTTCCCCAAACACTGCTGATGCTGCACGACTCCGTAGCCCCAAAATAAGATGAGCAAAAAAAAATGACCGTATCTCTACGTGGTGATAGATGTTGATTGGGGCGAAGCTCTGGTGGTGCTTGTCTGCATATACGGTGAGCCGCAGCATGCCGAGCCCTTCGTTCATTTTCATCCATGTCAGAAAGAGAATGTGTGGTATGGAACGTGGTTATATACGCATTAGAGCATTTGACTGCAGCGCCCTCTCGTCTATAAACGTTGAGCCAATGCATGCAAAGTTTAACGCGATTATATACGCATTTGACCCCAGCGCCCTCTCCTGCATGGACAGTGAGCGGCTACATGCAACGTTTCATCCATGACATCCCCAGCTCTTGAGTTACTACCACATCTCGGATCCCCCTACTCATCCCGCAGTCATGACCCATCCTAAAGCCCGCCATTTTAACAGCTATCTTATCCTTCAATGTTTCGCCAGCCACCTTCACGTTGAAACATGCGACGTGACTGGCACTCTCGCTATCGGCGCACTCGGGAAAAATAGTCAGGATTTTGCCGCACCGATCATCAGTTAGTTGTACTGCTCGTTTTCCATTGCAGCTGTACCAGGCCATATATTTAGCGACGAAAGTGGAAATACTGAGGGTCTTGAAGGATGGCGTCTTTCGACAACAAGTGACTGAAAGTTACGACTGTGAAGAGAAGCGCTGTGGCCACATACATGAAAATTGAGGCCGAGATCCTACAGGCTTTCGAGAGCGAGAAGCTCAACGCGAAAAGAAAGTGGCTCTGGAAGGTGGTTTACTGGAAACTAAATGAGGCGGTGCTGTGCTAGATCGTCAGCACACGGGATGCGTAGCTCTGACAGTGCGAGTGCGGTGGAGCACTCGACCGCACAAAGGAAAGTTGCCGTCTCCGCCCAAATGTCGTCCAGGAAGCAGGTGGCAATAACAGATTTCTTTACAAAATAAAGGTATGTTACAGGGAATCGTTTTCGCGCTGTTTTTTTTTTTTGTCCTTCCAATATTTCGACTTTCGGATAGTTCGGACATTTTTGCCGGTCCCGTGAGATCCGAATTAACAAGGTTTTACTGTATTGGTATATCAAACTTTTTACGATCTTCTTTGAATGTGGTATATCCGGGTTCAACTGTATGTTGCCCGGGGTGTGTATGACTGTACCGCATCCTCGGAAAGTAGTTCCTCGATGGAACTACTTTCAAAGCACTGTGTCGTCGCCCGCCGCAATCCCGGTGGTGGCAGAGGCAGATGCAACATACGCCCCTTCTGCTGCAAGTCACCGTGGCTAGACGGTCGACGGAAACCAAAACGGACGCGATGCTGAACGCTGCGACGACGGTAACCCTTCTGTTCGCTCGCTTTTTTTCTCTCTAGCATTTCTAGACGAACTGCCAGGACTGCAATGTCCTATGGCGCGAAGGACGCTAGGTATTGGAAAGAGACAACAATGCCGTGCGTTTGTCCTATCAATGACTTCTGTGTTGGGAAACAAAGCACCCTCGAGGACAATGTGGCAATCCTTTGTGCTCTGATCGAAAAGGATGCTCTTTTTGCGCCTTTGGGGGGGGGTGCAGGGGCACCTATTAGGGTGTTAGAAACAGCCTTGCCGTAATATCCCGAAAGATGCCCCACCCCCAAAAGGTGGCCCACCCCTATTTTCGACATAATTTGCCTTTTCTTCTTTTGTTTCGAAAACGTAGAAAGACAATTTGTTTCTAGTAGTTGCATTTCCCTGGTCAATGATGACGTCGGCCGAAATGGGGTTAGTTAGCCACGGCGGGAGATAAGGAAACTGTGCAGACTGGGAAGGACAGTTGTCTGTGCTCCATTGCCCCTTAATGGGAAAACAAGTTTAGCAAATCACAAAATACAAAAATAACATTTTTAAAAAATTTTCTCGATCACACTTTGAAAGTTAGTCCACTCCTCATTTTCGCCCGGTTTGCTCCCGCTTTTAGGTGGGCCATCTCTCGGGATATTACAGTAATTTGCTTCGGCATGGGTTCCTAGGTTTCCATCTTGCACCAGCGGTGCGGGAACTAGATTTGTGCACATATAAATCATATTTTTCGGCGCACGGGCACTGCGGGAATATGGTATCGCGGCGGCTCTCCGAATACAGTTGCGCTAAAGGTAGGTTTATCGAATTTAAGGCACGAAAGATGCCAATTTAGATTTTAAACAATTCCCTATTTGACAAAGTAATTCGCAGCTCTTCTCAGCTTTTTTTAGAGTTTTAACTGTACATCTGGACAATATGAGACCTGCAGTCAACGAAATTGCTGACAAGGCTTTCCTGTGTTTGAGTGGGTGTGCCTGTGGGGAAGGGTTCACAAAGAGGGACCTGCAGTTTTCCTTTCTGACTTGGCACGGACTCTTACTTGATCTCCAGTTTCTTTTCTGGAATGTCCTTAATTTCATTTTAGAGGCAAAGCTCCTTAGGGTCTAGCCTTGTCTGGCGTCCGTGCTCACATCGGTTGCACTGCCTCCGGGATCGACCCACTTTAAAAAAAAACAAAAAAACGTACGCCCGCACGGGGATTTGAACTCTGGACCGCTTGCTTACGAGGCAGGCGTTTTAACCACTATGCTACACTCCGTTGCATGCAGCCGCTCAACGTCTATACAGGAGAGGGTGCTGCAGTCAAATGTGTATATAATCACGTTAAACTTTGCATGCATTGTCTCAACGTTTATAGACGAGAGGGCGCTGTGTTCAGATGCTCAACTGCGTATATAACCACGATCCATACCACACATTCTCTTTCTGACATCGACTGTTGACTTAAGCGGTGGAGATGCATTCCCACGGCTTCTAGCGGATCCAAGCTGATCTGCTAGAAAAACCACTGGCTATGCATTTCACAGACCATAAAGCAGTAATAATAAAGTCGAAACACAACCCGGAACTCAGCACACCTATGAGCAATCAAAAAAAAAAATGGCTCCATTAGCACTACCTATGAACAATAAAATGAGTATCATCAGCACCACCAGAGCTTCGCCCCAATCAACATCATTCACCACGTAAAGATGCGTCCATTTTTTGTTGAGGAGCCTTCAGTTCTTTTTTTTTTTTTTTGCGATGTGTCACTTAATTTTTTTATTTCTTTCTGGTGTGTTTTATTTTTTATTATTTTCTACTTTGCCCGAGCTCTTAAGTTTCTGTTTCTTTTTCTCTGTGTTCTTAATTTTTCTCCTCTAGCCGCAAACTATCCTCTCAGCGTCATTGGAGAGTCGTCTGCTTTGTGTCTTGTGTTTGTTTTCCTCCTCACTGAAAAGAAGCGCCCTGTTCTTTCCCGTTCCCTTGTGTAGGCACGGGCAAGACGTTGGTGGCGCGGGCACTGGCTAACGAGTGCAGCCGTGGGGACCGACGGGTGGCATTCTTCATGCGCAAGGGGGCCGACTGCCTGAGCAAGTGGGTTGGGGAGTCGGAGCGGCAGCTGCGCATGCTCTTCGACCAGGTGAGTCGCTGAAGTAGTGGCGCTTGTGAAGGCGCTTTAAAGTGATAGTTACATCCGCTTTCACGTTTCTCGGAGGTCTTTTAGTCTGTGCTCATTGTTTTATGCTTCTGATTCGCATCACGCAGCACCCGTAACTCGCTTACAATTGACATACCGCATTTTAAGGCGAACAAGTGAGAACGGCAGGATATCTCTTTCGAGAGCCCAGCCTCCAGCACATGATCGATGATCGATGCCTCGGCATGCTTGGGCTGCACATGCATGTGGCGCATGAAATGCCCAGGCATTGTTGAAACTAGGATGCTCACATGGGAGGCGGGGCAGCTGAAGCTGCTCTTTTTCAATGTCACTCTGTCCGCGACTAGAGTCTATGATTTGTCCACACTGGTGATGTTGGTACCGTCATCATCGCTGCTGCGTTCTCGAAGCACGTCGTCGGAGTCCAACGAAATCTCACACTTTGCAAGTGACAGCACGAACCGCATCTTGCGTGCTTGCTCGGTGATCACGTCACAGGTAGGGACTGATCTTGCACTTCTGCAGGATACGTTGCAAGCCTGACCAACTCCTGAAGGCGTCCCCACCTATCCAGACTTTGGCCCGCGGAAGCCTCTGTGTTTGCCGTCGCAGTTAAGATCCCGCTCCATTGCAGACTTTACTGCAGCACCAGCCGCTGCGACAGGTCGAACTGGCATTCAGCAGCGCAGTTGTTGGTTGCTTCTAGATGAAGAATAGCCATAAACTAGCATTGAAAACCTAAACTGTCTGGATCACGCTTGTCAATAAAAAAAAAATGTAGTTGGCGCTTCAGCATGATCTGGACACTGAATCAACCGACGTGCGACTGTGAAGAGTACAAAAAAAACTGCGAAAAGAAGCCACGGGGAGTGAGGCGTGAGGCTATTCCAGTGGCCATTCCGGAATGGCTCCTACAAGAAGTTTTGCCACCCCGTTACATACCCTACTACTGTAAACTTCCATTAGCTCGACCTTGGTTAATTCCACTTTTTGTTTGATTTGATCGTGCCCAAAAGTCCCGGCGAGCGCCCATACATTCTATGGGAGGAAAAGTTAGATAGTTTAAACTCGGGAGGACTCCGCGTCGGATAATTCATGCCGAGCGAATTCGCGCGGGCTCACATTGCAGGGCATTACGGCAGAAAAAACACCAACGTACGGCAAAACATGGGCTCTTTGCTGCAATGCTCAACGTGCGCAAATATGTGCCTACTCCTCTACGCTGTTGAGATGGACCGTAGCGAATGACACGAGCCAGCGCAAGCAACCTGGCATGGGATAGCGCGGAGAACGTAGCACGTGGTCGGGCGCAGAGGCAGCACGCGCTCTCGAAGCGCTTTTCTGTAGCATTGTGTGCTACCGTTACTGTCTACTAGACATATACGCTCCTGTACTGCTTTATGGCATCAATGCCAAAACCAGAAGTGGTTCCTTCTCTGCCACCCAAGGCAGCCAGAAGTTTCTCGAGATCAAAAAGTTTGAGGAAGGCGTGCTGCATTAAAATGGAGTTCCCGACGGGTGCTTTGGAGGCGTGTTGAAGAACTGTGGATGTGCTTGCAGGCCTACTCGATGCGTCCGTCCATCATCTTCTTTGACGAGATCGACGGCCTGGCGCCCGTGCGGTCGACGCGGCAGGACCAGATCCACAGCTCGATCGTGTCGACGCTGCTGGCACTCATGGACGGCCTCGACTCGCGCGGTGAGGTGGTCGTGATCGGCGCCACCAACCGGGTGGATGCCATCGACCCTGCTCTGCGGCGCCCCGGGCGCTTCGACCGGGAGTTCCACTTCGCCCTGCCCTGCCACCAGGTGGGTGTCTCTCTGCCCCAGTCTCTAGTGTCGGGAATAAAATCGACATGGGCAGTAAACCTACTTTTAAAGCGGTGGCTTTGTAGGGCCAACCAACTTTGGGAGTCGCGTAAGCACGAAATGTGTTGGTTGGTCAGTCCGTAACCGCTAAACGACCTCGAGAAAAATGACAACCTGTGCCAGGGATCGAACCCCGGTCCCCGGAGTGGAAGCCGAGCACACTACCGACTGAGCTACAGACACCTGCACGCAGGAACGGGAGGAGCAGAAGCAGGTGGTGTGAGAAAGTTTGCAGAGCAAACAGGTAGAAAGGGCAACAAAAAGGAACAAAAATGGCTACCGTAAAATTCGCCGGAAGCGTTTCCATTTTTCAGTGGAAGTTGGGTGGATGCTCCTCCGGTATTTTACAGTAGTGTAAAAAGAGTGCACGGAAACGAGGAGTGGAAAGGGCAGGAAAGCGTGCTTCCTCCCTGTCGGTGACCCAGAAAATGCAGTGCAAAGGCTTTGTATCCGGGTGGTGCTGATGCAGATGGGTGGGTCCCCCCAAAGAAATGTTTTGCTAGGCTTTGGCGGAAAGGGGGGGGGCTGGCTCAAAATAGAGGGTCAAAGCTGGGACGTGCGACTGCAAGAGACGCAAACTCTGCCTCTCTCTCCCGTCGGAGTGCAAGCTGCCGGGCTCTTTTTTGGAGGCAGTCACGCACTACGACATTCGCACCTTCAAGGCGCCAAATTGGTGCCAAGTTTCTGTGGGTAACCTTACCGCGAAGCAACATATGTTCTGTGTTATACTTCGTTTCAGCTTCGGTCCAAGTGCAGCCGATGTTACGAGCCGAAGGGCCAATCATACGCTGCAATAAGCGCAGCGTCATGGCATGCTCTCTGCGCTTGATAAGACTAGCTGACGGAGGAGCACGCACAGAGAGATGGCGAATACAGGCTGGTTCTATCAACTGCAGAGAGCACGCCACGACGTTGTGCCTCTTTCGCTGTTTGATTGGCCCTTCGGCTCATAACATCAGCCCCGCTCGCACCGAAGCTGAAACGAAGTATAGCACTGTCATCGCCACAGCAATGTAAGAAAGATTTTTGTTTTTGGTAGTACAGGGGAATTTTGATTATTTTCCCTGGTTTATGCAACGTCCCATGTTTTACGACTAATTTGCCTGGTTCCGACGAACTCCCCATAGAAATAATGTATTAAAAGTTTAGTTTACATGACATGTGATTCTACGAGTCTCCGCGTTGTACAATGTTCCGGCGGAGAATGCCCAATAAATTTGTCAGCCGGGAGGGAACAGAAGACAGTGCTTTCCCTTCTCCTCCCCAGGTTGTCAAGTTCCTCGGTGTTTTCGCGTTGCTTCCTTGCTCTGCTCATCCCATCGTTCTCTCGTCTGTTGTTTACCCTTGCACTCCTCTGCATGTCACTTTCATAAACTTGTTGCTTCTCCCGGATTAAGCATGCTTCCGTTAATTCCCACAGTTTTCATTTTTGGAAAGCCTGAAAGGTAACAAGGATCCCATCGTCGCGATTGTGCACGCTGGCGAACAATGTCTCGCCAACCCTTTGTCAAAGTAGAGCAGATTATTAGCTTGGACATCATTTAAAACCTCCGCTTGTCTTTTTCGAGCGAGGTCAATCACTGTACTTGCAATTGTTTTTTGAGATGATACGACTCTCAGATTATACAATGATTTTGCAACGGTCCTGCAAAAGTCATATAATCAGTTACACTGTACATAATTTTTTGTACTGTAACTCGTGTGCAGCTATCTTGAAATATCTGTTAAGTCGGAAGTTTTCCTTGTCATGGAATGAACTCCCTTCGGCACAATGCATATTTACTCATTGCTTATTTTGGAAGATTTTCAGGAGGGACCTGGGGATATCTCAAAATCTTGTCTGCAAAAATTACACAAAAAGAAGAAAAATGGGCAGAGCACGGCAAACAATGAACATAGCAACTTAAACATTAGTCGACAAAAAAAAAAAAATAATCCAAAAACAAATGCACACACAAAACAAAAGTTTTGCATCGTCGCGCGTGCTACAGTTTGCAAAGGAAGAAAGAGTTCTGTGTCTTGCGCTCGGCACCGTGCGGTACAGCGTGATCCTTGAGGACGATTGTTGTACTGCCGTTTTCTTCCCTTCCTCACAAATGTAATGCGAATATTTGCTTCCCGAAGAAATATGGCCTTTCTCATTTACAATTGCAATTGCAAATAAACGCGCTACAGGAAGTCGGCCAGAGCAGAATATACCGCGGCGACTCCCGCCAAGTGGCGGCGAATACTTCAGGACCATGTTGCCAGACATGTTGAGTGGAACAGCGCAGCTTTGTTCCAGGCGCGCCTCACCATCCTGGAGATCCACACAAGAGACTGGGTGCCACCACCCGGCCGGCCCTTCCTGTCGGAGCTCTCGGCCCGCTGCACGGGCTACTGCGGCGCCGACCTCAAGGCCCTGTGTGCGGAGGCCGCCCTGGCCGCCCTCCGCCGCAGCTTCCCCCAGATCTACGCCTCCAAGGAGAAGCTCCAGCTCAACATCGACGCCGTCCGAATTCTCCCGGAAGACTATGAGCGTGCAATGCGCAAGATAGTCCCCGCGGCGCAGCGGTGCGCGGCCACCCCTGCCCGCCCCCTGAGCCTGACGGTGCGGCCGCTCCTCTGCGCACAAGTGGAGCGGGCGCTCGCGCACCTCAGGACCTCCTTTGCCTTGGGGCTGCGCAAGTCACCCATTGCCATGGTCACCGACGGTGAGTTAGTCATTAGTCTCCTCGGGCCGGTTCACTCGTTTGCACACGAGTTTGATAGACTGCGTTGCATTTGTGACCGCCTTCGATGAGCCTGGCGTCATTTGTGGATTTACTGTGGAACCATTTTGATCTGCGTACGACTAGACCAAATTTTTTTGCAGTATTTGTTGCATCAAGTGTATGCACCGTCTACGAAAAACGGTCGCTAATGACAACCAATTTTATGTCAAGCCCACGGTGAAAGAGTCTCTGAGATCGTAAGTGTCCCAGGGCATTTTGATAGCTGGTGCCGGAGTGAAATCTCGCCGTAAGCGGTTGCGAGTGGCGATGAATTTCTCGGACACAAATGTAATACTCTGTTTTGAACATCGCTTAAAGGGTAACTGCAAAAAAAAAAAAAAAAAAAGTCTTTTTTTAAACAGTCTAATTGGGACAAGCATCTAACAAAACAAATGTTCCGCGAAAAAAATAATTTTTTTTAGCAATATTTACGCCACAGGACGTAATTTAAGGGGAGACGCGGGTCTTAAAATGGTAAAAAAACGCGAAATTTCACGTTTTTCAAAATTCACATATTTGGATTAATTGTAGTCTAAGGTACCTGCCTGCAAAGTTTCAATGTCGAATTCAATGTCTAAGCATGAAAAAAATGATATTTACGATGTCCCCGCAGAGCCCTAACACAGCGAGTTCAATGAAAACAAGTGGAACTTCGCGCCCCGCGGGTTTCGCGATCGCTCGTCGGATCGCGGCCATCTTGGTCTTGTTGGAAAGCCGCTTATTTTCCCCACGTCCCCATGCCATTCGTTATCGCGACAACATCGGGAAACGTCCGCATTCCGCGGGTTTCGAAGGCCCCAATTGCGATCGCTCATTGGCCGGCTAGCAAGGTGCCGGTACGTCAGAGCACGCGCGGCGCTTAGCGCCCCTGCTATTGGCCTAAACGCGCCCCTCCGCTCTTTTTCTCCTTTCCTCCTTTCCGTTCCCGCGCTGGCGAGAGGTGCGTCGTCTGCTCCTGGGCCCGTCTCCGCCCGTCTAGGCCTGTCTGCTTTGTTTCTTCCGTTACCGAGCGCACGTTTTAGTTCCCGTTTGCGCGCTTGCGTTGAACATTGTTGGTTCGCTTTCCTACGAAGTCGCGCGTGTTTTGTTTTGTTTCGCTTCGAGTTCTCGAGATGCCGGACGACGCTCGGTTGAAATCGAGCACGCGGCAAGCGTTCGGAAGGAAGAGGAAGCGACCGTGGAACAAGAAGCCGAAGCTGTCTGCTGCAAGTGCGCCACCGCGATCGGCACCGCGGATGCCTTGGATCCTCCGGAAACATCAGCCGGAGACATCGCGACTCCATGCAGCAGCGGCAGTTTGTCGAGCTTTGCGAGCGCGGTTCGTGTCGACACCGCATACTACTCCACGGCCGAGCAGGCGCAACGAGTCGCACGATCGGACGAATGCAAGCGTGCGCTATCGGAAAAGTCGGCGACCCAGCGCAAATTCGACCTTCTCGGCGTCACCACAGGAGGCCAGACGCGCGACGCTGGGACACAGTTCATTCTAGTGGACATGAAAGCTCTCAACGACCTCTTCGCGCAGGCGAAGTGCGGAAGCTGCGGTGCGGGAACCCTGACACTTAGCAAGGCCACGGACAAAGAGTATGGCTTGGCAGTCAAGCTTCTGCTCGTCTGTGCCACATGCGAGTTCGAGAAGAAGCAGTTTTCCTCACCAAGAGTTGCCGGAACGGCGAAGATCACTCCTTTCGAAGTGAACATGAGGGCAATGAAGGGAATTCAGTCAATTGGGAAAAGAGTCACTGCCCTCGCAGACTTCTGTGCGTCCATGAACTTGTCACACCGCGGCCTGCATCACAAGACCTTCCAGGGACACCTGAAGACCCATGTGCAAGCCTGCGAAAAGTCAGCAAGCGCAAGTGAAGCTGCCAGCTCAGAAGTTGTCAAGAGACTGTATGCAGACTTCTTGAACCCTGTCGGCAACATCGACGTGATCTTTGACGGATCTTGGATGACGAGAGGACGCAGCTCCCACATTGGTGTGGGCTGCATTGTCGAGCTGTATTCCGGCCTAGTTCTTGACCATGTGGTGTACTCCAACTTTTGCCTTGGGTGTGCCCTGGGACCGGAGCCCGAGGAAGAGGGGTACGGCGACTGGTATGCAGCCCACGAGTGCCAGAGGAACATAGATTGCAATTCAGGTCGGATGGAAGTGGAGGCTGCATTGACCATGTTTCAAAGATCCCTGGCCAAGCACGGACTGAGGTACACCACAGTTCTCTCGGATGGAGATAGCCGAACCTTTCATGCGTTGACCGAGGCAAAAGTCTACGGCTTCGTCAAGGTCGAGAAAAAGGACTGCATCAATCATGTGCACAAGCGGATGGGGGCTGCGTTGCGTATTCTCCTTGAGAAAAAGAAGGCCCAGGGTGAAGCACTCGGCGGAAAGGGCAGACTGACGCAGGACCGAATCAAGAAGATTCAAAACTACTACAGCTATGCCCTTAGGAGCAACAGTAACGATGTGCCAGGGGTGAAGAGGGCAGTGGAAGCCACCCTCTTGCACATGACGTCTACAGACAGTGCCCCAGACCACAGCAAGTGCCCCGACGGAGCTGAGTCGTGGTGCAAATTCAACAGAGCCCTGGCAAATGGCGAGTGTCCACCTGCGCACAAGAACCCTCTTCCAGATTGTGTGCGGTCCGCCCTCGAGCCAGTGTTTGCAAGGCTCAGTGATGAAAACCTGCTGGCACGGTGCAGCGAAGGCAAGACGCAAAATGCCAGCGAAAGCCTGCATTCGGTCATCTGGACGCAAACCTCGAAGAACGCCAATGCCTCCCTGGACAGTGTCAAGAGGGCTGCTGCCGAAGCTGTTGCCGTCTACAATCAGGGCAGGCGGGCAATGAGCGAGTCCGTTGCTGCGAGCCTGGGCTATGCTGCCGGTGACTGCCTCGTACGCCGCAGCATGGAGAAGGACAATCTGCGTTTGCGTAAGGCCAACGCTGCCCACCAGAGCAGCAGCAATGCAAAGCAGAGGTTCTCCAGGCAACACCGGACTGGAACAGCTGGGTACTACAGTCCTGGACAGCTGTGAGGGGGCTCCCCTTTCGAGTGCTACATGAACAAAGGCCCTTTTCAGGGCCAAACAAAATCTGCTTTTGGAACGTGCAACCCTTAGTGCCTCCTCCCGTTGCCCCTTATAGAGTCTACTCATTCTTTTATAACTTTATTTTACATTGCAGACATTATTTCTCAGTTTTATATTATTTTTTAAAGGTTCTTGTGAACGGATCGCAGAATTTTTCATCTCAATTTGTTCAGATAGAACTATGCTTCATATTGCTGAACATTATTGCATGAGATCCCTTACTCAATTTTATGCAATGAGTGTCAAAACTTCAACTGCAATTTTCTCAGCTTCGCATTTTTCGTCTACATGCCTAGCCTTACGGTTGTTTTCATGAGATTATTCTTCAAGGATTTCTATAAACTTTATACCGTTGGATTCGGAAAGAAGTGAACTGCAGGGTGATGCTATTTTTGTATGACAGTATGGGCCCGAAATTTTATTATTAGTGATAATGTGACCTCGTTAGGCTTTGTAAATAGTGTACTTGACCTAATTAGACTAGTTTTATACAATGATCTATCTTTACAAAAATATAAATAGCATCATCTTGCATGGCAGGTCTTTAGCTACAAATCCATATCACTTATGCAAAAAAATTTGTATTAGAAAGTTCCTTAATGAGTCGTAAGAAATGACCTAATTAGGCTTCATTATTTTCTTCGTAACTCAAAAAGTAATTGAGATATTGCAGAACTAATTGAATATTTGAAAAGAGGAAGCCAAAACACATATACACACTGATTTTCATTATAATCCATTAATAAACAAAAAAGTCGATTTTAGAACCAGTGTCTTGCCTTAAGGGGTGTCCAAACAGGACACTACAAAACTCACGACTCCGGCAAATCGTGCCGCGCTCTGCCGCGATCCGCTACCGGCCGTCGGAGGGAAATTTCCCTCCGTCAATTCTTCCCGGGGGGAAACTTCCCTTCGTCAAATCTCCCCCTCGCTTCCTCCACGGCGGCCTTGCTCTGCTTATCACGTGGGTCCGGAGAGCCACTCACACGCTCTCTTGGCTGTCGGTCAATCGCTCAAGGCCCCCACTCACAATACGGAACCGCATCGGACGCCATCACGACGAAAGTGAATCTAGACAAAGAAAGCAGATCCGAGGCGGGCGAAACGCACCCTTCGACGCAGGAATGTCCCAAATCCACCCGAGGCCGGACCTCCTTGGCCTTCGAGCCGAGGCGACGGCGGTACGCGAGGGCGTTGGCGAGGTGAGCCAGACGCAGGTGGCGTGTGACGTCAATCTGAAAAGGCGAGCAGTCGTGATCGTAAAAATTTTCACGACTCCTGCAAACATTTTCACGACTCCGACAGACCGTAAAAATAGAAGCGTCCGCTTCAATTTTCACGATTTGCCGGAGTCGTGAGTTTTGTAGTGTCGTGTTTGGACACCCCTTTAGTGGGAGTCAGAACCTCCAGATTTGAAACTCCCGCTCTTTTGACCCCCGCGAAGGAGAAGTATGCCGAGCCCCTCACTCTTGGATTTGCTCTTGAATTGACTTGGCTGCGGAGTTGAACGACGCAGTGTCTCGACTTCCGGTGAGATCTGGCAACAACACACATTAAACATGGCGTTAGTATTGTTTTGGTTTGATGGCGGGACACAAGGAACTGCGCGGTTTGCGAGCACATAGCAAAATTGTGACCGGAGGAGTGCCCCTGTGATGTTTCCGAAAGACAGAAAGTATCATTCGTGATCGTTGTGTGTGCTTTGAAAGCGAAGGGAGTCAGGGGGTCCACGAGTGCGCAATACTATTTATTGAACAAGTTCAATACATTCGCTTTTTGAGGAAGCTTAACCTTAAGTATGCACGGCTCTGCATCATGCCCTCACTGTGTATTTCCCCACAACATAAAAACCATAAAACACACTTCAATTCATCATTATACAATAACTAACAAATACATACATCTTTATATAAAATCTAAAGTCCATATTTCCCAACCAACGTTCACGACAGCGAAGCCAGCGTTCACGACAGCACTGCGTTGACTTCGGCGATCTCGTTCTGTTTGGTGCAGCACGGTGACGCTACAAAGAACTGAAAGGTTTGTGATGTGGTGCTTGGAAGTAGACACCCACACTAACACGCAGTGCAAATTGGTTGTTGTGGGGTTGAGGTTCAATGGGTTCAGTCCCGTCGTCGTCAGCTGATCTAATCAAACTGGTCCGGGAGGATGCAGTGAGCGTTTTTAAAAGTAAATCTTCCTTCGTTCCATTTCAAAATGGGGAAGGTTCCCGATGCATACCGTGAGTAAAAAGGTGCGGGCGTTTTCAAGAAAATTTTGTTGTTTTAATGGACTCCGAATCGTTGTCCTAAATCTGCCGTTTTTATGCTTCGTGTTGTTACACTGCGTTTGCACGGCGACGTGTTGCGCTCATCGTGCGGTGTGAATAAATTTGGGCAAGATTTTCTACTTGCCCACAGATGCTAACTGAGACCATTTTTTACATAGTGAACATAGTGCTTAGTGCTTTTTTGGGGGGGGGGAGGGGGGAGGGAGGAAGAGGCATTGTGCATTTATTTCTGCACAATCACTTAAGAGTTCAGAAATTGGGGAGGGTGAGAGCAAACTTTCCAAACTTTCTCTCTTTGCTTTCCGGCACTGCCCCTAGTTCCAAGTTGCAGTTTCAGTAGACATATTTGCTAGCAGCCAGCAAATACAAACTGCTCGATAGCAGGTAAAAGACTGGGAAGTCGGGACGGTGCGGACTCCGTGTTTCGCGCTTTTCGGAAAGTATGCGGAATATGTAACCGATTTTGTTATGCCCGTTGTTTGCTTCTCTCCAGCAAAACGAATAAGATGATCTGCAAAGGCGCAATCACAAGCCAAGATTTACGATAGCAGTACACATTCAACTTTAAACAACTTTACGTAAAATGTTTCGGAAGCCGAGAAAAAACATTTGTCGGCTAACGCAGAATTCGGATGTCCAAAGGCTTCTGCGGACAGCTATTACGTAATAACCTGGCTGTGCCAGGTTTTTTACGTAACAGCTGTGTCTAGTCGCGGACGTTCGGTGCATCCGGTGCGAATCTCGACAGCCTCCGGAGCGATATGACGAGAACGTAACTGGACACGTTTGTTGCTATGTGAACGCCCGATTGCCTCCAGCCAAATAGCATTCCTTTCGGGGCGACACGGCTGCTGGAAGGCGCGCTGTCGGGATCACTCATCTGAGATCTCCAAAAAGTCGGCATTTGCACGCAAAAAAAAAAAAAAAAAAAAACCATGCTAAGCAAGCGAAGAGGGAAACAAAAGAACCGCGCTATGAAAGCCAAAACCCCGCGTTGCTTCCTAGCACTAACACCTGCGACAGCTGCTAAATACACACTATTCACTTCAAGAGGTTTCACTCAAGCACCTCGATCAGCACGAAACACTGAACACTTCGGCGAAACAACTGTTCAAGGTAGGCGTGACAGATGGGAGCAGAGACTTCAGCGGCCATGAAAGAATGACTAAGCTTTTGTTTGATATGGTATGAATCCGAATGGAAGTGCCCGTCTTGTAAACCTTTTGTGAAGAATAATAACTCTCATCTCATGATCACAATCCGACACAGAGGAGAGATTAGGTGGAAGGCAGCACTTCGTATACAAGCTACAAGAACGTACCAGCAAAGACTGCATAGTGTGCAGCGATAGAAAGACAAAGGAGGTCGGAGAGAAACAGTTTTCTACTGCAAGACTTGCACAAAGAACCTCGGTTTCCTTCCCGGAGAATGCTTCTAAAAATATTGCACACTGTCAAAGTATCTCTAGAAAGCGCCAGAACGCAGAAGCACCGTGAAAATAATTATTTCTTGTTACCTCTGCACGCTGCACGCTGTATTTGTAGTATATGTTCTTTCTCCTGGCTAATGTGCACAAGACTAGACAACATTCAACCGCAAAGGGTTGAATGCTGTCAAAGCTATTGGCACGGGCGCGTCACTTTACCTGGTGGTAAAACTTGAACCGTGTTCCGAATCGGTAACGCTCAACAAGCGCTTCACCGGTTCTGTCTGTGCCGCAGGAAGCCACACGGACGACGGCAGCGTCTTTTCGGAAGACGATGCAACATCGAGGGAGTCTGGCAACCTCTTGGGGGGAGACCCCTCCTGCATGGATGCCTCCGATGCGACCAAGCTCATCCCCAGTGTCAGGTATGCTTTTCTCGGAAACGGCTCAAAACGAAAGTGAGAACGGTGCGGCATCGTACCATGGGAGCGCTTGCCTCGTTGACGTCGTGCATCGCGCAAGAGCCACGTAAAGTAGTGCCCGTGCAGAGTACTCGTCTGCTCGATCTCACCCTGGCTTACGTCTGTAGTGCAAAATGAAGAGAAAACTGACACAAACCACACACTGAGTGTGGTTTGTCACATGATGTCGTAATGTCAAGGTGTCGCGTGATCCTCCGGTGTCACTGCCCAACTTAGTGGAGAAGTTGACCATCCACAATGCACACAGAACACACCCTGGGATCCGCCGCGGCACCTCATCAACGACGCAGTGGTAGGAATACTGCGCCAATTGTGCCTAACCGTGCCTATTCATTCTGGCTGCTCTGTCCGGGTGCGATTCAACATCTTTTGCAGAAATTGCGCAGTTGCTGCGCCACTAGAAGATTTTGGGGGACGACAAGACTCTTTTCCGTCGGCCTAGAGTGGTGTCGAACGCTAGGGGGCACAAGTTTTCACCCATCCGCAATATGTTACCTTGAGGCCATCCGTCCCATCCACGACATAGGTAGCCACCTGTGTCATGGATGGGTCACCTCGGCGCTTCGGGGCTTCTGTGATGGCACTTTCTAAACTGAAAGGCAAGTTCTTTTTTCTTATCTCTCGACTTGCCACGCTGCTGTATTTTTAGTATATGTAGCTCAGCTGGCGATAGACTTGCAAACTGCGAAGGTGTCATTGTGACGGTGCAGTTGCGTCGACTTAGGTGACAAAATCCGTAGGTCATGGAACAAACTCCCGACCACACATGCACATTAAAGCGCATCACGTCAAATGCCATTTTGGCGATGGACACATCAGTCGCCGATCTGCGCTTCTTTTTGCCACGCGCCTAGCATGTGTCCCTCGTTTGATTCTCTAACTGCCCGACAAGGGCTTCTGGCCGGTGCCATTTTCGGCCTTCGTGCGCATGGCACATACTTTGCTCGCTTTCTGTGGCAACGAACGTGCGTGTGCCGTGCTGCGGAGATCGCACGTCGGGTCGTAGATCTGTAAACATTGGCATGTAACCTTTTCAAATGAAAGGAGCACCCCTTGCAAAAATTGAGGTGATTGCTCCAAAATGTTTTTTTTCTGCTACAACACCCGCTCCAAAAGTCTCACGGGCATTCCCACCACTGGTCGCACGGCAATGAAAGTGCTGTGCCGCTTGCGCCGAATTGCGCCACAAACGAAATTTTGTGATGTCTTGCACCAAAGCGCTATTTTTGCCGAGAATTGCGTCATACCTGCATTGAGGTGGGCCTAAACAAAGCAAGAATAAAGATACCTTGTTATTGCTCAATTTTAATATTTAGAGAAGTAGAGAGAAAAGAAAATGGTACAAATATGTATTTCACAGCATCGCTTTCCACCGTTTAGGTAGTTTGTTTCATCTCATGTCAAAGCGCAATTAAAGACTGAAACATATACAAGCGGGAACACACTTACTAAAAGCGCGAGCCCAGGGGCATTCACCGCACTGGATGGGTTTAGCCGACAGATATGACAAATGCCGTGATGCCGCACTTTTGACACTACTCAATCGGTCGCATTAGCTGGTAGCGTCGCCTGTGCTTTGAATTGGGACGAAAGCAAGCACTGAAGTTGCGTGTCAGCTGCTCTGTCCCCGTCGTCACCCGAATTTCCAGACGATGTTGGCGACTTCAGGAGCTAAAAGTTGCGAGAATTATTGGCGAAGTAGCGGGACGGCAGCTGCTGTATAATCGGACAGAACCAGGGTCTTTTACTTCCAATCGTATATCTGCTGCGTGCCTTCACGCCTCGCTGTAGCTCATGCTTGCCGAGCTTCACCGCATTGCACTGAAGTGCTAGGAGCAGCGGCTGACCTGGGAGCACATGGGTTAGCGTGATTGACTCGGAAATCATGCTCAGTACTATAAAGGTTGTCCTTTTTTTGGTCTTGACTATAGGCCGACTTCCAATTTTAAAAAGCTTCAACGCGAAAGGAGGAAAACGAATCTATATTTGAAATAGATCCGGTAATCAAGGTATTTTTACGTTCAGCCAAATTGTAAGGGCAGTGAACATTAACTCAACTCCGGTTCGAACGTAGCTAAAGTGCAGTGTCGCTTCTAAATCGCAAAAGTACGAGTAGGTTTTAAAAATATTTGTGGGTGGTGGTTTTTGCTGCTTATGATATTAGTGTCTCTAGTTTGGTGCTCATAAAACTTGGTGGGATGTATTTGTATGGACAGACTTTAGCGGATATGTTGATTTTTGCTGACGTTAGAGAAATCATGTTTACATGCTAAATTAACTATTGAGTGTAAAAGGGGGAGAGAGAAGGGCTTTATGTCATTAACTGAAGTGTTTCTCTATGCTTCATTTTTCAACAAATTTTAAGTACCCATTTTAAATGGAACCTACTTGTGCTGAGCCTTATTTCTAGAAAGACCGCTGTGTTTTAATTGTGCATCCCATCCATTCTTACTACAGAAGATGATGAGTATAATATGCTTCAGTATCAAAGAGGAACTCTCCGTCATTATCAAATGCGAACCCATTCAGCGATTCAATTAACTCGTTATTTTAAAATGACGGGGGTAACAGTTGGCATCCGCTCCAAAAGTGTCAGTGGCTGCTCCAAGTCAACAGTTTGCCTGCTACAAAGCCTGCCACAAGATATCAAATGCCTCTTCTATCGCCAATGACGTCCGTCGCCGTAAAAGTGATGACACGCGGGGCGCGCATTGTTTTAGGTCCCGGTTTGCGGGCGGGGCAGCTGTGAGCCACCGTCCCCGGCTGCTCATCTGCGGCCGGGGCGGACTGGGGCAGACGACGCACGTGGCTCCCGCCGTGCTGCACCTGCTGGAGCACCTCCCTCTGCACCGGATGGACCTGCCTTCCCTGCACGCGGTCACCGCTCGGGCCCCCGAGGAGGCCTGCGCTCAGGTGCGTTTGCAGGAAGTGTTTAGTCTCCTACAGGACAGTTTCACGTGACACGTTTCCGGCTTAAAATTTCTGCCTCTCACCGATAGATAGAAATTTAGAGAGAGAGGAGGAGGTGAGGGTGCGCAGGGATGTCAGGGCACCGAGCTTTGGTTGGAAAGATTAGTCGGCAGATGCAGAGCTAGCTTCCTTTGTCTCTATTCGCTCTTCGAACTCGAACGCCAGATACCGGCAATCCCAACATGCCTCGGTGTGTGAAGAATTGACAGCAGTAGGTCAGCAAGCGGAGGTGTTCGCACTCTACACTGACACGGCGTACCGTGCATTCTCTCTCTTGGAAGGTGTCCTGACTTTGCTTGGTCTCCCCACTTGCTCGCGCTGAAATCTTGGGGGGGTGGGGGGGGGGGGGGGGGGGGGGGGATTGACGGGATGCCTCCCGACTCCTTCTTCTTAAACATCTCGTGGGTGCTGACCATGCATCGCCGAGAGTGATGATTGGCACTTAATTATATGGGGCACTTCCCTTAGGATCGGCGTAGCGCCCATGCTCGCGGACCAAAGGGCGAACTAGTTTGGTGGGACGGGCACAGGCACGCGAGCACGTCCGCCATCTTTCAGTTGAGAGGTGAACTAGACTTTTATGCCTAGCGCAACGTTGGCACCGCGAATGCAGCTGGGAAATTCCTATCGGTGATGGGCAGACGACCAAAGCGTCGCCGTTGTTGGCATTCACGATCAGCCAAACGCCCGCTACGACATCTTCATTCGGATTAATTTTGCTTCAATTGACAGAAATAAGAGCAGTATCGGCCTGTCAACATAGAAGGCGTAGGTTGAGGCATGTGACGACTTCTGTCGCACTTTTTGCACACATGCCACTTGACTCGTGGTTCACAACCGACGGTTCTGGGTCGTGACATCGCGAACAGAAATGTGCCTGCACTAATAACGGCTCTCACTGTGGAAAGAATGGTACCTCACTAGCAATCTCTTTTCAGGTGTTCCTGGAGTGTCAGCGGGTGCTGCCCGGTGTGCTCTACCTGCCCCACCTCTGTCAGTGGTGGGACACCCTGGGTGAGGCGGTGAGGGCCACCTTCGTCACCCTGCTACAGGACCTGGAGCCCCTTACGCCCGTGCTCTGGCTGGCCACCGCGGACGTGCCCTTCGAGCAGCTGCCACCCGAGGTAAGCTGCACCGGCGGGGGTGCCAAATAAGATTCTTGTCGCATTTCACGACTGAACGGACGCGCGAGGAACGCCTCTAGCCGACGGCTGACCCAGCCCTTTCTTCCGTCGCAGGTACAGCGGCTGTTCGGTCCGTCAGAGGTGCTGGAGCTGTCCGCGCCGACTGCGGCGGAGCGGCGTCTCTTCTTTGCGCCCGTGTTCGCTAAGGCAGCGAGCGTTCCGGGCACCAGGCGCCCGACCCCGGCGCAGATGCCGCCCCTGCCCCCCGCGCCGCCCCCCGAGCTGCGTAAGCTGACGCCAGCGGAGTTGGATCGGCTACGGCAGCAGGAAGACGCCACGTGAGTGGCGCAACGGGTGTCAACTGCTTTCGACGCGCATTGCATTTTCTGAACTAGAGCTCGCACCCGGCATGTCGTCCATGGGGGCACTTTTCGATTACAGTAAACTTTCGTTAGTTCGACTTCGGTTAATTCGACTTTTCGTTTAATTTGATCGTGTTCAAAAGTCCCGGCAAGCTTCCATAGGAAAATTTTGATAGTTCGAACTCAGGAAGGCTCCGCATCGGATAATTCGTCCCGAGCGAATGCGTGCGGGCTCGCATTGTACGGCACCACGACAGACAAGCCACCAATGTACGACGAAACACAAGCCCTTTGCTGCAAAGCCGAACGTGCGCAAATATGCGCCTGCTCCTCTACGCCGTTGATATGAACCGTAGCGAATGACACGAGCCAGCGCAACCAACCTGGCGTGGAGTAGCGTGGAGAACATAGCACGTGGTCGAGCGCGGAGGCAGCGCGTGCTGTCAAAGCGCTTTTAGGGGTGAAGCTCCTTAGGGGCTAGCCACGTCCGTAGGTCCATCCGCCGTCGGGTGAACGTGCTCCTGCTCGTGAGCTCACGCGCTCCCGTGCTCGTGCAGGGCAAAAGAAAAAGCAACTGCATCTCCACATGGTGAATGATGTTAATTGGGGCAAAGCTCTGGTGGTGCTTGTCTGCGTAGACGCTGAGCCGCAGCATGCCGAACCTTTCGTTCGTTTTCATCCATGTCACGCTGCGGTCAAATGCTCAAATGCGAATAGAACCACATTCCATGCCACACATTCTCTTTCTGACACGGATGAAAACGAACGAAAGGCTTGGCTTGCTGCGGCTCAGCGTCTACGCAGACAAGCACCACCAGAGCTTCGCCCCAATCAACATCATTCACCTCGTGGAGATGCGGTTTTTTTTTTCTTTTTTAGCATCGTGTTCGGTCCATCTTGCACGCCAAAAATTTCCTTTTTATTTTTTTTTTTTTCTTGTTGTTGACGGTTAGGTTATTTGGCACCAGGAGAAGTCTCGGACCCGAAAATTGCAAAGCTCTGTCCGTGGAATTCTCAACTTTAAACTTCAAACCGGGGGAACACTCCTTAAAACTGTCCAAAATGTCAGAAGCAGCACGATCGCGGTCACCGTTCGAGTTGAGAACAAGCACCACGAGGTAGTCTTCAACATATCGGAACACTTTCGGAACAGAATCTCCCATCCTCCCATTAATGGCCCAATCTCACTTCACCAGGTAAATGTCACTAAGAATTGGTGCAATGTTAGATCCTATACACACTCCACTCTTCTGCAAGAAGGTGTCATCCTCAAAGGCAACATAGGTGGAATAGAGGTAGAAACACAGTAGCTCCAAGTAGGAGTCAACCGAAATCCCACTGGCGCTGGCCGAAATCCCACTGGCCGTAGATGAATGTATTGTGTCAAACGGGTCCCTTGCTTTTATGAGCACAAGTGGGATTTCGACCAATTGTTTCATCGACAAATCGTTCCATCAACAGCTCACATTAGCTGTTTTCTATTATAAGCTACATGAGACTGTCGTCGCCAAGCAGAATGTACGGGTCGGTCAGGTTGGTTAATATTTTGTAAGGAGCCGCCGCAGATTGTCTCCGTGAAGCGGCGTGAATGCAGGAAGGGGGTGGGTTACAGCACACCCCAATGATACACACGTGACGAAATGTCTTTACAGCGTGCAGTTCAGATAATGAGTGTCAATGAAACAATCATGTCAATGAAACTTATGTCCATGAAAAGTTGTCCACACAACGCAATTCCATGAAACGAGTTTCGACGAAATAATAGGGATCCCCTGCCCGCTTCCTATCCTCCTAATGAACCCACGCCTTCGTCTTTCCTTGGCCATGTTTCTCGACCTCGCTCCTGTGTAGTAAAGGTTTCGCATCAGCGTTGCTTTGTACGGGTTCTCGCGTGATTTGTCCCGCAGGAGTTATTCGGAGCTTGAGTTCAGTCGTGTTCCTCGCAATCAGCAGCAACAACAGCAACAAACCGCCATGTTTCTATAAAATTCATGTGAGAAGTATTTTTTGCTCGTCTTATCATCGAACTGCTCTCCGCTTTCTGGCGGATAGAGTAGACTTACTTGGATTGAGATGATCTGACGCGCCTGTTCTTTCGCTGGCACGGCGCGCGGAGAGGATCTGTGTTCTCAGTTTCCGGATCTTGTGCGAAAGAAGTTGGCACCGAACATGGCCTCTAGCATTTTTTATAGCACTGTGCTCGGGTAAGCTAACATTCTTTAGAAACTTTGGTCCACTTCTTCGTGCGATGTGTATTGGAATGTAATAATGTTCCTGGTTCCTTCTCGATCTTGGAACAAGTTTCCCGTTACAAGTTTCATTGGTTTGTTAAGAACACATTCCTGTTACATTTCTAAGACAAACGTATTGTTACGTGAACATGACATTGGCATAATTTAATTAAATACTTTGGTGGATAATCTGTAGAGATAAAGCAAGGAATTGAAAATATCCATGTCAAACTATGTGTTGTGTCGCTACAATCGCATTCGTTCCCGTTCTTTGTCTCCGACTATCTCTTGGACACACTTCTCCATCCCGCGAAATCTAAGACGGAAATTGTCCACAATGAAAAGCTAAAGTGCCTACTAAATTTGGGTAAAATTGCAGATATGCAGACGAAAGAAAGGAGCGGAGTTTTTCCTACTGTTTTTTTTTCTTTTTTTTTTTTGAAAATGTAACGCCTTCCCATTCCAGTTTCACCGACGCAAGATGGAAGGGAGCGTTCCTTCGTTCCTCCTAAAAGGAACGCTTTCCTTGAACGGCGTTCGAAAGAACACCGTTCTGTAGAACACTGCTGCAATGCGTAGCGCAAGTTGGTCTGCTTCTTTTGCAATGGTTATGGTGACGTCAGAACGCCGAGCTCTGGTTGGCTGTGATTGAAGGACAGTGGGTAGACATCAAAGCAAGCTGCCTTAAAGTCCACCCACTATTCTTCAATCAGGGCCAATAAAAGCTCCGCATTCTGACATCATCGCAAGAAGCAGACAAACTTGCGCTCCGCATAGATCTTGTGCCGAATTCAGCCCGAGCGTTTCGGGACTGAAAGTCTGCGCGGGGAATTCGCGCAGGCTACGTGAGCTGCGCCTGTTCTTGAGGGACATCCTGACAAAGCTCCAGCGGGACCGGCGCTACGCCATGTTTGCCAAGCCCGTGGACGCGTCGGAAGTGCCAGACTACCACTCGGTGATCGCCCAGCCCATGGACCTGGAGACGATGATGGTGAAGGTGGATCTGCACCAGTACCACTCCGTGGCGGAGTTTCTGGGCGACGTGGACCTCATCTGCTCCAACGCCCTCGAGTACAACCCCGACAGGGACCCCACAGGTGGGCTCACTCTGCTGCAGACGTCAAATGCCCGAGTTTCTCGCAACGGGCCTTTTCCTCGGCCGTCGTCTTTCGGCATACCTGGAAGCTTTTTCAGTGGCACTGACAGCCCGAAACAATATTTTCTTTTATTATACACGCTTGCCAGTTGGGGCGCGCGTCATAATCTGGTTACGACGCCTTGTTAAAGCGTCGAAGTCAGATTATGACATGTTCAAGCGCACCCCAGCTGAACTAGATGGCGGCACCCTGTGGCTGTACCGTCGAGACCGGTTATAACGAAGTCAGTTATAACGAAATAGCGGCTGCAGCGAAGCGATCACTATATCCCATTCCCTTTTGCACTTTGTTAACCGATGTCGGTTATAACGAAATAGCGGATATAGCGAAGTGATTTCCGGTTCCCGTTGACTTCGTTATATTCGGTCTCGACAGTACTTTCAAACGTGTATACCAGACCGCGTGGGGGTGACATCAAGGCCACAGCCATGCCTTCCTCGCTTTTTTCTCCAGTCTCCAAACCGGAAGTGTCATACTCTTTCCCCTCTCCACAATCCTGTCGCAAATCGCGGGACACTCTTTTGTGCCGAGGTGGGCTCTAAACAGACAAGTTTGAAAGGTCAACAGAGACCGAAAAGAAAACTTTGTCAACTTCACCGCCGCCTGCGCGATCACCACCGTCGTCACGGCTGCCATTCGCCACCATGTTGCGAGAACGGGTAAAAGGTGAGGAGGTGGCAAGTGGCAACAATTGATTTGTCACTGATACTTCTGGGCTCGCTTTGCTATATTTCGAAAGAAAGGGTGGAGTACATTAGCAATTGCGTCAAAAATATGCCTCACGAAAGCTTCATTAAGTGTTATAGAAACATAGCTTACGAAGCCTCTTAATGTCTTTGTCTATTACATCATTGCCAGAGGAGAAGTGAGGAGGTTACAGTGGGAGAGAGAACAAAATTTAAAAAACGCACACTTACAACAATTTTTTTTTTTTTTTTTTGCGTTACATTTTTTGTGGGTTATGTGAAAACATTCTGATTCATTGTAGACCACAAAAGAAATGTGAATTTCTAGCTGTCAGTGCCCTTTTTCAAGAAAAAAATTGGCTTCCTCGATGGCATTTTCTAAATGCATGGCTTTTAAGGGCCCTTTTTGGGAGCCAAGTAAGGAGGCCATTAAAGGGAACATGGTGAAGGCATCTTGATGTCATGATGCCATGGGGGATGTCATGGAGGCGCGTGGCATTATGTCACTTGACACTGCCACATAACGTTGCACCTTTGCATCTGTTCCTCTTATTTTCCTTTTTTCTAATGCGAAAGCATTAACAGTCTCATGGAGCGAGCTAACGTCATCAGATTGAACCGTGAAAACGGCACCTAGTTTCCGCAATCGCCTTCGGTTCCATTGGCTGGTGCGCGTCGGCGGGGCTCCCATTGGCCGCTGCGCTCGTCAGCCTCATGGCGCTGCGTGTCCATCAGCGCGCCGTTAACACGGAGCGTCCAAGGTCACCAGGGGAGTGGCGCACGCTGACCGGCGATGAAAAGTATGCAGCAGACGAGAAAGGGAGCGGCCGAGCGGCTTGCATGCTTTCACATTCACAACTCAAAGAATGCATAAGTGTACCTTAAGCTTTTCTTCTTTTTTTTTGAAGCTTTAGCAGTTGATAAAGTCGTCTGGAAGCATCTCAAAATTCTCCTTCCTGCCTCTTTGTTTCTTCGTTTCTTTTTTTTTTTTCTTTAATCGCACTGCGTGGCTGACTTGGCTTACAACGCAGGTGTTTGGCAGCTTGCCAACACTCTTCACTCACTTTTTTTCAAAACTAAATCAGTTATCCTCGATAAGAATGCAACCCCGCATTAGTTCAGTGAAACATTGGTTGTAACATTGGTGCATTGGTACAAGCATTTGAGATAGTGGCATAGAATTTTTTCTCGTTAAATAGATTTTGTTGCACCCAAGTTTCACCATTTTGAAACTGTCAGTTCTAATTGTCTAGCAATATGAAATAAGGGTTTGTTTTCAGAAACGTATACCTTAGCTTTCTGGGCTTTTATTGTTTTTTTGGGTTGGGGAGGAGGGGGGGGGGGGGGGGTATAAATACCTGTAATATAGGCATTTTTTCTTGTAAAAAGAATGTTTGGGGATTTCCAATCTGGAATTTTTTTGTTTAGATAGTTGTGCCAAAGAAGAGGTGGAAGTATTAAGTTTTATTGACACTCCAGATGCCTGATTTTGTTTATTTCACTCTTTGTTTACTAACACAAGATACCTGTTTTATTTTTTATAGCGAAATTTATTGCAAAATGTAAGTACTCTCATTTTAATGACTTGATAAGGTTGGTTCTGCAGTTACAAGTAGCCTAGCAACTCATGCTGATGAGACAATTAGGTGAAGGGGTTTTCTTTACACATGTTGCATTTGCTTCTCATCTCACAAATCGACAACTCGCTGAATAAAGCAGCTCGAAATTTCTTTCCACCTAGCGAAGTACCGCGCGAGTGATGGGGATCGTTGGCTGTTTGAAGGGACCACACAAATCGATTTCTTAACGTACCGAGTCAATATTTTGCACAGAGGTGTCCAAAGGTGGCGGACCTTGCATAGCAAAATTTCACTGAGCGAACTTAACCGAGTAGCAAATTGGAAATTGAGAACTTGAAATCCCGACCCACGGCATCTGACCACGAACTAAAGGTGTCCGACTTGCACAATGGCCGACGAACAGCTGCAACTTACCCGTTTTGTTTTTCTTGTTTTTTACGTTTTATATGTAGTGGTCAAAACATTGTGCGTCGAGAGCCAGAAAGAGAGCACGCTGCCGGCTCAGAATCGTCTTCTGCCACTGTCGACGTCGGCGAAAGCGTCTGTTGTGGCCACCTGCTATTTTAGGTGCTGCTACGGTCCCTTGAGTGCACGTCCGACCGGAGCGCTTGGCGTCCTGTCCCGCCCATACATCAAAAGTGGTTCCGACCCAAAGTGGCAACAAACGACGTCGCCAAAGCCGAAGTTTCATGTTGTAGGATATCACGATCTTGGCGGTTGGTGGTAGAAATGCCGGCGAAAGGCACGAGCGGACGGAGAGATCAATTTTTTGGACGTGGTAGACACACAAGTTGGAGACACGTTCCAGGCACCAGCATGCCATAATCTGTCGGCTCTTGCACCAATCGGACGGATTTCATCGGCATACGGGTGCCGCATGTAGGGATATCCAAGTTCTCGATTTCTAACTTCTTACTACGGCGACTTCGTTTGGCGAATTTTCGATACTCGAGATTCACCACCTTCTGGCACCTCTGTGATAAATCCTGGCGCAATAGGTTTTTTAAAAAAAAAATTATTTGTGCGGTTCTTTCGAACGGCCAACAATCCCTTCGACTTGCGCAATGCTGCAGATGGGGTTGCCCCGTGGGACGAAGCTACTTGTGGGTGCCGGTCTAGCGCCGTTCCCATTTTCTTTGGTCGGCGTTGCGGTATTGGAGACCTCCTTTCTTTCGGCACCTCTTGCAGACAAGAACATCCGGCACCGGGCGTACGCACTGCAGGATGCCGCACATGCGCTGGTGGACACGGAGCTGGACTGGGAGTTCGAGAAGATTTGCCAGGGGATCGTGCAAGCAAGGAAGGAGAGAGGTGAGCCCGACCACTCCCCCCGGTACGCCGACCGCTAGACGAGTGCCCAGAGTGGGACGCACGGGTGCTTGGCCTCGGCGTAGAGAATCGTTTGAATAGTCGTCGCAATTGCGGCTAAGTGGCGAGTGACTTGCGAGGCTCGTACGTGCGGCCGTTTTCGACGGGTGCAGTTTATTTGGTGGCACTTCGAAGCGGCTGGCGTCGCTCTGTTGTAGCATGCTCACTTCATGACCGGTGCACTTGGAATTGAATGGAAATGAATGAACATTGTGTTTCCATACTCATTTAAAAAAAAAAAAAAAAAAAAAAAAACTGAATTTGGGAAAAAAAAATTTTTTCTCCCTAGGAGGCTGGACAGGCAAATCTCAAAATAAATGCTTGTCAAAAGAGGAAATTGTTTGTTTAAAATATTAATGCTACAATTTAAATTTTTCGGTTTGTGGGTGAAACCGAAATTGTACCCCTGTGGGATATAATAGCGTTTGTACCCAACGTCTGTGCACTCAAAGTTTGCTGGACCTCAGAGTGCACACCACAGTTGAACCCCTCTGCAACGAAAGCCCTCAAGAACGAAATTCTCGCGGCAACGAAGAAATTTGGCGGCCCCGGCGAACGTCTATAGAGTTCGATGCATTTGCACCCTCTCAACAGCGAAGAGTTTTACAGCGGAGCTGTTAAGGGCTAGTTTCTCCAGGATTGTGTCCACCAGCAAAGAAATGATGACACCGAACTCTGGACAGCTACTGCCTTCTATGAGCGACGGCGGCAACCAGACAGCTGGTTACCGCCGTCACTCATAGATGGCGGCAACCTTTCTTCGGAGGAAGAAGAGCGGGAGCAAAACGAGCGGCGATGTGCGCAGCAGCGTGAACTGTTCCGCAACCGCTGCAAAGCCGCTATCACCTAAAGTTCACTGCATCGAGCGCTTCAGATTCCGTTGCGAAAGAAGAGCAGGTCGCTCGCCTGGAAAGCCACCATCGAGAACAGAAGCTACAGCTCCGCTGCTCTTCCTTCTTCACCAGACTGGAAAGGCTGAAAGTTTTTAAAAAGCAGTCCCGTATTAACGAAAGTTTGAGGTAATGATCTGCAACATTTTTTTGGCACATGAGTTAATCGGGAACCCAGTAAAGCAAAAAGTGGAGCAGCACATTTATCCGACAGGTTGGGCACATACGTTTCCGACAAGCATCGGCGTGGCCATTGCTGTTTACATTCGGTCATATAAAAATAAAAATAAAAACAAGTTTTTTTTTTTTTTGGTTGCTGAAAACGGTGTTTTGCGAGCCCATCTGTTGGCAACTACGTAGGTATGGGACGTTTGTTGTGATGACACTGCCGGCCGCCCACTGCCTTTTCGCCGTCTGCCGCGTGCACGCTGAGATCGCTCGCGCTTTGTTCACTACCTTTCGTTTGGCCTGTCAAAGATGTGCCGCCTCCCATTAAAAAACGCAAGTTTTTGGCGCAGTCTGCGATCATCACCGAAGCTGCGAAAAACAGAAAGACGTTGGATATTGCGGAGCAGTTCAGTATCGCGTGCAACTTACTTTTTGTGATTTTGAAATCCAAGGACAGCATCAATTTTGGTTCTGGAAAGTAATAGCAGTGATGTGATTGCTGCGCCAATTGCGCCAAACTGCGCCAAGGGGCTAACCCTGCTACATCCTGCTACATTTTGCCAAAATATGGGTAATCTGCGCCAAGCCTGCGCCGAAGGAGCAATTTCGGTCGCCTTTCAAAACCGAAACTAAACTGAGAACCGTAATTGCGCATGCGTCAGCTAAGTGGCATAAGCGGCCGCCCGACACAAAGTACCCTGCATCAATCGTCTATCCGGTCTTGCATATTTTTTCCCGCCGTCTTAACCTCCTTGCCGCCGTCTCTCGTTTCGTGGCCTCATGCCCAACGTTGCTCCTGCCCTCGTCCCTCGTCGTCTGGAAAATCTCGTCTCGCGTCTTTTTTCAATTTTTTTTAACGATAGACGCGGGCGTGTGCGGGTGCCGCGACGCTAGTGTGCGGGTGCCAGCCGTGCCGTCATGCTGTGAAACAAAACCATGTTTTTGGGCGACGAGAGTTACTTTGTGAGCTGAAGAGCTGGCGCGACCACAGTCACCGTGGTCGCGCGACGTCGAGTGCTGCCGTCCCCACGTCGCTGCAGATATGGTGCTTTCTAAACTTGTTCTTCGACATTCCTAGCCTTCTTTAAATCATACTCTACTACAAGAAGCCCTCTAACTCAAAGACTGCTTGTCGAAATACTGATTACCTAGGTTCCTCTCGGTGAACTTCCTTTCAAGAGGGAGTCCGGTACGTGAAAAATTTGCCGCGAAAGAAAATTGGTGAAGAGAAGTGAGCTAAAGCAAAGGCAATGTCTGCATGTTGAACCCGCACAGCGCGCTTATTTGCCTCGAGTTTGGTCGTTGCACAAAAGTGCTCCAAAAACCGTTTTGACCCTGGCTCGCGATGTAATGCATCGATGCGCTTAGGTTCTTTTTTTCTGTATGTACACCTTGTACATCGCCTGCCGGCCTGGCAAGCACAAACCGCTCGACTGCTTTTCTTTCTTTTTTTTTTTTGTATGCTGGACAGTTACATTTTGCACTTTATTTTGGGAACCAGTTGGCGACTGAGGAGAGTGGCATTGTTTCGGTTTCGATTGAACAGCCATAGTCTCCGCTCGCACAACGAAGTTTGTGCCACTTCAAGCCTGCTGAAGTTGCCCTCACGTGCATGTGAACATGACTGCATGACAAAGGCGCCAGCCAGGACGCTTGCCATTCATTGTTTTGCGTTTGCTTACTTTGGACGAAAATCTGGCACGTCGGGAACCAGTTAAACGGTGACAAGCGTTATTTTCAGAATGCCTCGGCAACGCCTATAACACTGTACACTTGTGGGATGTCTCAGCAGTAAAACACAAACAGCGAGTTCTGTCACAATATATCACCAAGTTGCCTTCGTTTGTCCAACAATTAAAACAAATACTTAATTTTTCTAAGAATATCTGCTCCAAAAGCGACTTTTGCTGCTCCGAAACACTGTTTGGGCTGCTCCAAAAGCCTCCTTTGCTGCCCCAAGACACTGATCTGGCTGCTCCAAAGGCCACTTTTGTTGCTCCAAAGACTGTTTTGGCTGCTCCAAAAGGTGCTCCAATCACTGTAATAGGTGTGCTTCTTTGTCCATTTTCGCAACAACAAAATTTTCGTGAGAACGATAAAAAGTTTCCTTCCTCGGTGGTTTCATTATTGCGGGGTTCGACTGTAGTTGGGTACAAACGCTATCGTCATCCCACAAAGGCACTATTTCGGTTTCGCCCACAAATCGAAAAATTTGTATCGCAACATAAATATTAAGCAAAAAAAAAGATTGTTTTTTGCCAAACGTTTGTTTTGACATTATTAAACTAACCAAGAAGAAACAAAAAAACTTTTTTTTCTAGGTTTAGTGTTTCTTTACGAGTTAGACAATGCTAGGAGGCGCTACAGTGGTCGCTCCTGCAATGCCCACGGCTTGCCTCGTCTTTGCAGGAGAGGAGCCCGTTGCCTACGTGCCCAAGAACTACCACGTGGTGCCGCGCCAGCCACCGCGCCGGGACAGCGACGTGAATGAGGTGGCTCACCTGGACGCACCCAGCGAGGACGGCGGCAACAAACGGTTCAGCCGCCGGATCAGGGGCCTCCATGTTTCGTCGGACGAGGAGGAGGCACCCAAAGCTGCGGCAAGTGGGCATGCGACGACGGACGGCGCGACCAACAGCGGGAGGATGCCTCTCCCGCCGCGCTGCGAAGTCTCGTCCAAGTCGACGCCCACGAGCCAAAGTGAGCAACGTTTTTCTTTTTCTTTTAATGCAGAACGTGTTTTACAAGTCGTTGATTGCGAGAAAATTGTCAGTGAGAGTCACAGTGAGCGTCGTGAACGAGTGACACATCGAGAGCGTTACGCACGTTGAGGTAACATAAAGTTTATGCACAAAGTTGAAGTGCCAACGGGGCTCCAAGCCGGGTCGGTGCAGTGGCAGCTCGACGCCGTAGCCACCGATCTACTAGCACAGCCGATCTGGACAGGTAAACGATTTCGGTTGAATGCAAGCATGCTGGCGAGAGCGGGACGTTTTGATTGAAGATGAAAAATGAAATAAAAATAGATGATAGAAAGAATAAATAATCTAGCAGAAACCGCGCACGAAGTGTGGTTTGTGCGGGACACATTCTGCGATCCCCAATCTTTGTCGACATGATCAGGGTTGTCATTTTTTTGTTTCTCAATACACCAATTATTTATTAACAAGCGATTGTCTTTTCTTTTCATAAAAGGTAATTTTACGGGCACATCTTAGCTCTTAAAGTCAACACTGCGTCAGTGCTGCTGTCGGTGCTGTTTGTGCGCGTAAGCAAAGAAAGGCAGGGTCACATGCAGCAAAGCGTTCGTGGAGTGCTGAAAAGAAAACCGAATTTTACGTTCGCATTTATACGGCGTAAGGTCGGTCTGCCTTTGAGGTGCGGCAACGCTGGTCTACGCCGCAAACTAGAAATTTCGCCAGTGCAGTACCACTGCTCGCCTGGGGTCTTTAGCTTGCGGTGGTGATGCACGACTGCATGCCGGTATGATGCTCATCCAACAGGTGCTGATTAGTACAAAGTCTGCACTCTGCTTTTAGCACAGAACTGTGTCTGCCTTGATTGACGGTCGCAGTGTGAGACACAGCACGGCGAACGCCGCGACGCGATCGACCAGACAACGTTTTCATAGCGTGCGTCCCCAGGTAGCCTCAGCCGACAGTGTCTCCGCCGTCCAGGCGGTGCAACTGAAAGAAAGAGAAACTTACAAAACCAAAGAAAGTGTCTCATTCCCGGACGCGCTCTATTTCTGCTTGGAGCGTCTGCTCTGGCCTTGACGGGCGCCAGCCGGCTTGAACAACGCTCCAGAGATCTCTCCGCTTCATCATTTTTATAAAACTGTTATTGCCGCCGTTGAAGCACGAAACTAGGGTCAGTGACGAAGCAGTGCCTAAACGACACACATAGCGCAAGTGCCAAGGCTGCCATCTGGTGTTGCCGCTTGCAGCCAAGGTGAGGAGGGGACTTTATCTGGTAGCTGCGACACGCACGTCATCCACACCTATGGACTTTCACCCGCCTTGCTACTGCCATTACGTTGCTTCAAAACTCGTCGCTCTGTTTTCTTCTTTGCGCCTCGGCGGATGTGTTGTCTTTGTGTTTTTCGTCGCGTTTCGCTGAAATCATTAACACACTTTTTTCCCCAAAAAATTTACACATATTTGGGGGATGCGTTCATTACGCGGGGTGTTAAAGTTTTGCATTTACACACTTCGTGCTAATGTCATATTAGGTGCCAATGTGACATGGCAAGGTACCGTGGTGAGTCTCCACTGATGGAGGCACACCCATGGCTGGTCAGGGGCACGCCACAGTAACCATACTCTCTAAATTCAAACCTTTTTATGGCGCTTTCGGCGTGCCTTAAAAAAGGAAAAAAAAACACAAAAAAACACGGAGCTCACTCAGCACGGAGAGTAACCCGACCATTCTTGGGCCTAACCACTTCCACCCGCTGTCCGAAAGCGAATCAGACGGCGGCGTGTTTGTTCACATCAATGCATCCGATAGGCGAAGAATGTCCGGGGATGGGCAATTCCTCGACCCAAGCTTCGTCAAGTGTGCGTGCCGCTCGGTTTCACAGTTGATCACATCCGCAACTATGCACTTGCGGCCGCTTGCAGCCATTACGAAAGCTGCTTGGCTTGGCTCGACTACGGCTGGCGGCAAAAGAAAATTGACTTGGTGGCTAGCTAAATTGGACGCAATTCGAGACTCGCGGAGCCGAAAATTGGAAATGCGTTCATTACGCGAGGGAAAAAAAAAGTCCAAATACGGATGCCCCTTGTGGTGGGTGCATTCATTATGCGAGTAAATATGGTACTTTGGCTGTTTGCCTACCTCATACTTGTGATGAAGTCATACGATACATGGAAATTAACGTTAGCACTGATGCACATTGGATATATGAATGATTCTAAGGTAACACAGGGGTTCAAAGGCCAATTATTTATGACAACTTGCGTTTGCTTACTAATAGCGGTGGCACATTTGCAGAAAGACGCAAAATAATCGGTCGGTGCATAGGTTTACCGTGCTGCATAAATTTCCATAGAACTACGGCCACAGCTTAAGAAACGTCCACGGGCTCCTCCCACATGGCAATGTCGTGTACGCAAGAAGTGAATGCCCGTGGCTCGGAGTCCGGTAGAGGCAAATGTGAATTTCCCCGTGCCGCCAATTCCGAGGCGCCTATGCAGAATCGCGTGCAATTGTTTTTAATCCTTAACCGAGTCGCGGGAGGGAGTCGCATAAACTGCCCGTGCTGCAGGGCGTGCCGCTGGCCAGAGCGATGTTCGAAGATAGTGGAGTCACAGCTGCCAGAGCGGCATCTATCATCGTTTCAATCAGACAGGAGCGCATCGCGTTGAAGCAAGTAAACGAGCAAGGTACTAGATAAGAAAGGACGCGCTTGCGCACTTCGCAATTCTCGGCGGCAGGCGGCACGCCCTCAAGGAGCGCTCCGGTGTTATCTGTGCGACGTCACTTCCGTGACCAGGTTTTCGTGACATCGACCCCCCAACTTTGCGCCCCCTTCCAAGCGTGAAGAAAGATGTAGTTCTACGTCAGAAGGGTGACAGAAACAATCGGTGTAAACAGCCACTATTTGCATTTCCTGAAAGCACTGTCCTTTTTGTTTGCTGATAATATCACACCGACATCTGTTTGACATTCTTAATCGTTTTTGATATATAAAAGTTTGCTTGATCAATTTTTCATGAATATTAAAAAAAAAAAAAAAAGCTGCACCCTTTTTTTTTTTTTTGTGGAAATGGAGCGTGCTGGTTAAGTTACGGTGTTTGTGGAAAATTAACATAGAGGAAGAAAACCAGACGACACGTTTCTCCGTGTCATTCGGTTTTTGTCCTCTATGTTATTCTCCAGAAACACCGTAACTTGTTTTCTTGTGCCTGCAGTTTTTCTGGTTTTTTAATGATTTGCTTAAGTGGGGGGGCTGGTCTTTAACTTTTGGTTTTTTATATTTTGTTTATCGTGCTGAAATTTAGTATACTGATGTATTTCTCTGTTGTGATTTCAAATATGCAATTTGTTTTCAGATAGCTCTACTAAATCTTGATGTATTAATAAATGCGTCATTTTAATCAGGTCCTCCTTACGGGTCGTTAGCATAAGAGTTTTCAGAATATATCAGACATTTTTATAGAATTGCATTCACCAAGACATGTTTTATGCGGTGATGCTATTTTTGTTGCTTTATATATCATACAATAATTTTAATTAATTACCTAGTCTCAAAAAGATATAGCCTCCCGTTTTTATTTAATTTATAGCCGTTTACAACTCTCTGTAACTCCTAATTAGAGCGCAGCTCTTGAGGAGGAGGAGGGGAGAGTATACGCCTCCTCCGTCCTTATCCTGTCTCCTATTCCTCTGTCTGAGCAACATCGCCGTCGCCTCACGAGGGTTACGTGACCTCACAGGGGGGTCATGTGACGTCACCGAGGTCACGTGACCCCCGTGAGGTCACATGACCCTCATGAGGCGATGGCGACCCTTCTCGGACAGAGGAATAGCAGACAGGATGAGGAGGCTCAGTACCCTTCCCTCCTCCTCCTCAAGAGCTGCGCTCTAATTCGGCGTTACAGAGAGTTGTAAACGGCTTTCATTTTTTTCTGTTGGCGTTCATTTCATAAAATTCATTTTGTGAGGAATGTGTTCAATCTTCATTATTTCACCTGCGCGGTAGAATTGAGCACAATTTACTTTTTGAATATCTGAAAGCTATACCCGCCTGCGCGTTAGAATCGTGCAAACACGGTAAAGGGAATCTGCTGCATCCGCAATTCCTTTAATCATGACACAGGCTGTCATAGCGAACAGCAACACGGCTATGTGCACGTTGAAACCCAAACAAACCAAATTGAAGCAACCTAATGGCGGCGAATGCACCAGCGCCCTCTATCTGCCGATCAGGCAACTACTGAAGCCAATAATGCACATACAGGCTGTGTTTGGCTCATAGTTGTGCATCTGTGGCTTGGTTTTAGAGTTGAGCACCTCATGAAGGAAAACTGTCATTAAACACTACTAGTAGATCTTCATCACGTGGAAGCACAAGCCCAGTGTACCGTATTTTCCGGGCTATAGTCCACAGGGGAAAATTCAGGGTCAAAAATAAAAGCTCTTGCTTAGATAGTCCACACACGGTGCATAGTCCACACGCCGTGCATGATCCGCACCTTAGTCGAGACTAAGCACCTGGTGCTTAGTCGAGACTAACATCTTCTCATAGACGGCACACCTTGACAAATGTCTACTTCCTTAGCTCACAAAGAAGCTATTATTACACATAAATCATCATTCACATACTCTTTGATTCACAAACTCCATCACGTCTTGTCATAATCGATATTGAAAAACAAAATTCTTGTATAATCTGCTCAGCCTGAAATTTCAACTTTTTAGCATGTATAATCTGCAGACCATAGCTCGGAAAACGCGGTAATCAAGAGACGGTCCTAGTCAAAGCAGGCAATGGTTTTGACCTTGAGCATCTTGTGAGTGGACACTGTCATAAAACACGGTCTAACCCACTTATAACGAGTCCGGGTATAGTACTTGTGCTGCTACACTTTTATAGCAATTTTAATTCGTTTTTAACGAACAAAGTAAAGGCAGTGCTGCAGATGGCAAAACACGCAGAGCTTTTTTTTGTTGGCAATTTTGTGAATCTGGGTGAATCTACTGTAAATGCATTGCACGCACCATGGCATTCTTGTTTCGCAACTTTAGCAGCCGAGAATCTTGAAACATGTTTGATACTGGCGGCACTATACAAAAATTGTGTTATTGACAAAATCTGCGATATTTTTCGAAGTGTAACAATGCAATACAGTGGAACCTCATTCATACGTTCCTCGGTTTTTGCGTTTTTCCGGCTTTTACGTTCAGAAGTGCTGGTCCCGCCAAGCTCCCATAGGAACATGCATATTTATTTCCTGTTTAGTGCGTCAGTTTTTTCGGTTCTTATGTCCAAAAAACCAACGTCATGGCACCAACAGCACAAACTGATTCATGGATGGATTCGTCGCATGGCGGCACATCCGCAGACCATCGGCCTCCCAATGCTTTCACACGGAGGATAGGACAAGGGACAACAAGGATCGGTTGAACCAGTGCACAATGACACCGTCGTCTTAGAGCTAACGCAACGTTTGTCGCCGCAGTTGCGGAGCTTTTGCGTTAATACGAAACAGAATCATTGCGTGCTCCTGTTGGGTGCTGCGCAAGGCAGAATGTTGTAATAGGCTTAGCGTGAGGTGCCACTACCTTTACTAACCCAAGACGCAACTCAAGTGGGGTCCTGCTCGAAGAGGGTCGGAGTAGAAGCGACAAGAGTCCTGGGCTTGCGAAGGGGCATTTGCCCGTGTCCCCATCCCCGAGCACTCGTGCATAGCACTTCGATGCACCACAGGTGCAAAAAAGTCTCGGCCAACGTTAATTATGATGTGAAAGATGCGCGTCGATAAGCGATGTGCATAGCGTATCACACTTGCCTCTTCATCGGAATACTCGTGAACGGTGTCCAAGTATGTCTCGATTTTCGGCCTCTTCTGTGGAGGTCTAAAAAGGCAAACGAATTCATGCTGAACATACAAGCAATCCTTGTTGTCGCTGCTACTCGTGCCGCTGCTGCTGGAAAAGCCGCTTGAGCAGCTGCTTGAGCAACTTGAAGATCAACTGTTATGAAGCAGCAGCGCAGCAGTAAAGCGGGCAGCAGTTTGCGAGCGGTCGTTGCAAATTGCTCCGCGGCGAGATCATTCGAGATGCCCGGCGAGAAAGGAAGTCACGTGTGTGTGTACCGCCAAGGGCTAGCCTGGCTGGCTTCCGATCCAATCCGCCAAAATTGGCGGAGTGACTTTTCTCGGATCCGGATCTAGATCTGAAGTGGGAGCTGATCCAAAATGACGAGTGGAACAGGTTATTCTCGATCCCAATCACCCAGTGAAATAGGCGCGCTCCAGAAAAGTTTTTCTCGGCACGCTCCAAAACGACTCGTAGAATTCGCCACGAGTACACACCGACCAATGTTTGTGTAAAATGAATTATATTATCTCGGTTGTTACCTGTCTCGTCTCTAGCACCCCCTAAGTAGCATTCTCGTTCCTTATGTTTTCCCGGATTGTATGTTTTATTCAGGGTGTCTACCGACCGGGAAAACCGGGAATTGTCAGGGAATTTTAAGACACCCGGAAAAGTCAGGGAATTGTCAGGGAAATTTCCAAAAAGATTGCCGAGTCAGGGAATTTATCCCATGCTCGCCCGCTTACGCTAGAAGCGGCAGGCATGGGCAGGCATAGCCACGAGCGCAGTCAAGTGCGACGTCGCGACCCCCCTAGGCGCGATGCGACCCGCCCAATTTTCCACGCGCTGCGTTTCACACGAGAGCATGTGCGAAGCTGGCAGCTCGTCATTCTTTTAGTAAACTCTAAAGCCACTAAATAAGCTACACTTTAGAGTAGCAACGCTAAAGTATGGCGGCTATAGAGTTACTCACAGTTACTAGTGAAGCAGAGTAGCAGCGGCCATTTTGTTTAGTTAGTGACTCTAGTCAGGTGGTGTTGCTCTAGTACGAGGAGAAACAGTTACTCTAGCCGATACTAGGTGGCGCAAGTCACCACTCACTCGAAAGAGAACAGCCGTCGTTCATTCATCTACCCTCTGAGAGGCGCGTGATTAGCGATCCATTAGTTTGTCAGATATTGTGTTTTCGCGCTTCCCCGTAACCGCAACCTGGATGCCTCCGCTCTACGAGCTCTGCCACGTGCGTTTGTGGCTTTGGGTTGGGCTTTCTATTGTGTTATTTCCCGAAAGGGGTGATATGCGAAAGTGACTATGTCGCTGTCGAGAAAGTGCTCCTTCAACCTCAACTGGACAAACCCGGACATATGCACGAATGCAAGTTGGATTCGGCCCATTCCAAATTATCCAAATAGTGCTCACTGCACAATGTGCTGCAAGAAGTTCTCCCTGAGCAACGTGGGGAATAGGGCGATTACTACTCATGTTGAGGGTAAAAAACATCAAGCTGCTATGAAATCTCTGCAAAGCGTTTCCCAGACCCGAATCGTATTTTTCAAAACTACGACAAATGCGGGCTTGCCTTCCGTGACAGCAAAAGAAGGAAGTCACAAAGGCCGGGGATCATGTGGTGCTTGAACACTATAACTACTCATGGGTCTTTCCGTTCAGCGGCAGCGTCTACTTTGCTGTTTCCGTTGATGTTCCCCATGAGTGAGACCGCCAGAAAAATGCAGCTTGGAAAAGACAAAATGGGATATACCATATGTCATGGTATCGCTCCATACTTTCAAGAGAAGTTGCTAGCGAGCCTCTCTAGCATGCCATATCTGGTGGTTGCTTTTGATGAGTCACTGAACAAAGTAACTCGGAGAACAAATTGATGTACTGACCAGGCGCTGGGACCAAACTCCCTGAAACAGTAAACCCGGGTCAATGCTGTATTCTAACATCTTCTGAAGTTTGCTTTATCTAACTTAAAGAAAACATTTTACGTTGTGAATAGTGTGTATCTATCGTATATTGTGTTTTGGTGTCGGTAGTTGTGGGTCAGGGAATTCAATTAAAATAGTCAGGGAAAACCTGGAAAAGTCAGGGAATTTGAAAAAAACAATTTGGTAGACACCCTGTTTATTTCTCGATCCCTCCGAAAAACGTATCAACGAAGTTCCTTTCAAGAAGTTCGTAGCTGAAAGCACAAAGAATATCCAATGATTATGATGTCTTCTAATGCAGAGCGGGCTACTTTTCGTACACAACACACGGAGCTCTGCTCCGGAGTAAAATTCCACAACTGAGTTGGCCTAATAACATTGCATAAGGCATCAACGGGGTGTGCAACCAAAGTTTGCACACTTTATAACGTGCAAAAATAGTAGTTGTCATTAAGACAAAATTACAAGCTGTCATATCTGAACCCTCAGAAATTGTAGGAATCTTGGGAGTTACGAGTTTCGCGGTTCTGCGGACGTAGCCCCATGCCCTGCCAGACGGGTCTTGAACAATTCGCAGGACAAAGGGGACAATAGACCTTTCCGGAAAATCTCGCAGAGCCTTTTGTAGACCTTGAATTGCACCGTGTGGCACTGGGAATCATGGGCCCGTTCCGACGTGCATTCGAGCCTGCTCGCACACTCCATACATTTTGAAGGTAACGCAATTCATTCTCGCTTACCACTGCGAGCTCAGAACACAACGAAAATGGAGCGAACACATTTCAAGGGCCATACATACCCTGTTTTGTTATCGTCCCATATTTTCTGCGTTCTGAAATCGCAAAATACTAAATCAACATGAACCCTTCCTTCTGTTCGTGGGTACTCCTTCATGCGCCGTACGTCAGAAGACGATGGAAAGCACTGCATATTTCCGGAACGGTCTATCGATGAGCCTTTTTGGGTGAGCCGTGCAGCCGAGTGCCATCGTATGGAGGTTAACCGAGGCTAAAGGCCGTCGTCCCCGGGACAGGCGAGCCATCCGGCCGCAGGGCGTATGCGGTGGTGCGGCGCCGCAAGTCCCCCTGGTTCGGCTGCCACTCCCGGCGCCGGATACGCCTCGCCACCACGCAGTACGCCCCGGCCACCCCCAAGCACCCGTCGTCGACCGGTACGGTCACGCATGCCTCCTCTCCCAAGGGCTGTGGTCTGCTGCCGGTGTCGCACGCTCTCCCCCTGCACGAGGTGTCCTGTTGAGGGTGTAGTCGGTGTTGATTTGGGGATTTGGTGGCAGTCTCGCTCTCTTCAACGAACTCATGGCGCGGAGGAGAGGGGCTGTCCCTGATATCGCATGTTTGTGTGCCTTAGTGTCCATAAAAATTACACCCCCCTCCCCCCCCCCCCCCCCCCCCCCCCCCCGCCCCCGCCCCCGCCCCACCCACAACGGAGTGGACCATCTTTAGGGATGAACATGCCATCTCTAGGAATGAGCGCCTCTTCAGGTAGGAGGAGGCTATCTCTAGCGATGAGCATGCCATCTTTAGGGATGTGCGTGGCTCCTCTAGGTATGCTTGCACCATTTCTAAGGATGAATGCACTATCCCCAGAGATGAGATCCCCAAAATATGAATAAGAGAGTTAAGTGAACTTCCAAAGCATTAAGTCGAGATAGTGCTAGATTCGATTCCTATTCGACTCGTGCCTACACTTTTTTTTCAAGAACAGAAAATTCAACAGAAATTGTTGATGGTCTATTGCTCAGGACATTACGGTATTTAATCTCATTTTTATTTTCTTACTTTTTGTTCTAGGTGTTAATAAATCTAGATGAGAAATTCCTCAAACATGTGGGGTGCTCAAACTTATTTTTTTTGTTTATTTGCTCCAAATTCTTGTTGTTGTTGTTTTTTTCTTTTTTTTTTTGCTTGTTAAGTTTGGGGGCGGTGCACTGTGAAAGAGGGTGTCTCAAGGTTCGGCAAACCCCAGCGTCGTTCCACGCTCATTCCCTGCTCGTAAAGCTTGGATTGCAGTCGCAAAGGTTTGGTGGTAGAGGGAAATGCTGACGTCCCATCCGCTCGGTTGGATGCAGGCAAAGCGGCAAGGGCGAGGCTCAAGCGGCGACGTCTCAGTTCCGAGCACACCGTCCCCAAGGAGACTCCGACTGCGTGCACCAGCCCCAGCTCTTCGCTCAATACCACCGTGCCCTTGGACGTGACGTTGCCTCCAGCGACGGAAGTTCCGGCTTGTTCCGTAGAGCAGGTGAGAGGCGGCACAGTTTGCTCGTCGTCTGCTTTCTCCCTTGTTGACAAGGTCCGTCTGCTTGTGCATCTTTTATACTTTGTTTTTATATGTCTGGACACAACACCTGAAAGGGATGCTGATCCGAAATCTGGATTCCACAAAACACGGCGGCGTAAGCGTGCAACGGGATGCTACAGACACCAAAACATCATTCATACAGCTATATCTCAAAGGGATGACCGTATTTTCCTAAAAAAAAAGGAGGCGCATTTGACAGATATGTTGACGTCCTGTTTTCTGAGAAGAGTCGAGAAGGAGAGGAAACAGCCTCGCGTGTTCTCCGCGTCGCCACCTTGAGGGGGCAAAGCGAAGAGAGGAGGAAACGAGATATGTTGGGGGGACGTCGCGCACCTCATCGACCTTGTTCAATCTCGACCTCTTCTTCCGAAAATAAGGCCGTCCATTCAAGATCTTGCCTTACGAGTAGTGTTGTAGGGATTGTAGCTCCTGCATTGTTTTTTGAAATCCAAATTTCGGTTCATCATCCCTTTAATATACATCATGTTTGATTTTAATTGAAACAGATCTATTTTGAAAAAAAGGTTGTGAAAGGTACTTAATGTGGTCTATGCGGGTGGATTATACGGCTATGGCGACTTAATATAGGGGGTCGCTCGTCGCAATAAGTTCATTTTAATCAGTCAAGGTGATTGTAAAATTCCAGTTAGGAAGGGTTAACTTGAGCGCGGTCACACACTTAAGTTTCTCTTGCAACCGGTGCAAGTGTGGCAGTGTGAAAATATGTCCAAGCGTTTTTTCTGCTCTTGTCATCTGCGTTTTAGCACTACCAGCCTTACACCTTTTGCATGAGTAGTCACTTAGCGCACGACCACGCTTTCCACGCGTGAAGTCTTTGGAATGTATACTGATTTAGTGGTGTGCTATGGCACTTAGCAAGTTTCTGATTGGATTGGAATTGCATCTTTATTTTCACTCACTGAAAAGTTAACATATTTTAGTTAGTTGTCCAACTCATTGGGATGATCGGCCCCTACATGTTACGTTCCCCCAACCACATAACTCGCCTGCTAGCTTTTGCGATTTTCTTAAAACAAATCTAAAGCCTAAAAAGACGCCCTACGGGATGTCAGAAATCTCGTGGCTGGCTCTGAAATCGGCTAGAAAAATCGGCACCTGCATGCAGTTATCTTACATTTTGACCGAGATTCTGTTTTATTGGGGAATTTTGTCTCGTGAAATTCTGAATCCTGGTCAAGATGCTCGCAATGATAGCGGTGTGGCCACCTGGTAAGAGAGATTTCTGTCTCGTGGTAAGACACCCAGGTGGCCTAAATTGACCTTGAATGATCCACTGCGACATTCCAGGCATTCTCCCTTGGTTTGGAACAATAAACTCCCAATCTTTCATTTTATTTAAAAAAAAAATATATTTATATTTCTCTGTTTGCAGGCGGCAGTGTCCAGCCCGGACAAGGCTGTCGAGGTTGGAGAGGCTTCTAATCATACACAAGGTATTCGATCTTCGACTTGGAATCGTCTAAAAGAAATTGTGTTTGAGTGTACGAGGTGACATCAAACAGTTTCCTAGCTGGCTTTATAAAAGGTGGCGGACTCAGCCGAGGTGTTAGGGGCTAGCGTCTCCCTCAATGTACGGTCAAACTTGTTTATAATGCAGTCCACAGGAGTTGGAATTATGTTCACTATTCCCAATATTCCCAAAAAAGGCAATCTAGATTCCTTTTTTTTTTTCTTTTTTTTTTTTTTTTTGTTATGGGGATTAGCAGCAGACAAATGGCATAAGCTAGTTTAATTGCCGCCCTCTCATTCGTTAAATTTTCCATGTAGTGGCTGCAATGATGCCGCGTTTGTGTTTTAATCAAATACCCGTCACATGTACACATTTCAATGCACCTGGAGGTGGGCTTCTCTATGTGCGACTTTGCGCTGCAAGCCACGCAGCTTGCGGCTGGTGCGTGACTGTGCATGGGTGGGATTTTCATTCCTGAATGCCATAGAAGGAAACGAAATGTGGCGGAGCAAACTTTCATTGCGAGCAAACCTGTCGGTATGCGACGAGGACGCGACGCTATTGATGCAAATGGACAGTCAACAATTTGTTTAGAGCGAAGTTCTTATACCCTAGTTACACGGGCACTCTCAACCGTCATTGAGTCAACGACAGTTGACTCAATCGCGATCGGCCGGAGTTACACGGCGGCGCAAACTGTCATCGAGCCGCTAATGACAGTCGAGTTCAACTGAGGTCCCCTACCTCAGTTCAATTGAACGGACTTCCCCAACGGAGGTTAAATGGCGCCTGTCCGTAGGACCGCTGCCGTCAACCATCGTTTGCGAGGCACTTACTGTCGTTGATGACGCAAACACTCTGCGGACACGTTCATAGTATACATACACACAAGGCAGACATGCTTTGAGCGTTCTTGACGTGAGTCCACAGATAGTTCTGTCCTTTGTACGACGTATCGGAACTGCAGCTTCAAAGGGCTACTCCGGTGACCTTTACCCGTTCCAGCACGCTATTTAGCATTGTGAAATTCGGAATAGTTGCTAGGAAATCGCCGAGCAAATACGGTGCTGGTCGAGCGGGCAGTCTAAAGAATGGGCCCTGCCAAACGTTTGTTTTGTGCCGGCACCCCAGTGCCGGAGCGAGCTTCCGAAGCATTCGTTTGACACCCTTGAGCTTCTTGTAGTCGATTGGGAGCAGATTCTACGACCCAAAGTGTGAACCCCCGTGCCTGCCGCTGGCATCACTTACTCGTCATTGCCAGTAGAGGCCTTCAGTTTAGAAAACGCCGTGAGGACCAAAATTGTATATTCAATAACTTCGCAAAAAAAAAAAATATATATATATATATATATATATAATATATATATTTTGACCTAATATTTAGGTCAGGAGTTTGGTGACTCTCGTTGGCGTGTTTAGTCGATTTTCAGGCAAATTGGGGATTACAACGAAAACGGCGGAGTAGGGGGGGATTGCAAAATACTGTCCCGTGAAAAAATGGCCATGAGTTTTCACTCGGCTATCAAAACAAAATTTTTATGCACCATTTGAAAGAGCAGGAAATTCTGCACATATATACATAGTACAATTAGGGGGATGCGGGCGCTGAAAGGAAAAAAAACGTTGCGAAAAAACTGTGTTTTAGAAAATGACATACCGTATTTACTCGCACAATGAACGCACTCGCGTAATGAACTTTTTGCACAGCGCAGTCTGGACCTTGAGTTTGCGCGCCGCCGCGCCCGAGGAAGTAAGAAAGAGAAGTGCTCTGAGCAAACAAAACAGCTTGCAAAAAGCTGCAAAAAAAAAACAAAAAAAAACACGAAACTAAAAACAAAAAAAAAAAGCTTTTTTTTTTTTTTTTTTTTTTTTTCACAGCGCAGTTTGGTTGCTGGGCGGGGGGGTGGGCGCCGGGCGCAAAGAGATAAGAAGTTACTTTGATTTTTCAGGATAAAAGGACAGTTCATTATGTGAGTAAATACGGACGCAAAAATTTTACTTTGCGTAATGAACGCTCCCCCCCCCCCCCCCAACTTTGCATCGATTTTTCGGTAAAAAAAGTGTTCGTTCTGCAAGTAAATACGGTGTTTGGGTTGTTTATCCCATAAACTACCTTCCTTTCAATCCAGCCCTAATCAATTAATATAGGTAAAAGCTTTGTGACTTTCGACTCTGTGAAGTAAGATAACCAGCAAAGCTGTATTGGGATGACTATATTGACAACTCGCGGTACTCGGGGTCCTGACGGGGCGCATTGCACACGCTTGGCGTTGGTGACCCTCTCCTCGTTGGTCATTTTCGCTCGACGACGTCTATCCCACTCGCACTCCTGCTGCTGCCGACACTCTAGACGGGCCCGCTGTTGTTGGTCAGAGAGCAGCTACCCAATGGTCCCAACCCGTCAACCGCTGTGTGTTTGGGGGCAGCAGCATCTCGTTGCTCTCGCGCCCATTTGTGCTTTTGCTCTCGTCGCTCTTTGAGGGCACGTTCTTCTTCCTCAGAGTGAACTACGCACATCCCGTCCATAGCAAGTCCAAAGTGCAACTGCTGATAACATCGCCCCCCCTCCCAACATTCCTCCTTTTCTCCATTTCTCCCGTCTGCCGCTCCTGTTGTCTGCTACAACATTGGTTTGCTTGCTTTCTTTTCGTCAGCTCCGCTTCGCTTTTTGCCATTTTTAGATCGTTTTTGACACTTTTTTTGGCAGTTTTGCGTCGTTTTCTCACGTGTTGCTTGGCCCTACACGATGCCAGCAGCGAAGCCCATGCTTTCGGTGCACGGTAGCGGTTCATGAAGCTTCTTCAGATGGCAAGGTTTGAAACCTCCATGCATCACATCGATGCTCCTATACTTTGTGTCACCATAGGTCAAGATGCAGCCAACACTACCAGTTGATGGGATCAATCGAGCAGCCTCAAAAGCATGACATCATGTTGATTGTCATGTGTGTATGTGTTCTACCATCGCCGAATCAATCACGTACAGGGAAGACCCAGTGACTTGAACATCTCACACTGTTTGATTGGTCCCATCAACTTGTAGCGTCAGCTGCGTCTCGACTTAAAGTGAAACAAAGTATAGCGGGGACTCCGATGCGAACCACCTCGGCTGCTTTGTACATCGCAAGCCACAGCAGGTGTGAATATGTCGTCCACCGTTCGTTTGACGACAATTTTCTGATGCAAGAAGAGATTCAAATGGTTGCTATACATTGCACAGCTGCTGAAGCTGAGCTTAGCACTATGTCAGCGACCAAAAGGAAGTTTCACATTGTGCAGCCTGATTCAGCAACCCCCACTACTTCATCTGCTATAAATGCAGATGCGAAGTTCGGCCTCGTCCAGGTGGTTGTTTGAACAGCGTTCTGCTTCACACTGTGCGAGTATTGTTGAGAACTCGGGCTGACAGTCCAAGAGAGCACCGAGCTTAGACTGGCCACGAAGCTGGAGGCTGTTTGTGCCATTTGTGGCATTGTGCCTTCTGCTTGGGGTTTATTATACCAAAAAGACTCTATGGCTTTTGAAGTGAACATTCGAGCCATGATAGCCATGAAGAAGATCGGGAGGGGGCAGACAGCTCTCAGTAATTTCTGGACAGCGATAAATGTTTCCCACAGAGGCCCTCATCGCAAGACTTTTCAGGAGCACCTGAAGAAGACATTCAGAGAGCCGCAGGCCCAGAGCTTGGATGTGTTTTACGCAGAGTCAGTTACTGCTGTAGAGATAGCCTACGATATAACAAACTATTTCAGTGCATAAATTCGATCTTACAAATACTGCAAAACCTATGCTTTAGTAAAACGCAGTTCCTGGGCGAGCTCATAGATGTAACCAACGTGCCAGTGTGCTCTGTCGTCGTAGGACATCACGAGAGGATGTGACACACTTGAAACTATGTGAACCCGCCTTTAGTGTGGTGGAAGGCTGTTTTCCTCGGCAATCGTGTGTGGCGGTTCGCCGCCGGCGCTGGATAATTGCCAGGAGTGCGTGGAGTACCAGGGCAGAGCGTGACTGTTTGGCCTTCCACGTTGCGTTTGCAGGGACGGAAGTGCCTCGCCAGTTGCACCTAGACCGGAGGCGGCTGAAGGAGATTGAAGACGAGGTTTTGTCGCTGACGGAGGGCTGCTCGGTGGAGACACTCGAACGACTACACTGCTCCTTGCTCAACGCCGTCAGGCGGCACCGATCCTCTTGGGACAGGGGACCCCTGCTGGCGGTGAGTTGACATTCTAAAGGCGCAGCATTCATAGGTCCTCCGTGACGTTGCGTGATGCGTAACGTCGTGTTGCACTGTGGTGTCACTTCGAGCGGGTTAACTGTGTGCATCGGAGCAAAATCTACCTGTTTAGATTTAACTCTTTCATTGAGCCTTCGGTATAAATTATAGACCTCTCGCGAAATCTAAGCGGTCCTAGCAGCATAGTGCCATGCGGAGCATCTTCGGAAACCCTCGGCCGCAGGTTCAGCAAATACCTTGGAGACCAATACAAGAAACTCCGGAGTGGAATGGGAGACAGAAGCAGGAAGCTATCCTGGTGTCGGGGAGTCGACTACTAAACATTTTCACTGGAAATGTAGCATGTGGGTCTGACTCACTAAAGGAATTGATAATCTATATAATAATTCTTTATTTGATGGAGCATAAGCTCGTGATATTGGACGTCTTGGTCTTTTGATGTCGAAATGCATTGTGTGCTGTTAGACGTGTCAGGATTTGTATCTAACTAGATGTGATTGGCTCCAAGTGACCATAATTGGCAGAGAGCATAAATTTTTGATGAGGTTGACTTGAAATGGCTCTAAATGATTACAAGTGATTATTATTGATAACTGATCTTTTTTTGTTTGCTACTAGCATCCTTTTTGACCAGATTGACTTGAAATGTATCTCAATGGCTATTGATAAGATAATTGGCAGTTATAGGCTATTTGGGTGTTTGGGAATGAGCATGGCTTCAAGTGGCTATTATTGGCCATAAGCAGTTATTTCTTATTAGATTGGCTTGAAATGGCTACAAATGGCTATTAGGAACTAGTGTTGATAGTTACAGGCCTGTAGCTCTCAAGTTTTGAGCAGCGCTTCAGGCGAGCAAAATAGAATATTTGGCTCGTGTTTGCGTCAATACGCCTCCCCACTACAGATTTTTATATACTCTGCATTCCATTCTAAGTGCCAGCGTAGCAGAGGCTACAATAGCGAGCTGAGAGCTTTAAGTATCTCTGCCAAGCACGCGCGCTTGCGCAGTGCAAATGCCGTTCAGAAGGACGTGCTTTTCCGAGTGGCTTCAGCTTCGCTGTCACGTAAAGAGAAACATACATGTTCGTGGAAGCTATGAAAGAAAGCAAAGATGAAAGGAATGATTAATGAAACGCTGCGGCCGCGAGCTGCATATTTTCTTTTTTTTTTTTTAGACGTTTTGTTGTTGCGAATTTACAAATGCTGACAGATGCTTGTATTTGAACGTGGCACGTGCAAAACCGAACGTTAGAGCACCACACGGATGATGAAGCCAGCATAACATGGTTGCGTCTTGCGTACGTCTTCCGGGCGTGCTCGCGCCCCCTGCCCGTAGAGCAGCGGGTCTATGGGCTATTTTTGTGTTTACGAACTGGAATGGCTTGAAGTGGCTATTGTTGGCTATTAGCATCTATCTCTGACCAGATTGGCCTCAAATAGCTAGCAATGGCTATTAATGAGTATAATTGACCCCCTAAGGAATGATGTCACAACATGGAGCGAAGCTCCAAACAGACCGTTGCTAGGACCAATGTTATGGACAAAGGCATAGCAGCTCGACCTGAGGCTAGAAATTGTCTGATGAAGTAAATCTTTTTTTTTGTAAGCAATGTGTCCTCTTCATATCTAATCACGAAGACTTTTTCTATTGTCTCAGTACCGTAAGGCAGTGACAAAATCCCAACATAAAGTTCCACTACCGGTTTTGCCTTGCTAGCAGATGACAAAATGGCTTCACGGGGTCAGTGATTCTTTCTGAGGAAGTACATGACTGAGTTGAATGAGGTTGGCGACGATTGACGAAACTTCTATTCTCGGGGTCAACTTTCTGCGGGATTTCAGAAGTGAAAAGCGCCCGTGCACATCTTTAAAGCAACGCTCGAGGTGCACGCTTTTAGAACATTTGAGAAGGTAAAAACACTGGGATGCCAAATCATGTACGACATCGGCGTGAAGTGTATCGAGGTCGAAGGGCAGTCCAGCAGACGTTTCCAAGATTTCTGACAGCACAGTTGCTTCAGTGCACATCTGTGTGATGAAAGGAACTGTGTAACATATACTGGGTGTTCTTTGCAGCAGAGCTGTTAATAGCCAGTTCCCCAGTTTCGTGTCCGGTACCAAACAAATGTCGACACAAAACTACACAAAACTCTGGACAGCTACCGCCATCTATGAGCGACAGTGGCAACCAGGCAAACAGTCTGGTTGCCGCCGTTGCTCATAGGTGGCAGCAGCCTTTCCAGCTAAACAAAATGGCTGGGTGGCGTAAGCTACCGCCCGATCCAAAGGGCTCAGCCGTATTCATCCATCCATCCATCCATTATAGAAGAATAGGTAGTTGGGCGAGTTGGTGGGAATTCATCATAGGAAACAGCGCGCAAAACAGACGAGGACAAAGAAGGAACACACGGGACGAGCATACAGCTTCGCTGGTCTTCCTTCTTCATCACAGTGGGAAGGTTGAAAGTTGTTTTTTTTAAGCTTTACAGATTTGTTTAAAAAAAGCTGTGAAAGTTACTTATGCGGTTTGTGCAGGTGAGTTATACGGCCAGGGGGACATTATGTGGGTGACTGATCTTTGTGAAAAGTCGACTAATTAATTAAAATTAGTTAAATTCTTAATTAGTGAAAATGACGTATGGTTCCAATTAGAAACTTACTGAGCGTCATTGAAAACTACTAAATCAATTCTTTTTGAACGACTTGAAGCTTGTGGGAAACTCGGGGGCACGCCAAAGTTACCACTCGTGAAGCAGGCGCAAAGCTAGCGTAATAAAACGCGGATGATAAAATTATCATCGCGTTCCGCATTTATTTTTTTTTTAGATTGGCTTGGAATGGCTAAAAATAGCTATTAAGAACTAGTGTTGCTAGTTGGGTGCTATTTTTGTGTTTACTAACAAGAATTGCTTTACCAACTGTATGAAAATGGCTTCAAGTGACTTTTATTGGCTATGAGCATTTATTTCTTATTAGATTGGTAGATTGGTTTGAAATGACTACAAATGGCTATTAGTAACAAGTATTGAAGGGGCACTGACACGTCAAAATCATATTTTTTCTTGTTTCCGGAACGATTGTAAACGATGCCTGGACATTAGCCTCAAAATTCGAAACTTGGAAATTCAGTATTTGTGAAGTGAAAAAACAATTTCCAAATGCCAAATATTGAGCAACCCTGTGAGTCGACTTTCTTTCCTGCCTCTGCTCCGAATGTGTGTGTGTCCACTTTTTCCGCCGCGATCCGAAGCGAGGAGGTGAGGAGTGGGAGAGAAGGACGCCGGCTTACCGGGGGAAACTTTTTTTCCGTGCGTGCCTTGGCGCCTGCCTATCGCTGCGAGCAGACGACGCTTGACGTCTCGCCGCTTCTGCGTGAAAGGCTGCCCCGGCGGAGTCACAACCAAAACTATGATACATAGACACCAAACCCAGATGTTTTGACCGTTTGACAATTTCTTTCTCGAAGCCTGAGAGGTCGTCTGGCACCTAAAAAAGACCACTTCATCTTATTCCCCGACTCACCGATAAGCCATGTTTCCTGAGGGAGGATAAAAATCCAGGAGGCGACATCGCAACGGACTCCGATTATTAGTATTTCAAAAAGGAGGGCCGTCATGCATTCGCAGTTGCGTTAAAAAACATGTTTTAACATTGCCTTATTAAATGTTGTAGAAATGTCGCCTACAAAGCTTCTAAATTTTATGATATTTGACGTCGAAAATCATAAGCAGCAAGGAGGTAAGGAGCAGGAAAGAAAAGCAACAAAAAAAAAAAAATGCGCACGTGGGATTTTTTTTTTTTTTTTTTTTGCGATGCGGTATTTTGTGTGTGTGTTTATGACTACAATTTGCATCGTTTTAGACAAAAAAAATATGACCTATGACCAATTTACAAACTGGAATGACTTTAAGTGGCTATCGTTGGCCATAAGCATCTATTTCTGACCTTACAATACAATATAATAAACTTTATTTTTCCAGAAGTACTGGAGGGGTCCCCAGACAAAAAGCTGCTAAAAGCAGCTTGACTGGGTCTGGGTCCCCCTTATACATGGCAGCAGCTCAGACAACAAACATATAAAACACTTTACCATGGTGATAAGAAAAATAAAACAAGGTCACATAACATTGGAGTAGCAGAAGAACAAAATTAGCTATGAATAGTTAAAACAGTAGGTACTTATTGGCTTCAAATGGCTGGCAATGGCTATAAGTGAGTATAATTGACAATTCTGTGCTATTTCAGTGTTTATGGGTGAGAATGTTATGAAGTGGCTGTTATTGGCTGTAAGCATCTATATTTTTATTAGAATGGCCACAAATGGCTATTAGTGACAAGTATTAATAATTATAAGATATTTTTGTGTTTACAAACTGGGATGGCTTAAAGTGGCTGTTATTGGCTATCCGCATCTTTTTGACTTAGAATGGCTTCAAAAGACAACCAATAACTGTTAGTGGGTATCAACGTTACTAGAATTTACTCATTTGGGAAACTGCCATAGAGCCTCCTCTGAAAAAGTGGCGCCGATCCTTATTTCAGTACCGAGCTAATGGCGATCTCAACGCTGCCATTTCTCCCGCAGCGGCCACTCCATGAACTGGACGGCTGCACTTACTGGTTCCGTTGAGTCATGAAAGGGCCGGTGGCACCTTCTCGCAGGGCCATCTTGCAGTAACCATATAAAGCAACTTTCCCAACCCGTCGCTAAAGGGTGGCGCTGTTATCGCATTTAGCTCGGTCTCGGTGGACGCCAGCGGCCCAGGTTTCAAGAGCGAGTTTCCCAACGGAGTGTTTTAGCGACGTTGGTGGGTATGATTGACAAATCTGTGCTATTTCAATGTTTCAAGTCAATCACTTATAGACTCAAATAGCTATGCAATTAATATTGATAGATATATGCTATTTCTGTGTTTACAAATGGAAATGACTTCAAGTGACTATTGTTGGCTATCAGCACCTAATTTGTGCTATATTGGTTTCAGATGGCTAGCAAGGGCTATTGGTTGGCATTAGTAGCCAGTATTGTCAATGATAGTCACTAATGGTCATTATGAAACATTTTAAGCTGATTTTGTTTATGATAGATGCTAATAGCCAACAATTGCCACTTGAAGCCATTCTCTGCCATAAGTATGGAAGAGCGAAACATTGGGGCTAATGGCACTAACGGCCTTTTGTAGCCAATTGAAAGACACCCAGTTCAAACATAGATGCTTATGGCCGACCATAGCCAGTTGAAGTCGCTCAAATCTATAAACAAACCAGCTGCAATAATTTTCAATAATAGTCACAATTAGACACATAGAGCTATTTCAAGGTGATCTGACAATGAGCTGTGGCAGAAAGCCAATAATAGCATTCATATTGAAAATAGCGCAAAAAAAGACTGGACAAAAAGACTAAGAAGCACTCAGGACAAGCGCTAACTGGCAACTAAAGTTCATTGAACATTCAAATTACTGGTTCTGTTACTGGATCGCCGTGCACACGCGTAATCTCGTCTCAACAAAAACACTAATAATAGCCACCTCAATTGTATCCAAAAAGATGTGAATAGCACAGCATTGTCAATATTAGTTACTATAGTAGCCAGTCTGAAGCGATTTAAGCCAAATTTAAGAATAGATCCCAAGAGCCGACATTGCTTAAAGGGGAACTCCGGCGATATTTTGAGCAACCCCAACTAACCATATATTCGAAATCGCCGTCCGTTACTCTTTTCGGTATGCTATTTAGTATCGCGAAATTCAGAATAGTTTTTGTGAAATCGGCAAATGAAAACGACGCCAAAACGAAGATTCGAATGTACCCGCGCTTTTCATTGACCTGACGTCACGGTTGGGCTGGATTGCGGTTCGAGCAGGCAGTCTAAATATGAACTATGCCGAGCATTTGTATTGTGCTGCTGCGCGGGGGCTGGAGCGACCTTCCAAAGCATTCATTTGACACCATGAAACTGTTTGTAATCAGATGTGAATAAAGTCTACAGCCCAAATAGTGAACTCCTACCCAACCATGACGTCACTTTTTCAATGATGCCCGTAGAGCTTTTCACTTTGAAAAACACGCTGAGGTCCAAAATTGTAAATTCTGTAACTGCACGAAAAAACATTATTTTGTCCAAATATTTGGGTTACTAGTTCAGCGATGTTTGTTGGTGTGTCTAGCAAGCTTTTAGGCAAATCGGGGACTATGAAGAAAACGGCGGAGTACCCCTTTAAGCCAGTAATAGCCACTTGAAGCCATAGTCACTCATAAATACCAAAATAGTGCAGAATTGTCTATTATGCTTGCAAACATCCATTTGTAGCCATGTAAAGCCAGTCTGGTATCAAATATATGCTGATAGCCAATGATAGCCATATGAAGCCATTCTAGTTTGTAAACATAGAAATAGCTCATAATTATCAATACCAGTGTTTCTCAGTTTTAATCTGTAATGATGTATTTTTTAATGATTCTGTAAGCTGGGAAAACAGTGGAGCACAGGACTGATATCAATTTAATTTGCGGTACCAAGTTGACCACTCCTCGCCAAGAGATGGCACCACTTCTGTGTCTCCCGCCAATCCCAAGTATTCTTGGTTCAGTTTTCTGTATTAGTCTGAATGGTATTTGGTTTTGGTTTCGATTTTCCAACCTCTCTGTACGACATCCCGTCACAACCAAATACAGTGCTTGAATTTTCGAATGCGTGACTTTCCTTAAGTTTATAACGCTGTAGGCGTTTACCAGTATGAATAGAATTCTGGGGCACATTTTGAGGGGCGAAGCTCTTTAGGGTCTATCCTTGTCCGTCCGGCATCCGTGCTCACATCGATCTTGTTGATGCTCGTGCTCGTGAGCTCACGTGCTCGTGTAAGGCAAAAAAAAAAAAAAAAAATTTATGAAAAAAAAAAAAATGTTTGCGCAGTCAACAGGATTTGAACCTGTGCAGGGAGACCCCAATAAATTTCTAGTCCATCACCTTAACCACTCGACCACCACTGCGGGACAAGATGTGGTAGTTACTCAAGAGCTGGGGATGTCATGGATGAAATGTCGCATGTAGCCGCTCAACGTCTATACAGGAGAGAGCGTTGCAGTCAAATGCGTATATAATCGCGTTAAACTTTGCATGCATTGGCTCTACGTTTATAGACGAGAGGGCGCTGCGATCAAATGCTCAAATGCGTATATAACCACGTTCCATACCACACATTCTCTTTCTTACATGGATGAAAACAAACGAAAGGCTCGGCATGCTGCGGCTCAGCGTCTACACAGACAAGCACCACCAGAGCTTCGCCCCAATCAACATCATTCACCATGTGGAGATGCGGTCAATTTTTCTAGGGGCGCACACATAAAGAGGACTGCAAAGGCACATGGAAGCAGTATACTGGGTCGGTCACCCTATTCCACGTTCACCCCGATGGGCTTCTTACATCATCCGCGAGCCGGGAGGGTCATGCTACACTCTCGTCAACGGGGCAATCGAAATCGAAACCATGCTACTCCTCTCCATTGCCAAAGAGGTTCCGTAACGCAATGCGTGCAGTGTTGCATGCAGGAATTTTGGGAAGTAGTCTATTCACTTTGTACAGCACCCGGTACATGGTATATTAATTGCTCCATGTTTTTTTCTTCCCTTACCTGCATGCAGGATTTTACCGCTGAGCTGGAACGATTCCAGAGCCTCCTCAAGCGACTACCCCGGGCGTAGCCGACTTTAGGGCCGTCTCGGAGGGAAACACTGCCATCATCATCAGCAAGCCCATTGTCCACCATTTACACAAATTCGGGAAGACGTCTCAAAGCACTGCCACGTGACGCTCGACGACGGAGTCGAGGACAGCGTCGAGGAAGAAGGAAAACCCGCGGGCACGCAACGACCGACGCGTTGCGTTGTGACTCTTCTAAATTGCGTTACAGTGTGCTGGGCTAAGCCGCTCAAGTGATAAATTTTTACTCGGTTCGCATCTACCTTTTCTTTTAAGCTCGCATACCCAAAGCGCATTCATAATAGAAGCCTTTTCCGTGACCGTTGGTGAGCGACTTGTGATGTCTTTTTCTGGTTTTGTTTTTACCGTATTCTATGCTTTCGTCGGCCCCACGGTTTCTGAAGGAGGCCAGGGTGCTCTTTTGTACAGTTTAGTTTCTTTCAATGGACTATCATTATTGTAGTTTTTGTTCAGTCTGTTGTGGAATGAGTGGAAAGGCGATTAGGGGGGAGGGAGGGAAGGGAAGGGAAGGAAGAAAGGAGGGTGGAGGGAGGGGAGAGAGAGCAGAATTGGCCGGTGTATAGCGCGTTAAAATAAGGTTGTGGAACCAGAAGAAAGTGTCGGCAATATTTTATAAACCTTCCAAAAACACGTACAGTGCTCTTAGGTAAAGGGTACGGCGTTTTTGTAAAACTTGTGCCGTCTTCATGGCGTCGTCCCGACAATAGCGTACAAGTGGTCGGATGTCTCAATTTTTTTACGGACTGTAGCTTACGTCGTGACTTTTCTTTTTCTGAACTGTTGTATCCCTTCAACCAAAGATCTAGTAGGTTCTTCCCATAGTCCTACCAAAATTGGAAGTTTTTTGGGGGATTTGTTCGATGCCTCATATTTCGGTCCCGTGGTTATTTTTGTTTTTTACATTTACTTTGTGGTTGCGTGGTGCCCGCTCAGTGATGTGTCTCTGTATACTTGTTTTTCTTGCTACTTATTGACAGAGTTGATTTTGTAGTGGAGCGAGGAGTTCCTTCCAGCAGCTTCTCTGCACTACTGCCAGGATCGCAACACAGGACCACTGCCAGGGACGCGTGACATGATGCTACCTCCCGTTGCAGCAAAACAATAAAGTGTGAATGTTTTGAACAGGGACTTCATCCTGGTGTGTTTTTACATTAACCGCAGTCTCTCGTGGATAATGTTTTTGTAGTGAATGTGCTGGTCTTTGGCAGCGCTTTGCAAAAACTAACTGTGCAACGGTGCCATTGTCGGCATGGCACATGCACAAACATTTCATCTCGCAAAAATTGGACTTCTGTGCATGTGCAGTGCTCACACCCTGCATGGGCAAATGCTGGCTCGTTTGTAAACACCCTGTCGGAAGCTGAAGCTACAAGCATGTTGCAAGGCTTGTAACTGCAACACTGCTTGAACATGCGCGTGCTTGGTAGGAATGCTGAAATCCTGAAGCTCGTTGACTTTCAGATACGCTCTTTTTGGAGCTACTTGCCCCTAGGCAAGCTGAAATATAGGTTATGTTGACAGGCTACTCATGAGTGCAATTAAATTTGCGTGTGATGAGATGAACCAGACTTTTATGGGACTTGCTCTACTCAAGCTACTGTATCTTAGAGATACTACAACGAAATTTCGGCGCTCATTTTTTGGTCTGTATGTGTTCAAAGGAGCAGTATCGCATCGAACATACCAATATCTTGTTGAAATAGTCACGAAAAGGAATTTTAAAACTAATTAAACGATTAGCAAAGAGCACCTGGTGGATGTCGCTAACGCCTCGCTTGTAATGCCCGTCTAGGTACCTTGACAGCTAGTGACGGAGGTTGTCTCGCCTCCGGCCACGACGAGAGAAGAGAATGCCTTTTGTGTGTCGCAGAAGTCGCTATTGTCCCCCTACAAGATTACAGAAGATTAACCCGTCACTCAAAATTCGTACAAAAGCAGCCACTTCGGTGGCTGGAACGACTAGGCCATCCTCTCAATGTCAGCCTCGCCGTAGCTTTGCTCGTCCTGAGACGACCTACGTCACGATTGCATCGGATGTCACGTGGTCTCCGCTGGGCCTTCTCCGAGCGCTTGCCAGATTGGGCCGTTTATAACGAAAAATACAGCCACCAGGCTCAAAATACGAACGTGCGATTGTCATCTACGATATTGTAGATCATATTTAACCTTTTTTTGAACACAACGGGAATATTTCAAATTTCGTTGAAGTATCGCTTTAAATACTTCTGGGAGTAACTTGGTACCTTGAACATGCTTTCAAAAGTCAGTACACTACCATAGATACTTTTTGCAAGTAACTAGTACTCGCTTTTTCTTAAGTTGTAATATTACTTCCCCCTTTTTTTCGGAAGGTTGACGGTGTCCTAGATTCAGCTTCGGAGACATTACCTTTGTATCCATTGTGGCTTATCTTTTGTCCCCAGGTTAGCACAAGGAAGCTTGTTCCCTCTCTTTCCTGCTGGCGTTTTCTCTTTCCACCCAAGGTAATCCTCCGATGCAGGGTGCCCCTGGGTGAAAGGTGAGGGCGAGAGTACATCTTTTCTCACACTGATTGGAAGGAGGGGGTATAAAGTTTTTTGCTAATAATTTGTAACTTGAGGCTCGAGATTATCTTGAGAAGTAATGAGAATTCCATCCCATGCTACAGAGCCTCCTGGTTTTTAATGCAAAAGCGTTAGCCGTCCCACAGAGCGAGCTGACATCATCAGCTTTGAAGCCTCGCCAAACGGCACCCAAACTATGGTGCCTGGAGTGTGTGTCCGACTGGTGTGTTAGCATCTTATCCCGCCCATACATCAAAAGTGGTCCCAAAGTGGCAACAAGTGACGTCACAGAAGCCGGAGTGTCATGCTGTAGCCTGTCGCGATCCTGGCGGTTGGTCCTAGAAATGCTGGCGAAAACCACAGGCAAACGTGAGTGTCGTCGTCGTCGCGGAGTTCCAGGCGTCCCAACTTCCGGCTGCTGTAGCTTCGTGGACTGCCGCATTGGAGAGCGATCTGCAGCAGAATGGGCGTCTGCCACATTCACCACAGCTGTTGGGATGCCGCCAGGTTTGCGACCAGCAACAGCATGACACTTTTATGACGTCATCAGGCGGAAATCGAGGGACCACTTTTTTGGACCCAGAAAAACACCAGTCGGAGACGCGTTCCAGGCACCGTACCCAAACTCCTTTCTCCAAGTGAAGCGAACATCTAATGGCTTCCAGCTTTTAAGCCACACGAAAAGCCTAGCCAAACGGCACCTAGTCTCCCTGCTCCCAATGGTGCGCGGTGAAGCCAAAATCTGATGGATTTCGGCTTCAATCCAATTAGCAGGCTCACGTCATAGTCTCAAGGAATGAGGCTCCCATTGGCCGCTGTGCATCAGTTTCAACAGTCGCCACCCCATGGCACTGCGTGTCTGCGCCGCCTGCGCATCGGTAACATGAAGCGTCTGGCCGCTGAGCGAGGCAGCGGCTCCACGCCCAAGGTCAGCACGCGCTCGGTCGTTGACGCAACTACGCCGCAAATGAAATAAGGAAGCAGAAGAGCGACATGCATGCTTTCACATTCACAACTCTTAAGAAGTGCTTAGGTGTACGTCGAGCCTTTTGCTTCTTATTTGTAGTGCAAACACCGATGTACAATCAAATGAACGTTGACAGGCAGAACCCAGTAGGGCTCTGCCTCCAGTACAGACTCGTTGCCTTCATCCACTTTTAACGAAGTGTCCTCAAAGGTTACAACAGTTAAACCAGCTGAACTACGAAGTGTCCTCAAAGGCTTGCGCTCGAGGTGGAGTATCCACTGTTCCTTAACATTTGATACAATTATCAAGTAGCTTATTATATTTTCAAAAGTTTATTCTTTTAATTTTTTTTTTTTTTTTTTTTAATTTTTGTAAGAGGAGGTTAGTCTTTTTTAGTGTCTGATGAAAGGTTGGTGTTGATCTTGGCTTGTGTTGAAGAAATGGCGACATGCAAGGGGGTCGGTGGTCGATTGGGCTAGCGCCGAGGATAGAAGGGTAGGAGACAAGAAATTAGAAGTACTAGGAGGGGGCAGGGGGTACGCTGCAATATTGGTGAAGCCTAGTCAAAAAAAGTTTAAACGATAACGTGACCGCAGATCTCTCTGGCGATTTGTGCGCGTGACATGTCACGTGCGAGATGGATGGTTGATTGTAGGAGGATTCCTTGCAGACTTGCGCGCGCTCCGTCCGGTAGGTTTTATCAGATCGAAGGCAAGCTACGGTCACGTGATGTGGTCGCTGATAAGTGAGGAGAAAATGAGAAAGAGGCGAGGCGTCAAGGGAGCGGAGGCTACGCGGCTAACTTCATGCCCTCCCCTACCAGTAGGAGAGGGCATAACGTCGGCCTTGCACGATAACAAAACATTCTATCATGAGCATTTCTTGTGTAAAACAAAGGAACTAATTTGAGTTTGGAGGATCGGTGGCTGAGCGGACCAGCTAGAGCACACCAGCTCGGAGCAAGTGGAGCGAAAGCTCGCGCTGCAGAACCCAGAGGTCCTGGGTTTTATCCCCACCCCCGCCCGTTTCGATCTGGATGAGCATCGTACCGGTGTGTGGTCGTGTACCACTACTGCGTGGTGCACGTTAAAGACCCCAGCTCTCCGTTGGCGCGTTGGTGAAGTTAAATAAAACTGAAAGAAATGGGGACGGGCAGAACAGCACATCTTTCGTGCTGATGACGTGGTGATGCTGATGGTCTACGAAAGATGTGCTGTTCTGTCCGTCCCTATGTTTATTCTCTCAGTTTTATTGGCTCTCTGTTTCTGACGCTCATTTATGACCTTGCTACGGTGAGCAAGCAGGATCAACCTTTTCGTTAGTTTCGTTTTCACTGGGCAGCCGACAGGCGGCGACGTGGAGTAAACAACATGGCCGCCGCTTTGCTCCCGTCAGCTGGTAGAGCGGCTATGGCCAAGTCTCTCGTATCGCGGATCCTTGGCGTCTACAAAATCGCCAAGGTGCGTCCAAGCACGCGATCGGCGCTGGTGCGACCTCTTTGCGTGTCCGTGACGAGTAGAGGTGTCGGCAAGTACACCGGGATCCAGGAGATCATCCTCACCAAGGACAGGGCTCAGGACTTGATCTGCAGGCTGCTGCCAGAGGAACGTCGAATTCTCATGGACGAACTGTCGTTGCACGTCGGCGCCACCGAAACGAGTATGTTCAAGACGAAGGTGGTTTCCTTTCGTCGTAAACTAACTCCGCTCAATATTCCAGTTAGCTCTCGATTTCGCAACAGGTGAACGCTTTACGGTTGCACGCCCACGGTCTCTCCGCTGGATAAAGTAAAAAAAAAAAAAACAAAAAAAAAAACATAGTTTTTTACAATTTTATTTTTGTTATATACTAGACGGGCTCCAAGACTGACCATTGGACAAAAGCGTTATAAAGTTATACACGCTCTCAGTAGTCGGTGAATAGGTGAGAACGGCAGGGAAGCACTTCAGGTGTCCCGCCTCCAGCGCGCGCTTTCTAACTTCGATAATGCTTCAGCGTCTCGTGAACCCCGAGCTTGCACGCGCAGCCAAAGTGCGACGGACGACAACAAGCTCGTCCTGCAGGCCGGGCGTCCGAAAATTATGCCCTGCCGTTCTCAACGAAAAAAAAAAAGAAAGCGTTATATCCAGGTTGCAAGATAGACTATTAGACACGAAAACAACGAATTAAGTTGTGTATCCAGATTATAATTTTGATGAATTGATGATTATGTATCTCTAAAGTTCTTGAAGAAAAAAAAAAAAAAGGTAGATGCAATGGAGGAGATAGGGACGCTGTTTTTAATGCCTGTTACTGACTTCTAAAAACCTCTCTTCGTGCAATTTTTGGTGCAGGAAAAACCGCCGTTTTTGTTGACCAGGGCCAGCACACAAGTGGTTTGCAGGAGACGTCTGGTAAATTCCATCCATGGTTCTGTGTGTGGTGTGCTGTGACTTACCTTCGAATTACCTTCTGGCGCATCTGAAGTGAGAACAACTCCCTGGAATAATGTGCCATAGTTAGCAGAGCGGTAACTGATATCCTACCTTCTTCGGGCAAGAAGCCAAGATTGTCTCCTTGCCGGCTCTTCCTACCACTTTCCACTTCCTCTGTGCTTTGTTTGGAATAAACATTCCAGTCTGTATAAAGTCCTGCACTAAGGAAACCAGAATGTGCCAACACATTTGTGCTGCTTCTGTTGCTTGCGAGATTGAGTATTGGGGGTACTGAAGTTCAACGCCACCTTTGAGCGCGCTCTTCACTGGGCTTGATCAGAACGAGCTCACACTTATGTAGAGCGCAAGTTCGTCTGCTTCTTTTGCAAGGGTTGTGGTGACGTCAGAACGCCGGACTCTGATTGGTTCTTTTTGAAGGATAGTGGTAGACCTCAAGGCAGCTTGCTTTGAATCGCTCTGAACGCGGCTTGGATAGTGGCCCTCTTATATTGCTCACGATCTATGCTTTGGAGTTGAGCTTTCAAATTGGGTATATCATCGATGAAGTCGCCAGATACTACCCACTATCCTTCAATTGAAACCAATCAGAGCTCGGCAGCGTTTTGATATCACTGCAACTCCTGCACAAGAAGCTTGCTCTTTGCATAGGCTGCCAAGACTGGCAATCTTGATGATGTGGAATGCTCAAGAGCACTGTAAAAGCTTGCCACGGCCTCAACTATGGTTGCCAGTGAATACCTCTAACACATGTTCTGCATGGCAAATTCTAGTTGTGTTAACTGATGTAACTGACAAAGTAACTGCCATAAAAACGTTGGCATTGGCTGTGATGACAAGTGCCAAAGAGGAGAGAAGGGCAAAGCAAGCGTTTGGTTGCTGATAGCTGGTCGGGTTGTTCCTAGGCTGCACTGGTGGTGTCTCCCGCATAAGAGACGAAACGTCTACTCATAAATGGTTGACATTGCTATATAATTCAGAGGTATTTGCTTTGTAATAGTGATGATAAGTGTATGAGGTCGGTGCCCTTAGTTTCAAACTCTGTTGTTGGATCATTGGCAGATGCAGAGGCAGCGGGACCCACTGCAGAGCAGTTGAGGATGATGGCCATTCACAATGCCCTCCCCTTTGTTGGATTTGGGTTTCTCGACAACTTCATTATGATTGTTGCGGTAAGCTTGAAACCTGCTCCCTAAATCCCACAGGGCAGCATTACTTCACTTCTGAAGGTAGAATTTCCTGAGGATTATAGCGTAGTTCTTACGTAAACTACTTACTAATAAAAAAAAAATTATAAGACAGATGTAGCACCTTTTAAATTAATACGACACTAGGCCTCAAGTGTAGATGGCATTCCTAATCGTCCCATCTTTTCAACGGGTTTCTGGGGTTTTATGAATGGGTCGATGCATCCAGCGACTTTCTCCACATTGGCTTCTCTGAACCCACGTTCAACTGTTAGGTTCTCTGAGCGATCTGATCGGTTGACTCCTAAAGTCAGCAGTGTGTCTCTGGTGCTAGTTTGTTCTTAGCAAAAACTTTTTTATAGCATGACAAAATTATTCCTGACCAGGTAATCTATGGACCGTGATCATAGTCTGTACTCCATCGCACTTTAAAGGGATTGTCCAGTCAAATTTTGTGTTCGAGGAAACATTTGAATATCATTGTTATTGCCTCGCAATGTGTCATCCGCGCAATATATGAATTTTATATGTTCCTCTGCATGCAACATATAATTTTATACCGCTCCAGTCGCATCCTAGCATACAAGATGCTTTCGTTGGCAATATTGAAGCTCTGTTGTCGCATAATGCAAATCAAGCATTTCCGTCTCATCGTCTGTCTGCGAGTGAATGTTGCAGCATGCTTAATTTTTGTTGCGCTCGACTTGTTTCGTGGATGGATTAGATTTTTGTTGCGTGGTTGGGTGCCACAACCAGCGGGTAGCACCTGTGATCCACGAGACGTGCAGTGACAAGCAAAATTGATCATCGCCGTGCATCGGGAGTACTGGGTTCCCGTCAAGATCGATATCCCGCTTGCGCAGTAATCATCTCACAGAAGAGAGCTATGAGCTGAGCTCTAAGCGGACAGAAGGCTCGTAAGTTGAGGTGTGAAACTGCGCTAACAATGTTCAACCACGTTCACCCACTCCTCACCCAAGTCAGATCAATCGGTTTGATCATGCAGTGAAACTGAAACCAACAGCTAGGCCTCCTAGAAACGATGCCAAAAGTTATATTTAGTATGCATTCCGCTTAATTCTGTTTGACCTGCATGTGAAAATAGATCGGGGCTACGATTCACCAACCTCGTTTGAGTAAAGTGACGATCTAGAAATGTTACATTCATTTTCAATGATTCGCCATTCGCCTTCGACCTGCGGGCATTGCCTCTGAGGGAACAACCCACAACCGCATCACCGATCCAGTGGATCTGCCGACATGTGGATTCAGTTGCCGCTTTGTGGACCCAGATGCCTGTTTAGAGGCAAAATCGGTCTCCTTGTCTTTGCGAGCGCTCCTTGTCTGATCGGTGGCCGTCGCAGTTGTGTATGCGCGAAGCTGCATATGCTTTCTCAAAGCTAACATCTGTATTCGAGTAATATCCTGCTAAAAGGCGTGACTTTTTTGCACAAGCTTGGGACCTGCATTACAAGAGACTATATAATTCGAAACAAAATGCAGGACACCCATTGACCAACATTTGTTATCCCAACCATCTGACGATCCTTTGCATTATGTGATGTCATACAGCAGCTACGGATGTCAGCCATTGATACTGGCGAAATTCAGGGTGCAGTTTCGTACACACGCTGATGAAAGGTTTAACTATATTGGGACCTCATATATCAAAACAAAAATGTTTGTCTCTATATGAAGGTTCCCTCGACGTAACGAGCAGAAAAACGTAAGCACTTCCGGTTTCGACCGGATAATCCCTTTAAGTGCGAGTGTAAGAGAAGCTACAAAAGCGAGCTCTGGGCTTTCAGCGACCATGCCAAGCATGTGTGCTCGTGTGGTGCAAGCATCGTTCGGGGCAACATACTCGTGCTTGTAGTTCCAGCTACCTTCGCAGATAAAGTCGAACAAAGTGTACCGCGATATCTCGAGAGATAGCCCGCCTAAAAGTGAGAGCAAATAGGGTGGAAATAGGTTAACTTTAGGTGTGCGATGAAGAAAAATTTTAAAAAATGAAAGCCGTTTACAACTCCCTGTAACGCCGAATTAGAGCGCAGCTCTTGAGGAGGAGGAGGGAAGGGTACTGGGGGGGGGGGGGGGGGGGGGTCAAGTGACCTCGGGGGGCGGGAAGTCACGTGACCTTGGGGCGTCGCGTGACGTCGGGGGGTCACGTGACCTGGGGCCACGTGACGATGCCGATGACGTCATCAGTGACGTCACTGATGACGCCATCAGTGATGATGACGATGCGGATGCCGGTGACGTCATCAGTGACGTCACTGATGACGTCATCAGTGATGATGACGATGACGATGCGGATGCCGGTGACGTCATCAGTGACGTCATTGATGACGTCATCAGTGGCTATGACGTCAACGGGGGGTCACGTGACCTCGGGGGGTATCCCCAGGTCACGTGACCCCCCCCCCCCCCCCCCCCGGGGTCACGTGACCTGGGTAACCATCGTGACCCTCGTGAGGTTAACCCTAGTAACCCTTGTGAGGGCAACTCTCGTGACCCTCGTGAGGGTAACTCTCGTGACCCTCGTGAGGGTAACTCTCATAACCCTCGTGACCCTCGTGAGGGTAACCCTCGTGAAGGTAACCCTTTTGAGGGTAACTAACCCTCGTAACCCTCGTGAGGGTTACGAGGGTAAGTAACCCTCGTGGAGGGTAACCCTCGTGAAGGTAACCCTTTTGAGGGTAACTAACCCTCGTAACCCTCGTGAGGGTTACGAGGGTAAGTAACCCTCGTGAGGGTAACCCTCGTAAAGGTAACCCTTTTGAGGGTAACTAACCCTCGTAACCCTCGTGAGGGTTACGAGGGTAAGTAACCCTCGTGGCCCTCATGATCCTCGTGAGGGTAACCCTCATGGGATTAACCCTCGTAACCCTCACGAGGGTTACGAAAGTTGCGGTTACGCCGACGCCGCTCAAGCCGGGAACGGGCCCTTAAGAGCTGCGCTCTAAAATGCTATTTGTGTATTTTGTGACCTGCCAAACTTGTTTTCATATTGAGGGTCAGTGGAGCACAGACAACTGTGCCTCCCAGTCAGCTATGTTTGCTTATCGCCCACCATAGCCAACTAACCCCATTTCGGCCGAGGTCGCCATTCGCCAGGGCATGCAATTACTGTTAAAAATAAAGAATAGCAAATTATTAAAAAAAAATGGGTGGGTTACTTTTCGGGGGCGGGGCATCTTTCACGATATTACGGTAGTAATTACTGCACGTAATGCGTCATATTTTCTAAAGGGCTCCGTTATTGATGGCATCAGGTGACTCACAAACACTGATCTCGGCTCTTGTTGACAGGATTCTATATCTCGGCGCCTTCACTGCCAAGATTGTCAAGACATATAATGCCAGTGTCACTACTAACCATGCCAAAAAGAACCACTCCGAACGAACGTTAACTTTGTCGCTGAGTTCCATTACCATAGTGTCATTATGTACCTCTGCTGTCTTAGCGTAAATACTTTGTCTCATATATTTTTTATTTGTGCCTGTGTCTGTCCCTTTTTCTGGGTGTTTCTCAGTGCTACATTTTCACAAATGTGATACGGAAGAACGCACGTTACATGTGGATGTGACATGTTGGCCAGGAACATTTTGTTACTGATGGTGAGACTGCGGCACCCTAGAGAATTGACCACATATTTTCTCTTATGACGTCTTTTTTTTTATTCATTTTTTAGTTGTGCAATCCATGATCAAAATCAACAAACTGTGATGTGTCTTGGTTTGCAGGGCGACTACATAGACACTACAATTGGAATTGGACTTGGGATTTCAACTATGGCAGGTAAGATGAACTCGACCAAAAGTGGCAGCCGTTTTGTTTCTATACTTTTGTTTTATTCCGACTCTTACCAGGATTGATTGTCTTTGGGTAAAGTACCTAGAGCTAATTTTCTTTTAATGGCAGTGCATGTTTGGTAGAACGGGAACAAGTTTAGATTCCTATAAAATGGTATCAATTGAACTTGTAACCCTTTCATTTCTAATCCAATACCTAAATTTTTAAAACTGGATGTGTAGTTTACCATATGTTAATTTGAAAACCGACCTGATTTTGTCTTGCATGCCTTTGTCGGTTTTGTTCTAAGGTGTACCGTTTACTTGTCGACAGCTCTTAGGTTCAGCTTGAACTTCATTTCTTTTTCAGCTGCTGGTTTGGGAAATGCAATATCGGACGCTGCTGGAATTGGGTGAGTTTCAGATGATCTCGAAGAGTTTTCGTGCACCTCTCCAAGTTATTAGTTTGATCGCAATTACCAGTACTGCCATAATTTCTCGAGAGGTAGCCCACCTAAAGGCGAGAGCAAATCAGATAATAATGAGGTGTGAGATTACTTTTGGTGTACGATCCAGAAAAATTGTAGAAGTGCTATTTTTGCATTTTGTGACCTGCCCAACGTGTTTTCACATTGAGGGACAATGGAGCATTGGTAACTGTCCTTTCTAATCAGCAATGTTTGCTCATATCCCGCCATTGCTATCTCACTCTATTTTGGCCGAGGTCACCATTGTCCAGGGCACTGCAATTACTGAAAGTGGGCTATCATCTTTTGGTGTTTTTGGAGAAATAGCAAATCATGCCAAAAAATCTTTCAGCCTTTCCACTCTGGTGAAGAAGGAAGACTAGCGAAGCTGTACTATGGTGGAAATGAAGTAATGGCCATCCGCAAGTCAGCAAGCCAGAGTGGAAAGGCTGGAATGTTGCCGCGACCTATGAGCGATGGCATCAAGCAGACAACCGATGAACACAACACTCTGGACAGCTACCGCCATCTATGAGCGACGGCGGCAACCAGAGTGTTGTGTCGACATTTCTGCGTGGACGGACACGATCCTGGGGAAACAGCCCCTAACAGCTCCGCTGTAATAGGGGTGGGCTATCTTTTGGGATATTGCATTATTTGTTTCTGAAGAATTTCACTATAGGGGCTTCAGGTATGTAATAGAAAAATCCTGAAACCTTTTCAATGGACAGAAAATGATGATCTCAAGCTGGAACGAAGTATGTCACAAAGGTGTTTTGTGTAGCAACAAGGCTGTGTTCCTCCATCGTTCTTGCTTCTAATCATTCTTGGGTTCCCAGAAACCCAAAGGCTTTCCAGAGTACCCTCAGTGGTTCTCCCCAGCTTCTGATTGTTCTTGATTACACCTGCCGTTCAGCAAGGTGCTCTCCCAGTCTAAGCATCATTTTAGCAGATCCGAGTCATCTCGTGATTCATAAGCAATATCTGGCAATGGAAAGGAGCTGAGCTAGTTGGTTAGCTAGATCAGCTAGCTAACCAACCAGTTGCCAGATATTAGCAATATCTGGCAACTGGCAAACGTTCCAGAGTATGTGTGCATCACTGTTTACGAGTTCTGTAGGCCTCTGCACTCTTTATTGCATCGAGGGTGAGGTTTGGTTTTTTGGCTGACATTCAACACAGATAAGGGGTCTCCGAGGTAGAGAAGTTTGAGAACCTCTGCATCCCCCCATCGTCTCGTCTGGCGCTTGCAGGTCTGCCTGGTACGTTGAAAAACTGGCGGTCAAGATCGGCGTCCAAGCTCCGGGCCTGACTCCCGCTCAGCTGGAAATGGCGGCCACCCGATGGAGTGCCAACATTGTGAGTGGAATGGCTCCTCGTAGGCCGTGACCATAAAATTTGACTGAAAGGCACCCAGAGCTGGAGCGCCTTGTGATGCCACGGAAGCACTCCGTAACTTTATGTGTCAGCTTGTCGTTTACATCGTCGCAAGCTCTCCGTCTTTGTCTTTACCTGAGCAACTCAGTCCCTCATAAGTGGCACAATAGACGAAATACAAGAGGCGAGAATGGAGCGTTGCGAAACGAGACTTCAGTGGAATGTCCCGAAAGGTAGCCCACCCCCTCACAGAGGCCAAACAGGGTAGAAAACGCAGGGGTGACTAACCTTTAATGTGCAACCAAAAAAAAGCTGAAAAAAACAATTTTTTAACTCGGTTCGTTGTTTGCTTTATATGTGCATCAACTGCCCTAGACAATGCCACGTGTGTTGTATTAGCAGTTGAAAGACGGAAGGAAATCTTTTCCACCTTTGTTGCCTCCTAAACTGTTGGGGGACCAGTTGGTGTTGTTGGCAAGACTCGCGTGGCCTACCTCGCTCTGCCCGGTTGATACAGTGCACCCACAATGTGGTTAGCGGGAAGTCGGGTCCATGGGACAATGCTTCAATGAAATATCGCTAACAAAGGTGCCATTTTCTGTTGTCTTGCGCAGGGCCGTGCGGTGGGCGTCTTCGTGGGCTGCATCCTTGGCATGTTCCCCCTTTTATTCCTCTCCTCCAAGGAAGATGTCAGGCAGCGGCACGAGAAGCCGAGTTGAAGCACGCAAACTGTGACAGAGATCCTACGTCGCGGATCACCCCAGCACTCCTGCCTCGCGTGCGACAACACATTCGCTCCACCACAAGCCTAGTGTGCCCCATTTGTCGCCTGTTAAGATGTGCCGCTTCTGCCCAAAAGTGCCGCTTTCAGCGTCGGTCGTAAAGGGTCACTGCATTGAAGCTTTAGTTTATAGTTGGAGACGGATGTTTGTTCGCGGCACCTTCCCAGATGTGTGGATACGGTCATGTGTTCGAAACAAGCTTTGCAGTGTCAGAAACCGGTGAGAGAGAACCAGTAAGTGTGGCACCAATAGCGATGCCCCGTAACAATGGAAGGCGGATGGATGCTACCTTGAGGTTCGGGTTGAAGCCTGACGACGGAACTAACAATAGCTAGTGCGCAGTAGTTGCAAGCGCTTGGGTACGAGTGTGCTATTTTGAAAAGCACTTTCGCCACGCATATAAGTTGTCGTGGTGAAGACAATTAGGCTAACGCTCTCTATGCCTGGAATCCATTCCGCAACAATCGCTTGACCGTCTTGTCGAGGAGGCAGTCTCTCGGATGTTTGACTAAAATTAAAAGAAGAATCTGGGAAACGTTTTGTTTTTCGGATCGTTGAAGCCACGTTTCCAGCTATAAACATCTGTCTCTAAAAAATGTGTGACAAAGATATTTTAGTTTCTTGGGCCTCCTCGCTGTCACAAGATGGTAGTTCAAAAAGTTTGAAATTTTATTCAGTGTTCCATCGGCTTTAATTGGATGCCGCAAACTGAGGTTCTCTTCTGGGGTTGATTATTGGCCGATTCAGTTGAATCTTGCAAGACACTCTCAAAGCAGAAAGAGATACCTAATTGCATGTGGGTAATCAGAATTGCAGACGCTTGACGCCCCTGAATGTGATGCCACCACAAGTTTAACGCCGTGGTATTATGCTTTCTGTGCTGGCACAACAAGTCCCGCTTGATCGAACACTTGAATATTTCGACGCGATCGAAGGGGTCACTTTTCATCTGATGTCGAACTCTTCGTAGTGTCCTTATTGCGTTGCCTGGCAGCCTTCTAGGGAAATTACTGTGTTAATTTATACTATAATTAATAGTAAGTGTCTTTCGGCTTTTATACCTATCTGCAACCCAGGAGTGTCGTCGGCATCCCCGGCGATGCTTTGTAAACAGCTCTCTGTTGGTAGCCACTTGGACGATCTTTCTGTGGCTTAGATAGCTGAAGCTTGCTGTACAATGCAGGGTCTGTGCTTTCGCCTGAGCAAGCACTCACTGTTCGTCATTTAAAATTGGCGATCAGAGCATACTTCAAGTATATATATAAAACCAGTGTGAGCAAGTGTCCACCACCCCAATTTCCAACACGGTATTTTTGTTGTTTTTGGGGGGGTGAAGCGCCAGCTCAGTATTTTACATTGCTCTTCACACGAGGCTTTTGAATCCCAGTGCCCGCTCACAGACTCATCATTGCATGCTTCACGGTCAACAAGCCCATGGCATCGATGTACATTTTGTTAATGACCATGCAATGTGGTGATACTCTAGATTGTGCTTTGTGCGTAGAGTGTGTGCCGTTGTGTGTCGCATTCACTGACACTCGCGTGTTTCTGTTTGTTGCACAGTTCTTTTTAAGTTATGAGTTGTGCAGCTACCATTTTTAGAAGGCAATGATCAGTGCCTGCACGCATGTGCTAGATGCAGGCTACCTATTTGGTTGCTATTCGGAATGTCGGCTGCTATAACGGTCTTTGTGTTTTGAACTGTGAGCATTTAAAGTTGGGCTGTAATCCTTGCACACTGCTAGTCATTCTATGAACAAGCAGATCCAGTTGTTGAAACCCTCGTTTTAAGGAGCATAATCAGACAACTGTTGCAATTGTTATGACACCCACAGTGCACAACACAGCTTGGAAATTGGACAGCCAGCTTTTTCTGTTTTTGTTAGTTTTCACACAACTTTTTAACTTTGTATGCACGCAGTGTCTGGTGGTAAACTGCACAAAAAAACGAGCAGAGCGCCAACATCACATTTGGGTTACCTAGTCGTGCACTCTACATTTGTCGTAAAACAAACAGCAGTTGTGTTGTGTTTCTAGGTATTGTGGCCCACTGAGTGTTGGTTTCATACAGCCTGGCTCGTTAAATATCTGGCAACCCTGTCCACCGTGTCGGCGGCAGTCGTTCGCTCTAGGCAGAGAGATAGCGACACTAAGTCGATTCATCTATCCATGTTACAGCGACGTTCTCAGGACCTCTAGCCCACAAGCATTACACTTTGAAAAGCAATATATGCCATGCTGTTATCCTTCACTGAGCTCACTGACTATGCTCACCGAGCACTTTTCTTCGAACTCAGCCACTCACTTTGGAAATGTGGAAGACGAAATGTTGGTGATGAATGTTAGGAGTCTTAGGCCATAGCTGAGTAGATTATGTGTTGCCAAATGGTGCATAGGCATATAGTATAGAAAACATAATGTTTGGTCACATTACCAGCGACAAATCTATATAGATAGGCATCTTCTTGTCGCAAGCCATCTCTGAAACTGGAGATCCGCCCACACTGTAGATTTGCACAGAATGGTATTTGCATTAACGCAAATGGTCATTGAAGCCATGCTTTTTTCATAATGTAAACAGGTTAGTCTACCTTAGCTAATTGCAAGTAATGGTAGTATAAGGATAATTCTGGTTCCTAGCTAGTAATAGTTAGAGTCAGTCCAGTCTTCCTGCCTGTTCAATTTCTTATATGTTGCCAGCAATGTATTGCAAACAATGTTAGTGGCATCAATTAAGGAACTCCGCAGCTGTTGTAAGATCTTTTAACGACAATTCATCAGTCGCAAGATCTTTTATTTTCATATGAAAAATTTTATTCAAGACCTCAATCCTCATGCAAGAGCGAGCTGCACATCCTTTAACTTACTTGCATTGCATTGATCTAGTCGTCCGTTACCTAATGCAGGTGGCAGCCTAGCTAAAAGTATACATAGGTTATCTTGAGGAGGTTGGAACAGAAGGGCCCCACAGTTCTATAAAATTAGATTTTTTAATAAGAGAGTTCCTGACAGCATTGTTTCACAAGATGGAGCTTGTTATACTACTTGACTGCGATGTTTGCAAAGGGTCCAGATGAATAGTTCTGGTGGGCAGCATTGTTCAGACCAATGTAGAGTGTGCAAAGCAATGTTGTCCCACATCCACCCACAGTGCCATCCTTTGCACAGTTCTTTGGGCACCTTTGGAAAATGTATAGCCATTATAGTTAGAGCTGTCGTCAATCTCTCGAAGCTCAATTCAGAAAAAACTGAAAGATACAGTCAAACCCGTTTATAACGAACAGCAGGAAACGCTACGGTCAGTTCGATATAGCAAGTAATTCGATATAGCAAAACCCATTTACAACGAACTTCCACGATGCGTTCGTTGTAAGGCGAGAGCTTCTCTTTCTTTCTCATCTCTTCGCTTCCGCCTTGTAACAACGTGCTAAAAAGATTTTTTCTTTTATTGCATGTGTGTAGAGGTGTTTCTTTAGCTTTCTCCCCTTCTGAATCTTTTCTTCGCTCAGTTTTCTTGGCAACTTTAGCTTTTAAAATTTTCTTTCTTTCCTACTTTTTTTTTGGTGTGGGGGGGAGGACAGGCTAGAAGACGATTGTTTGCACATTTTCGGAAGCCTTCTCGGGGCAAAAGTTTGATATAGCCAATATGTTGTTCGTTATAAAAAGTACTTTTTACATGCATTTTTATTTAAATTTTCCGTAAGTTCGATATCGACAATAATGCGCTGTACGTGGCTTCGTTCTAAACGGGTTTCACTGTATGAATATTTTAAATATGTTTGAGTTCGGCCGATTATCTACCTTTCTAATTTGAGTTGACCGGGTTTGAATGCTGCGAGCTTTTTAGGAGCGTGGAGCGCAAAAGTTGCAAGCTTTTCTAGAGTTAAGTTCAACAAAGTTTAAGTTCCAGCTTTGTCTCAGTTACTTACTTGACCTCTAAGTGAATTTTCTTGCACAACCAATATGCCTCCTCATGGCGCATTATAAATTTAGTTCTAACTTATGTCACCAAGCACCGTTGCTGTTGTACAGTGATCGAAGCGTGTCCCCCATGGGAGTACCTGCCATTGTACATACCGCTGCCTTCACGGCCACGCACTGAAGCAGCTAATGCCCAGAAACGACAGTGTTTTGTGATACCCAACGGCGGCTGGTTCCGCAGCTTCCACTCCGAATGATGCTTTTCTGCTCAAAATGCCTTTTTTCTGTACAGCCCTTTCTTTTTCCCGGAATATAACGGTGGTATTCTCCCAGAAAACCTGTGTCCGTTCTCGTTATTCTCGATTTGTGCGTGCACTGTAGTCGAGCTGACGGCGTGAAAATGGCAGGGAGGTAGTTCAGTTGTCCTGCCTCCGGTGTGAGCTTCAAGCATGCATTGCCAAAGCACGATAAAGGGCAAAGAGTGCACGCTGGAGGCTGAGCACCCAACAAAGGCACTCTGCGTTCTCGTCTCGCCGCGGAAACTACACAGCGTGCAAGTTCGTCTGAATCTTGCTCACATCTCAGATTTGTTTACCCTCGAATGTGTCCACATGTTTTTGTTTCACCACAACCTCAACCAATATTGAGGCGCGCGCTCGTCTGCCTTGTCATTGCCCGTTCCATATGCATTATCTATGTTGCCCTTTGATTGGCGTGCTCCTCCTTGAGTTCTGATGCGCCGAAGACGGCGTTTTGGAACACTTGCTCACCGTATGGAGCAACTTTATGACCCCGACTGAAATGAACTAGAAGGAACATGGTTTGCCTTCCCCCCAGTTTTTGCTAAAGTTGGTGGTGAAGTGCATCTTTGTTCTAGGGTTTTTCGTCCATGAGGGCTCTGTTTAATTTCTGCACATGAGCTGCTCCCTATCTTTTGTTTTACTATTGTTCTTTGCAAATATTATTTGGTATTTGCATCTGTACTAAAGTGACTAAGCCAGAACTGTAACTGAAGGGAACTTAGAATGGAGAAATTTTGCACTTCACTTCCCAGTTGTGCGAAACATTAATGGCGATGAGACACATCTGTTTTTTAGGGTTTTTGTCCATGAGTGTACCTTTCACATTTCTGCACATAATAACTCTTTCTCGTATTGTTTTTTTTATTGGAGATACTTTTCGTATGTAGGTTCATTTAATATTTTCGAACCAAAAACTACAATCGCCTGTCTGAAAACTGAGGTGTGAAACAATTTAGCACTATTAGGAAATTAGAAAGGAGGTGCTTCTTTTTATACTCTTGAAGGATGTGAGCAAAAGATAAGTCACGATTGGCATAAACAGTACGTTGGGGAGGCACAATCTAGATCACCACAACTCAATGGAGGCAAGATCTCTCTTTTTTGCTCGGGGGGGGGGGGGGGGGGGGGGGGCGGCGGCTCAAAACGGGAACTCCAGAGAATATGGATTAGCATTATTCACAAAACATCCTTAAAAAAAAAAAAAACCCCCCCCTCCCAAAAAGAAAAAAAAATATTGTTTTCCTTTATATATAAATATGTTGCATATAGTGTTGGGATAATGCACAAATTCACAACCAAATTTCTGTTAACATTCAGACATACCGTAGAGTTATTACAATAAATAACTCTATGCATTCAGACGCAGGATGTGCATGGTTGGTTGGCAAGAACAACCTTTAAAAAAAAAACTGAAAATAAAAAAACATTTTTCTTTTAAACAGTTTGGTTGGGACACTCGTGTCGAGAAATTACTAATTGTATGCGAAAAAATAAGCTTATTTTGGAGTAATATATGGTGCGAGACCAATATAGGTATGGGCTCCTTGCACTAACGTCACATTGCATACTTTTGAACACCAAGAGAGGAGGAGAGAGAAGCTGCTTTTGTAAGAATTTTGAGTGACAGGTTTATCTTGTATAATCTTCTGGGAGGAGAATGGCAACACCTGTGCAAATCCGAGAGGCACAAAAGAAGATCCTGATAAGAGGGGAGCTGCTTCTTCCCCTTTTCTCTGGAGGGCATCGGATGTTGGTAGCACTGGCCAATAGTCACCTCCTTTCCACTTGATTTCTCTCTCGGCATTTTGGGCGCGTGGAGGAGAAGTAGGACGTGTTGATCGGCTTGGCCATCACGTTGAGGTGGAGAGAGTGTATGACCATCTTGTTGATGTGGAAAGAGTCTATGACCATTCCGTGGCATCATGGACTTGGTGCACAGAATTTAAAATAAATCTCATGCCAACAATATTGCTCCAAGAAATTTTTTTTTCGGAACATTCACGTGTCTCAAATAGGCTTAAAAAAACAAAACAAAAAAACTTTCAGCCTTTCCACTCTGATGAAGAGGGAAGACCAGCGAAGACATACTATATTGGGACGACCTCAAAATCCGACCTCAAGGATGCCGCCTAGAGAATGACATTTAGGACGATGTCTAGGGCGACCTCAAGGACGATTCCTAGGACGATCGGACTAGAGCACTATATAGCTCCTACGGAGCAGAGTAGCGCAATCCTTTGAACCCCGTGTTTTGCCGACAACATGGCCGACAGAGCGGCTCGGCGCGAGTCACGTGGTACTCAGGGTTCCAGGAGGCGGCCCGCCCTATGGGAGAATACATGGAGATCGACACAACACGGCTGATTAAAAAATGAACGGCGAGTTCACACTTTTCAAAACTAGTCTGCCGTGAAGTTAGTAAAGCACTAAACACTTTATCAAAGTTTTAATAATATCGGATGCGTGTGCAAATTTTGAGAAGGCAATTTCCAAGGCAATGGCGTTTGAAGCAGACGATTTTTGCTCGCAGCGGAGATGGGTTTTTCGGGTTGGCCGGAGCGGGTCACGTGAATGGTGTGACGTCGCCGTGTCGTCTGCTGCATGATGCCGCTCAAGCAATTTTTAAAAAAAAGTCAGGTCCTTGCGGGGCACAAAACTTAGCGCAAATTATTCTAAAATGTTCCATTATTATGTCAAAAACAATTGCCACTCCGTACACCCCCACAATACTGAAGAAACAGCGATTGTCTCACGTTCTCCATGCATTTCTGACCGCAGTTGGAACCTCCGGGCGTTCGCCGCTAGTCGCCGAGAGGCGGCGTTCTAGATTGCGCTACTCTGCTCCGAAGGAGCTATATAGTGCTCTAGATCGGACGATGCCTAGGACGACCTCAGGGACGACATCTAGGATGACCGCAAGGACAACTTCTAGGATATAACCCCAAGGACGACCTCAAGGATGACGTCTAGGACGTACAATCTCAAAAACGACTTCTAGGACGATCTCTAGGACGACGCCTAGAAAAATTAAGCTTTTCCACTCTAGTGGAAACCAGAGTGGAAAGGTTGCCGCCATCTATGAGCGACAGCAGCAACCAGACAACCGGCAAGCTGGTTGTCTGGTTGGCGCCGTCGCTCATAGATGGCAGTACTTTACAGAGTTTTGTGTCTACATTTATTTGGTGACGGACACGAAACTGGGTAAACTGCCCTTAACAACTTCGCTGTAAAATTTTTTTTTTTCTTTTCAGGGGATGAGTTTGTGCTTGAAGGTTTTGGTCAAGGTGGTAAGAGAGGCTCAATGAAAGTGTGCGTGCAGCTGTTAGCTTAGACGTGTCAGGTGAGAGGTAGTGAACCAAAGCATAACCTCATTTCTGGAACGTGGCTTGAGGGCGGGGAAAAATGGAGGTGCTTCATTTGATTGTGTCCTACAGTTGAGCAGTAAACAACAACCTCGTTGACAGTAAAATTGGTTTTTGCCGTTAAAATTTTGCTACAACGGTGTACTGAGGTGATAAAGAGATATTTTCAAACTAAGCGTGTTCAGCTATTTCTTAAAAGGTTCAATCACAAAACACAGAAAGAATTTCAATCACCTTTTAATAAGTTGCATTTTGTAAAAGAAAAATGGAGAGTTTTCGCCATCGCTAAGCAGTCTGAAACCGAAACAAATCAGTAACAATTCTAATGTTTCATCATAAATTTTTATCTTGTTATCGGAGTAGGCAATACAACAAAAATATACTGCCAACTAAAACAATATTTTGCCAATATTCGCATGGTTTGGTTACAAACTAGAATGCCAGAATGACAATATCCGGTCCACAGTCATCTTGGTCCGGCCAGTCCGGCCACAGTGGGTTCGGCTTCCGGCATTCAAAATGGCGGCGCCGGGATACAGATTTCAAGGATTTCAAGCACATCATGTTTGATCGGTGACTTTTCCTCTCCAATTCATCGCAGACCGAAGAACATTCGCGATATGAAGAAACCGGACAAGCCCCACGACCACCAGAAACTTTATAAACTATAAGTATAATTCTTGTCATTACTCTCTTAGCCTGAACGTCAGCGGAAAGAAGGAAATCGCAACGTCCCAACGGCGTCTTGTTTACAAATCACTCTTGTCGCCTGCTCGGAGAACGAACGCTCACACCTGGCGTCGACTTGCGAGTTACTAATTTTTGTTGTTATTGTTGTTTGTTTACGTCCCACCAGGTGTTATGCGTCACCAGCGTCAACTTCCAGCGTCAGTCCCTCATCGTGAGTTAAGCTGTGATCTCTTTCCGATTAACCGATTTAATCCTCAAACGAACTATCACCTTTTCGCAGGGATTTGCGGAGTTGACACTGATCCCGACGAAGACGGACGTTCGGTGGATACGGATCAACTGCAAGCAGTGCCATATCCTTTTTTTCTTAAAAAAGAAAGAAAGTATTGCTTTCAACGTTTTGCTTTGTAAATTCGCACACCCAAATTTGACCCCAGAAATGCCCCATGTACCAGTTCATTTTTATGCCAAGCTGTGCCAGTTTGTCGACACAAGCTAGATCTTCGAAGAAACAGTGGGTCTTCCGTGTCTGCTTTTCGTAAGCTTGCATGTTTTCTGGAGTTTTGTCGCATTGCCTGGTTTCCTTGACATTCCCTCACGAGTGTACAGGGTCCGCATCAACGACCAGGTAGAGTGTACCTTCCAGTACAATGACCCCACCTTGGAAATATGCCACAACGAGGGAAAGCAGTGAGTTTTCCCTCGCTACGAACCTTACTTTGTTGTTGCTCTAAAGGAACCAAGATGCTGCATGTGTTTGTTCAAGAAGCTCTGACAAACTGCTGGAAAACGGGTTATACTGGTATGAGTAACAAATCACGGAAACAATTAAGCAGCGGCTGTAAACAGAAAGGAGCAATTTGTAACATTCAGTTGTCTTGTGCTGTATTCCTTTTTTGTTACTCCGTACAGAATTGTTTCGACCAAGCCGGCTGTACCTTGTTATAGCCTGGATTGTGTGTTTGGCTCGGTCCTTGAGCTTGAAAAAAAAAAAAAACTCAGAAATGGGATCAAAGTTTCACTTAAGCTCAAAGAAAACTCACCATTTTTTTTAAAAAAAAAATTAAGGCAGAAAAACATCCTCTAGCTTTCCCTCCAAAGAAACTCTAAAATCGTTTTTTTTGTTTTGTTTTTTTTATTAAACTTTTCTTGGTGCATTGGTAATCTGGCCAGGTAGTGATCTGGAGTCAACTTTTTAAATGTATTTTTTTTTCTCTCAATGTCTGCTTTATCTGAAAAACAAGTGTTAGCATACACTCAAATTCACATTCACTTTGTTGTACAAATTTTTTTTTCTTTTCTTCCTTAAGTGCATTGAGTTGTGTCATAAAACTGACAGTGCCAATAGGCACATACACGGAAAGGGGTCACGACACACCTGTGTCCGAATCTTTCAGAGCTTTTCGTTTTCTGGAAACGAACTAGCTAGCCCACTTACCCATCTTATTGAACAGTTCAACTGCACAATAAATTCTAATGATCAATGTTTCATCGATTTTGGTTTACAGGCGCAACGTGGACACCTTCTCGGCTGCTCACGTGTCCGCAGTGGCGTCGGTTGACCCTGGCGTTGGAAACGGAGAGATTTCCGTCAAGGTTCCCTCGGAGGCCTTCCACCTTATCCAAGGTGATTCTCCTTTTTGTCCGAAAAGTACTTCTCATTCTTCTTAAAGCATGCGGGGTTTGGGTCACATTTTTCAAGTTTTGTCAAAGAGTTATATGCCTTTTCTTGTACGACTGCCATCTAACTGAGAGTTTTCAGGAAGCTCAGAGAAGTCTAGAAATTTGTCGGGAATGTATCCTGACTGCATGCTTTCTTTGACGTGTGTGATCAGAATATTTGACCACGGCTTTTCTGTGCGCCGGCAGTTGTCCAAACAAATCACGGTGGTAATTGAATCTGGTAGGAAGAATTTGAAAAAAACTTAGCTTCTTCAGCACCCTCGAAAAGCTAAGTCTTAACGAAATGCCACGCTCAAACTTCTAGGAGGCTCCTTTATAAGTACCGATAGTTGTGTCGGTAAAGTTAACAATCTCAAAAATGCAGTTGAAAACAACTAAAAATCGTCTTTCCTGTTGTCTTTTTTTGTTTTTGTTTTTACTTGCAAACAATTACCATACACGATGGTGTGCCGTCGTCGCCACTACGTTCAATTTTTCTAAAAATTAGTGGTAGAGTGTTTCTGAAATTCATAGAGAAAACGTGACAAAGTTGAAGGATTAGTGAACAAAACAGAAGGGCTCGAGCAAGCTGTAGAAAATGAAATGTGAAAAGTCCCTGGGGCTTGGGTTACTTGGAAGACAACACAAACGCGCGGATGTCTAAAAAACCTTTTATGCCCAAGTCTCACTAGAGCAACAGACAGGAACAAACGACAGCAACAAGCCTCAAACCAGTGTCGCGGTTGTTTTTGTTTGTTGCTGTAGTGGGACTCGAGCATTAGCAAGCCATCTAGTATGTTTTTTTATGTTGCACCCTCAGTGACTCTAGCCTCTGGTACTTTTCCCCCGTGTTTGGGGAATGAAAGAATTTCATTGTGGTAAGACATCTTTCGTTTGTTGTCTTCAGAAGGAAAAGCTCTCCGGGTCAGCGTGGAGTTCTCCCTGGAGAGGCCGCAGGGTGGTATCCACTTTGTGGTCCCCGACTGCGAGGGGTCCTTGGCTGAGGTAGAGCGTTTGACACCCTTACCGGGCTCGGCAAAGGCACTGATGTACCATGGTTTCCTTCTAGCGAGGAGCCCACCTGTTTACGTACGGACACGAGAATTCCTCTAGGTATGTCGAAGCATGTGTTAAGTTCAGTGTGCTTCCCGCTGCGTTACGAGTGTCGGGCAAGGATTGTGTAGTGATGAGAGTGCCGTCTTTAGTGGCACTGCTGTCTCCAAAAGCGTAGTCGGCCGGATGCCCTTTAGCTGACACCATTTAGCAGATGTTGTTGGCAGGTTCTGTTAGCAGGTCTGTTCCCACAGACACAGTCTCGCAGACAATAAGTTTTGATGATGTCTCAATATTGTCCTCTAGATAGGGGCACCATCTATTGGATCCTACTTAATTGATGCCTTCTTGCTGGTGCCATTTAGCTGATGCACCCTGGGAGGCACCATGTAGCAGGCACCATTTAGTCAGCCTTTTATCTGTTTTGTTTTGTAGATTCCATTTTGAGGGTGCATCCTAGCAGGCGTCACCTACTAAACATTCTTTAGCAGCTGCCTTCTGGCTGGCACCATTTAGCAGATGTTAATCGGTTCATTTAGTGTTATACCATTTAGCACGTGCATCCTAGCGGGCACCATCTACAAAATGTTATGTATGAAACGTTTCCTACCCAATATTTATGAACGGTTGTAGCTGCGAGGATTTGAGGTGCCACAAGACCTCATGCCTCTGTCAAGTGGATAATGGAAAGCAGTGAGTAAGACAAACTGTTTTCTTTCTCTCCAAGGTTGTGGTTCCCGTGCATCGACTCATATGCAGACCCTTGCACCTGGAAGATGGAGTTCACTGTGGATTCCAACATGATAGCGGTGTCGTGCGGCGACCTGGTGGAGACCGTGTACACTTCGGACATGAGGAAGAAGACTTTTCACTACCTTCTTTCGACACCCACCTCTGCTCCTAAGATCGCCCTGGCTGTCGGGTGAGTGACAGGTGATAGTTTGTGGTGTATAGCAGTGTTACGGAGTTGCCACTCCGGAGTTGGAATGATTCCGGAATCATTTCGAATTTTCGCAACCCCGGAATGGAATGGGAATGGAATGGTGGAAACGTTGAGGGGAATGGAATGAGAATGGAATTAGATGCCTTTTGCCCGGAATGGAATAAGAATGGAATGAGCCCGGTTCTTCTATTTTTTTTTAATATTTTTTTTAGTGTTTATGGTCAGTGAACTTGAGCCAGTCAGCGAGTCAGCATAAGTCTTTGGGGAGTGAAAAATTCCTAAAGAAGTGTTTTTTTTAAATGGCTTTTTAAAAATTTACAGCTATTTCTTTTTTCTGATCTGCAAAGTTTCTTATTTTTGCATATTAATATTGGAGCCATAAAATCACTATAATATCTATGCTGGCTGAAATTTCCTTGAAGTTGGTGCTAAAATGGCATTTTCTCAAAACAAATTTTAAACTTTTTGCAAATTTCTAGGAGGCAGCATCTAGGGCAGATAAAAATATAAATTTTTTTTGCAATATGTAGCTAAATGTGCAGAGTATACAATGTTGGGGGCTATTGTCTTATTGCTTGGTAGCTCCACCTTTTCTGAGCGGAAAATGACGCTCGGAATGGGGTGTGTCTCGACCTTTTATCACAGTTTTAATAGAGAAATCGGCATTGCGTGATTGTAATTTTTAAATTTTTAGGATGCCTAGGGCCCGTAGAATCAGTCATGACCAAGTACAGACGATCGCAGAATCCTCTTTAGTGCCACTTTAAGCAGCTTATAAATACATTAAAAACATGGTGGGACAACCAAAATTTAAAAATTTGTTTGAATTAACCAGAAGTATGAAACATCCCAGCTTGAATTATTGCGAGCCTGCTATAGTCACTGAGAAGGTGAGAACGGCAAGGCACCTCTCTCGAACACCCGGCCTCCAGCAAATACTGGTTGCCTTCCGCCATACTCTGGCCGTACGTGCTTGCTCGAGCTGGAGGTAGTACATCAGAAACTCCCCCCTGCCATTCTCTTCTGATCACTGTTTACGTACGGGGTGTCCCAAGTGTACCTTCCGCCGTAATACGAGCCGGTAAAATCGGCACCTGCACGCAGAAAGCTCAAACTTTCACCGAACAGGTCACTCTTACCGTGTGAAATTTCGAGGTGCCGTTCTCTTCCTGTAGAAAAAGAGACCAGAAGAAAACTTGCCAAAGTCAAGGTTGGGGCACGCTCGCAGATTACCGAGTTGGCAAAGCTATTTACTTTGTTGACAACTTTGTTGTCAACGCACTTTGTTGTCTGCTCGCCGTGCCTGTCGGGAGATGGCGCCACAATAGCGCCGCTAACTGGGTTGTCTGCGAGCGTGCCTGACCTTGACTTTGGCGAGTTTTCTGCTCTCATTTATTTGCGCGAAGAGAACTGCGCCTTGAAGTTTTACGCGTTAAAACTGACCTGCTCAGTGCACGTTCCGTGAAAGTAGGAGCTTTCTATGTGCAAACGCCGATTTTTCCGCCTCGTTCCACAGCAGAAGGTCTGCTTGGGACACCTTAAAGAAGTGGGCTCAAACTCATTTGAGTGTGAGGGCCAGGTAGTCCACTCCAGGAAGGTTGAGGGCCAACATAAGACGGGTTCAAAAGATTTCAAAGAGGGGAGACCTTGTGCTCTATGCTTTTTGCAAACTCTCAGTTTTTTCCAGTGACAGAATTGATTTGTTTATATGACTACTTTTGACCCTGACCTGATGTGATAAGAAGAATTAAAATGATACCGCCCCGCCAACGTGCTGTCATTTTTAATAGAACGAGAGAGCAAGTACATTGTCAATCCCGTTGCTCAGTTCGCTCGGAAATTAACCAAGCTCAACATGTCTCTAGAAAAACAATCAGTTAATTTGACAGTTCATGCTCTCATGATGATTTTTATTATACAACTCTCTAAAAAAATACCCGTCTTTTAATGGTGATATGTTTTGAAGGTGAGAATCCCGAGCTTGTAGCTTTACCTTTGCCAGTTCCTCCTGCTTATCGAAAGTTCACGCTGCCGAGATGCATCTTTTAACGCTTGCGCTTGCATGCTAGTTGCGGAAATATTGTGTGGTTGTTTAGCGTGATAAAAAGCTGGGAAGCATAAAATGAAGGGAAGCAAAAGGCAAATGAACACAGGTAACTATAAACTATGTGAATATGTTAAAAGAGCAGAGCTACTTTTCGAGCGGAAATGAATAGGCGAGATGAGATCACTATGGCGCGTGGCCATTTCTAGCGCTCAAGACATGGAAACCAGGACTCATAGCCGGTTGCCTGTAGGCCGCGTCCCAGCGACTCGCGGGCCGCATGTATGAGATGCCTGCCCTATAGTATAGGAGGTGTCCATACATGGTCATCGGCATGAACAGTGGATAATTAATCTGTCGTTGGGAAATTAATCTGTCGAGAGCTCGAAGTCGACATGCGCTGATCCGTAAAATACATGCCATAGTTCGTTGCAACTCAAGGAGGTAGAGCAAGGGTTAAGGAGGGCCGGGGAGGAGGAAACAGACGGAATGCTGGAGAAGAGAGGGGGAAGCCTCCTTCTCTCTTTAGCGTTTTGTCTGCTTCCCCTTCCCCGGCCCATCTTACCCTCACCCTTCGTTCTTGAGTTGCAACATACTATAGTGCTGCGAGGAATACTCCCTAAAGACCATTCCAATAATTGCCTTTTGTGCGCTGACATTTTTGCCTACTGGGCTGTAGAATGCATCTTGAGCATGCACAGTAGCTTGCTTTTGGGGGAGTATTGCACACCACGCATGCCCATTGACCGGGCATTTCTCGTTGGAGTGATAAGGGTTGGGAAGGTGTATTGTAAGACAGAGTCATTAAAAAGTTAAGTGGCACCAATCATTGAACAGGAGTCTGCCCGTCAAGTGAAATTTAACCTCATCTAAAAGTGATCAACGAATAAAAACAGAATAGACAATGCACGGACACAGTGTGTGTACTTGTTTATGGCGAGTTTTTAGGGCATCATGTACTTTGACGCTGGTATTCTTGCCTCAAGAGATCGGACACCTTTTATAGACGAGGCTGCGAAATTTTAGTTTGATTTTGTGGACTCGGGTAGTTTGCTATATTTAATTAATGAAAAAAAAAGGGCCAATGGTAGATTTGGAGATGACTCCAGTCACAATTTTGGCACTAGATATCTATGACTATTAAGCTTGTTCCAGTGACGTGCTTATATCCAAGTGTGTTTGATTAATTTTTTTGTTATGTTACCAGATAGACGGGCGGACAGCGCTTGGTTCATGATCCTCTTTGCACGTTTTACCTTCTGTCGTCTGCAGGCCATTCGAGGTCTTTGTGGACCCGCAGATGCACGAGGTGACCCATTTCTGCCTCCCACACCTTCTACCACTGCTCAAGCAGTGCACCAACTTCCTGCACGAAGTGAGTCAGGCACTTGTACCACTTTGCCATAGCCAAAGCTTGAAGCTCCAATATGCGACAAGTCATAGCCGCAGTCACAGCCGTTGGAATAAGAAAGAACGTTACAATGTGAGTCTGGAGATTTTTGGAAACCCCTTGTCCAGGTTTATACAACCAGCTTTCCTGAATTCTGCTTTGGCATTTTGCTTGATTTGAAAATTCTGTAGTGCTAGAACCTTGAACACATTCGTACCAAATTCAAACTTTTGTTATGGCCGTGAGTTTGACTGCAGCTATGGCCTGACTAAACGTTTAGTGCATGCTTATTAGAGCAAATTGCGTAGTATAGGGTGCAAACTTTGTTCCCAGGTATACCCTCTTCGCTAAAGACGAGTTGAATGCGTGACACGTGATGTACCAAAGAAACGTATGGTAGTATAATGCATGGGTTCACAAATGCCACTACTTTGTATTGTTTTTGTACTGGAAGGCTGGGGTTCCGCATGATCCATAGAAAGATATGAATTTCTACCCAAGTGCTACAATCCTGGTATTATTCCTTGCCCCAAGTAAAACGTGACCAGAATTCTGGTCACACATCAATGTACAGCATTGAACCTACGGTCTGTCGGTTGTTAATGATGGCGGGCAAACTCCTCCCACAAGGCCCTCTACCCTTTCCACTTTAGCACAGGGAATGGTGGAGAGCATAAAACCTCCGATCGTGGCGAGCAGAGAAATTGTGGGATGGGTTTGTCCCGCCATTCTAGACTCGTGACGGACCGTAACGCTCCTGCCTTTCTTTTTAGTCTGCGTATCATTATCGAAGTTTGTAAGCGACTGTCGTTGCAGGAACATCGAGAGGGTTTAGAACGTGTCCTCAGATATAAGGACGGTTTGGAAGCCACCACCGCCGATTCTGTTCTTTTATGCCCCCGCCTTCTGCTCATCCGTCACCCAGGCTTTCGAGTTCTACGAAGAGCTCCTGTCGAGCCGCTACCCGTACTCATGCTACAAGCAGGTGTTCGTGGCCGAAGCCTATGTGGACGCCGACCCCTACGCCACCCTCACCATCCTCAGGTGGGGTTCGAAAACCGGCACAAGTTGCGCTCATTTACTGAGCAATGACTGCTCGTCTTTGTGTGGATAGGTGGCCGAGTTCGTCAATGCAGTGCAGCTCGGGGCACATGTAGCGAAAGCTAGCACTGCAGAATCCGGGAATCCCGGGTTCAACCCCATCCCCGCCTGCTTCGATCTGGGTGAGGGTCGTACCAGCGTGCGACCCCAGGCTAGCAGTGGTACTTGATTGGCTAAATTATTAGTCTATGGCAAAGACGCCTGACGTCCATTGGGGCCGACTCGCTTCCCACTGTATAAACAAACTCACAAAACAGAATTGTTTTTGTTTGCGTCTCTTTTTACCACGAAGTGGAGTGCTTGAGCTGCGGGTCTCCAGACCGGGGGCCCAGAAAGGTTCCCCAGATTGCCCCAAGGGGTTCATTCTCTTCGTTTTTTTTAATGCAGAGTGCATCGGAACAGAAGCAAAGATTTATGTTGCGTTGCCGCACCGGGCAGGCGTCCTCTAAATTTAGCACTCCAATGCTAGCTTGTCAAACTAGCGGGGCTATAGGTCACGTGACATCACGGGACCATGTCCGCAAAATTTAGCTGGCTCTTAGCTCGTAGCACGTAGCTCGTTTAATTCAGTGGGGCGGTGGCTTAAGTCATGTAACCATATCACATAACCATGTTGTGTGGCCATGTGACCCGTAGTGTTTAGGGTAGGCCAGCCGAGTTAGTGTCGTGTCCGACACTGGCGTTCCGAATTTTCTGTCACGTGCCACTACCGTAGAATACCGTGCATTCGCCCATGCCACACTAAGCGCCCATACCCGAATTTGTAAGATCTGAGAATATATGCACAGTACATCGATATGTAAAATTGATGACCGGAGAAGCGCCCATACCCGAATTTGTAGGATCTGAGAATATATGCACAGTACATCGATATGTAAAATTGATGACCGGAGAAGCGCCCATCACCCATTTTTTCGCGATTATCTCTAAATTTTGAGTGGGCGCTTGCCCGGTATTTTACGGTAGTTCCAGTGCTACATTCTTCGCAACAAGGAAGTCCCATTGAGTTGGATAGAAAATAAGCAAAATAGTGCACGTGTAGTTCCCGCGTGTCGTCGTCAGGTTTGCGTAATGTATCGCTAATGTGTTCTGCATACCGGACGTTTGGGCAGTAGACCAAAGGAGCGCCTTAATTCTTTTTACTTTTGTTAATTTCCTCCTCTTCCCATATCCTCTCCATCTTTGATCTCTCCTCTTTGAGCTCACAATGTAAAGTACCAACATGTCTCGTTGATTAAAGCCAGCATTTGTTGCGACAGTGGTAGTGCAAAAGAAGTTTCGCCCGAGCGGTCTGCATTTTGTCAAGCCCGCAACTCCATGACGCCGGGACTGAGAGAGCCGACACCAAATCTGGCCTTCTTTTTCCGACAGTGTCAACTTGCTCCATTCCAAGCACATCATCGATGAAGCGTACACGTCAAGGAAGATCATGGCCAAGGCGGTGGCAGAGCAGTTTTTTGGCTGCTTCATCGCAATGCACACGTGGTGAGTACCAAGACGAGTTGTAGAAACCAAAAGAAACACGTTTGCGCTATTGTAAGATCCCATATGAATGCTGTCCTCCGAGAGATGGCCCATCCCGTTTTTCTGGCTATATATACATAACCTAAAACTTCCGGAACATTGCCCACCCTTCGATTTCCATCAGACATTGCGTGACGTCTAACGGGAATCGCATCAAACGTGCAATCTGCGGTACTGTTGCTTGTGACAAGCGAGTTCGCAGCTGGTTCCCTCAACTTTTTGTCCGCGATCTGAGTGCACAACACTGGTTCCCGTGGCATGCGAGTTTATAGCAGGATTCCACGTATTTATCGCACTGCGAAATGCGGATCCTCTGCATCCACAATCTGCGGCGTCCTTTCCTGTGACGCAGGACTTTGTGGCAAATTCCTGCATGTGTATCGCATCGTAAAACGCAAACTTGTCATGTCCACGGTCTGCGGTATCAGTTCCTGTGTCACCTGGTTTGTTGCAGGTGCCCCTGTACTTATCATTATATTTTGTATAGTTTCGCCGACTTATCTTTAAAGGGAAGTTGAAGAGGTTTTTGAAAGAAAATGAGTTAGAGCTGAATTCTAGCTCATTTCTGATTCTGTTCCGCGAATTTGAATATCGCGAGCATTTGACTCGAACACATCAGCAGTACTGAGAAAACCTGACAAACCAATAACGGGGTGCTCTTCCGCGCCATTTTTAAAGTGCCATCATGGCCACTCGATGCGTCAATCTACAACGAAGACGATTTAAGTGTTTTTCTCTCAAATACAGGCCCGTTCCGGTTTCCCTTTAAAGATAGCCCACCTCATGCGTACCTCTTCGTTCTGGGAGGGTGCCCTTGACGGGATTTTACGGTGGTTGTTCTGGGAGGGTGCCCTTGACGGGATTTTACGGTGGTCGTTCTGGGAGGGTGCCCTTGACGGGATTTTACGGTGGTCGTTCTGGGTGGGTGCCCTTGATGAGATTTTACGGTGGTCGCAAACAAAACAAAAACGATGGGATATTTTTTTTTTTTAGCGTCCGGCCTACAGCAGTTGTTTGTTGCCTTCCGCCGCACTTCGGCTGCGCGCACGCGCCGCAGACTCCCAAAACGTTCAAGCATTGTCGAAGGAAGGAAGAGCTCGCACCGGAGGCGGAAAAGTGAAAGACCTCCCCATTGTTCTCATCTGTCCACGACTGTAGTGCACAAATTGGCAGCAGCCAGTTTTGTCTTCTTGCCTTTCTTACCTTTTTATCAGTGCAGTAGAATCTCGTTGATTCAAGCCCTCTTAATTTAAACTCGTGGATAATTCAAATTAACGTGCAGGTCCCGTCCCATGTGCTTCTAGGAAGGCAATTTTCCGGTAATTCAAACTTTGCGTAATTATAACAAAGGTTTGGTCCCTTTCGGGTTCAAGTTAATGAGATTCTATTGTAGTTGGCATCAGGTTCCTGTTGCTCCGCATGGGACCTTGACGGTTGTCCCCCCTCTCGCCGCAGGGCCGACTCGTGGTTGCCCAAGGGCATTTCTGCCTACCTGGGAGGCCAGTACAACAAGAAGGCCTTTGGGAACAACGAGTACCGCTTCTGGGTTCACAGGGTGAGTCTGGCAACCCTCCTCAAACACGGTTCGGCGTACGGTTAAGAACAAGAAAGGCTGGAACGCCGGGCACTTCGTTTGCTCGCACGAGTGCGACGTCGAGGTACCCGGGCGACGATTGTCGCACCTGTTGGGCACTATGAGGTGACAGTTGTAGTTGTCACCGCTAGGCAGCACTGGTTAGGTGACTTAAGTTCAAAGGATTCAGCCCTATCACCCCGTCTAAGGCTATACATTTGGTTTTACAAACATTATTTGAGTACTTTTGAAGAGTACACGTGGCTAAAGCTTTGAGAGATGCTTTAGTTGTCTCAAAATTGATGACAAAAAAAAAAAAAAAAAAATGATGCTTGTGTTTATACGATGCAAGGTTGCTCTGCCTTTAAGGTGCGGTGACGCTGGTTTATGTCGTAGATGAGAAATCTAGCCAGTGCAGTATTGCTGCTAGTCATGGGCCTCTACAATGTGCCGTGCAGTAGTTATACTCGACCGCACGCCAGTACGACCCTCATCCAAGTCGAAATGGACAGGGGTGGGGATTGACCCTGTGATCCCAGAGTTTTGCGGCGCAGCCTTTCGCTTCACGTGCTCTGTGTTGATGATAACTAAATCTTTAATGCTGTGCACATGCATCAATACTTTCTGTTAAAGTAATTCTGAATGTCTTCCTCTAATATGTACAAATTAAAATGAAAAAAAAAAAAAAAGATTTCCATGGGAAGGGTTTTATGTTACATATCTCCTCAACAGACGAAGTAACCGGAATAAAAGAAATGTCTAGTGCCTGTGATCTGGACAAGGGAGGGCATAAAAGGGCGGTTGGGACGGCATGCGGTCTTTTGAACTCAGTCCTGTCTTTATCTCTGTTTATTCTCTTTTGTATCACTCTCTTCATTTTTCTAAATGTGGCAACATTTCTGAACGAACCCTACACCCTTTTGTTTCCGTCCTTCAGTTTGTGACCAACGAAGCAGGTGGCACGCATTTGTTATGCGTGCCACCTGCACCCAACAAATGCACCCAACAAATGTGACATGATGTGTTAGCTTCTGAATGGCAAATACAGTTACTGAGGGTCTCATTACGTTTACATGCATTATCGATATAGTACGAGAGAAGCATTTGAATTGCAGTAATGCTACAGCAGAAGTCATTGGTTTGTCAAGGGGGACCCGTCTGCAGTAAGTAGACAGTCATATCGGAAAATTACGTAAATTGGTTTGAAAGGTTCCTAAGCAGCCTAATAATTGTTTACGCCATACGAGACAGCGCAAAATGTCATCGTGTTCCCACGACAAACTGCGCAGCAATCGTTCTCGCCCTCATTTGCACGGACCGGCCCGCTTGCCCGTTCCCTTGCAGGAGCTGAAGGAGGTGACGGCCTACGAGCAGGAGGCCGGCGGGGTGGTGCTGGACCCAAGCTTGCGGGACTGCCCCCAGTTCCACTTCCCGGTGACCAACCTGCACACCACGTCGCCCCGCTACGCCGACGTGCTCTGCGCCAAGGCCCACCTCGTCATACGCATGCTCGAGGACCGCATCGGGAGGGAGCTGCTCCTGCAGGTGAGGCCACGTGGTGGAGCCTCCTGTCAAGTCTTGTTCGGATAAAATTATTGGCAAACTCCTCTTAATTATGTTTTTCCTCAGTAAAGCTGCCACGAGATGTTCATAACGAAGGTTTGTTTGATTAAATATACGGTTAGAGTGTTCCGCAGTGTTCCCGTCCACCTTCAAGGCTGCTGGCACTGTTTTATGACTCTATCGCTTTTAGAAAATTACTGCTTACCTATATCGAATTTCTTTTTTTCCGTCCTGTTAACTTTGTTATAACGAGAAATTACTGTATTTTACAAATTTATTTGTTGAACTTAAAATTTATCCAAAACAAAAGAAAATGTAAACAATTGTGGCTATCTCAAATCATATAATGAATTTAAAAGCCTTTAATTTGATACACCAAGTGTGATCCATGTCCACCACTACCGCTTTTTTAAGCTGGAGCACTCCAGCTGAGACTGTCTTTTGTGGTTTATTAGCTTCCGTGGCGCAAGTGCCATTCAGGTGTTGCATGTTGTGGTTCATGTCCTGCAGAACACATTAATTTTTATGCGAGACCTTGATTTGTCATAGCACTGCTTGTAGATGACCCTCTTCTGCGGTTTTTATGACTTGCTGCACACATAGATCTGCTTCGGCTCAGGACAACTTGGAAAGCTGGAGTGACGCTCACCAATGAAATAAAATCGTCCAACGTCATCTACAGTCATCGCAGACCTCATTTCTACTGTCATCCAAAACAGCAGCAGAAGCAGTCAGATCGCACGATCGATGCCATCTTTACGGCTGTCCCTGATGCCAGGAGGACTCCGTGCTTGACAAAGGCCACCACCAAGCAGAGATATATTTTTGATAGCTACGTCTAAGCTCGTTAATACAGACCTGGTTACTATGGAAATTTCAATACTATAACATACCGATTTCTGAAGTTCTGTTGGTTTTCCTCTACGTACCATTGACTCAACTTCATATCTGCATACAACATACTCCTCTTACAGCAGACCGAAATCTTGGTCAAAATCAAGGTTTGTTATAACGAGCTTAGACTGTAGCTGGCAAGAAAGTGCAAAACTAAATTGAAACCAAAACTATAGTTCTTTAGCTATCCACAAGATGGCGCAACCTGTTTCAGCTTGCCAAATTTGAATTTTGGCGGTGCATGGAAACCCTAGGTCAAAACTTTGTGATTAGTAGCCTACGGGCATGGTAAGAAAAGAGTTAAATATTAGACATTATAGCCCATTATTCCTAAGATGTAGACTAACCAAATGTACTGCTGTTTCTATACAGGCAACTACTGTATGATAGAAATAAAACTTGCAGGCTAGCTGATGAACTTACGTCTTGAAAACCCGAGACCGAGGAACAAAAAAAAAGGGATGACATACACAAAGGTATCAGAATTGGATTGGATTGGATTCTGTCGGCTAAACCCTTTATAGCGGGCGATCACAGTTTAACTTTGACCTCTAAGTGTTTGTTGTCCACTTTTTGGTTCCTCAGTCTTGGGTTTTCAAGGTGTTGAACTACCGCATGTTAGTAACACCATTTTTCTCTCGGTCTTGCATTATTGAGCCTGTGTTCTGTATTTGTATTCAGCCAGGAATTTTGTTACATACGCTTGCTGCTGCACATTCAGTGCACTTGCCTCATACACAGGTTTTCAACAAGCTGCTGTCTCTGGCAAGTTCAGCAGCGCAGCAGAAGGTGACTTCAAACATGTGGCACAACATGCTCCTCTCAACGAACAGCGTGAGTCTCATCGTCGCGCTCATTCGTTGACGAGTTCATGTGATATCGCACGTTGTCTCTTCTCTTCTGCTTCAACAGAGTTTACATGTATTGGTCTCCGGAAATTACAATAAGACTGCTTGACTGACTAAAGGTCTTCCTTACACCTCTTTTCATGCCACATTTGAGCTTTGTGGAGGCCGTTTTCTCTTTCAGTGGTGCAGTTTTTATGTTTTTCTGGAAATTGAAAGTGGGCTTCAGGTATTATTCACTCGTCAAGGAAACACTGCGAAACACACCCAAACGGAGCAGACAGTACTCAAGACTTCGATTCCCCTCACCTTTTTTTTAAATGAAATTTCAGGTGATTACTGAAACCAGCCGCACAACACGTAACTTGCACAACACGCACTTGAGTGCAATGGACGGTGGATGGCATGAGCCCAAACCCCCTGGGCATTGATTTTTTTCTTTCTGAATTCTATTTCTATTTGTATTTTGCTTTGCTGCAGTGCCTTTTGTGCAACCTGCAATCAATACATGCCTGGAAAGAAACAAATTAATTTTTTTTATGCTCAAGGTTTTTTTTGTTGATGATGCAGATAAATACAGCATAGCAGATTGCCTATGAAGCAAAAATCATGGCTTTTCAGATGAATCTTGGAGTCGGGCTTCAGTGTCTAACCGTGTAGGGTTCAGCTGATGTTTTTGTGGTGTCCAGTTTCAGAAAGCCATCTTCATAGTCACAGGCAAAGACATCAAGACCTTTCTGGAGCAGTGGGTGTATCCTTGATGACCTTTTTGTTTCCTCGCACGATCCAATCATCAACTCGCAAAACCATCATTCGTTGTGATGCCATAGGAAATTTCTATGCAACCTCTGAGCTTACAACCGCAAAAGAAAGTATGTTGTTAAAAAAATAAGGTGGAGGTTGTTACTGGAATGATGCTGAACTTTGGAGAGTGGTTAGCCCAAGGATTGGATTTTAACGGTGATACTCAATTCCTGTGATTCCTGGACAAAACAAAAATTATTCTTCCCTCGCTTACTCGATTCCTAAGAAAAAAGTGGTCTTTGCTGTAGGCTGAAGGTTTCATGTGGGATCTTTGATTTGTGTCTTTCCGATTCCCAGCTACAGGACTATGCTACTTATTGTGCACTGCATGACATGGTTAGCCTGAGCATTCACTTTCCGTTTTTCTTATATGACCAAAAACTGATACCTAACTCTTCAGTGTGGGGAAGTTTGTGCATGCAAAGCACCAGTTAGCTTGTGTGGTGAAGTTCAGCTCTTGACACACAAATCTGAGTTACCGAAGGGTGGAAAAGTAGTCGTGCTACATCCGGGCTAGCTGTGTTGTGTAGTTTACCTCGAAAAAGTAATAAGAATATCTGCCCCCTTGCATGCTTTTCAAATGAGAACAGCATCAGACAGGGCAGGGATGTTTTTCTGGAGAGTTGTTGTGGTGGTGAACTGGAATGCTTGGAACAGTATCAATGGCGAACATGAGGGCTTTGCTCATTGTCCTTGACACCAAGTCGTCGCAGACGCCAGGGCGGCCATGCCAAGTTCCACGGAACGTTTGTCTTTAATCGCAAGCGCAACACGGTCGAGCTCGAGATCAAGCAGACGGACACCCATTCTCTCGGCATCAAGAAATATGTTGTAAGTGCTACTGTGTTTCCTTGCTTGGAATTCACAGAATATTTTGATTGCAGGTTTCCTATAATAATTTTTTGGAGTTGCTGACGGGTTAAGGGGAGATGTGAGTCGAAAAACGACTGCAAAAAATTTAATTTTGGGTTTTGTGATGATTTATGTTTTTCGAACCTTTATATTTTACGGATAAAATATTTAATGCTTGTTATGACCGCGAAATTAGTCAAGTAAGCATTTGAAGACCTCCAGGCAACTCAGAACGGCATGAATTTGGGCTATTGTTTTCTGCTGGGTTCCTCTCAAATTGTGATGTTATCCGCCTTCTCATTTACATTGACAAGTAGGTTTAGCCGTCTCCTCTCTATTGCAGTTTTTTGTAGCTTTGATTTTTCAAGGAAGTTTATTAAAAAAATAATATTTCCCGTACCACGAAAGAGTATAGCTACGCATCTATGGTAACATTTGAATACATTTTTATGTAATTTTAGGGTACCTTTAATCAATCAAAGAGCTTTATTGTGTTTCCCAAACAGTTTTAGGGGCCTTTTTTAGGGTTACACTTCACATTATGAAACACCGCTGAACTAAACAAACTACACGGCAATCCTGACCACTATACTATTCTTGAACTTTTTAAAAGGTATCGAAAAATCCCCGTGAGGGTTCAAAAACTTGCTGTACATTAGCATTATCCGTGTCAGCGGAGGACTGGACTCTAGATAAGTTGGGTATCTTACCTAGAATTCTTAACCAGTTTGTGCACAAAAATATCTGTTCTTAATATTGTCCTACCACAGTCAAATTTGGCATGCATATATACTTTGAAATATGTAGAATGCAACTATCTAGGTGTGGCTAGAACATATCTTTTTTATATATATATATTTATGAAAAATATAAGAAATGTTAGCCCCTTGAAATTGCATTTTTTGCTATTTTTAATTATTTTCAAATTAAAAAAGTGTTGCACTCTTTATGTTTTGTTGTTCACTGCACTCAGTAATAAGGAGCAAATCAGTTTATTTTACTAGACTTTTTTAAGTGTGTTGCCACACCTTACATGTGCACAAGAACAATGTTTTTTTCTGCATGTACATTCCATCGAGAACCCAGAAAAACAAACTATATCAAATCCAACACCAGGTTTATAAAAAGAAGATTAAGCACCATACACTAAAGATTTCATTTCAACATCATAAATTATTTTTAAAAAATTTTCCCTGCTGAATTGTTAAGAAAACAATTCAGCATGTGCTAAATTCTTTCCTTAACAATTCAGCAGATGCTCTGTCTCCAACGAAGTGCTTTGATGAGAGCCAAAGTTTGGCGGAACACAACATGCTCACACTGGAGTTGGAGCCCCTACTGAATTTTATCTTGTCGCCATTTATAGTTGTGAGCATAGTACAACTTCGGTCAGTTGGTGGAAAGGAGTCTTTCCCACACTTGTCCTTGCATTGTACTTGTACATAACTCAGATGCATGTATTGGTATTACCGGCCTAGCACCTCTTTGCTTTGGCTTTATTGTAAAGAAAAGTTGCTTTTTATGCTTTTAATGCTGGTTCAGAGGTCTGAGGTACTAGTATAAGCTTCAGATGTATGCTGGAGTTGAGGAAAAAAATCTGGTATGATAAATATATAAATAGTATAGTCTAAAAAAGTTGTGACCAGCTCGTCATACTGATATGGTAAAATTGCTGGTGTAGAAAGCATTTTTTATATAACCTTAGTGGAGAGAGTTGTAATTTTAAATGGATGTCATGGGATGAGAACTTTAACTGCTGCCGCAGACAGAGTAGAAAAATCATGAGCCATTCCACTCTATGAAGGTGGATGACCAGTGAAGCTGTTTAGAGCTCGACATAGACGTGACACAGAATTTTGAACAAAGGTACGAACACATTTATTGTCTTGTTCGGTGGTCATCGCGACGAAAGGTACGCACACACATTTACTGTTGTCTTCATCGGTGGTCATTATTTCGCGTGGACGACTATTGCCGCTCTGAAGAGCCGGAGGGAACTAGACACGCACTTTGGGACCACCACCTGGTGGAGAGTAGACATGCACGATGGGATCGCCACGCCGGGAGAGCGGGAGGAAAGGAAACTAGGCACGCAAGCGCTTCGGACGACGACAAAGAGAGGGCGGTGCGAGTGTAGACATGGCTGACGCGGGTCGCACAGTGGCAAATCTTTGAGAAGCCTTTATTATCTACCTGAGAGTCTACTGATCTTGAAAATGGTGCCTATTGATAACTTATCTGCTGAACAGACCTATTGCTAAATTACCCAAGCATCAAGCAGAATGCAGGGAATGGTGTTCCACGCGCCGCACGTGTCGGCGTCTCCAGAAGTAACTGTTCTAAAGCAAAAGCCTAAAACAAATGGCATCTTTCACGCGTGTTCATCAATGCTTTATTTTGGTTATTTACTTTGAATCTTTTATACGGGAAAGGCATGAGCGTGTGGCGGCGGCATCTGCAGCAGTAAGTGTTCTAAAGCAAAAGCCTAAAACAAATGGCATCTTGCATGTGCGATCGTCAACGCTTTATTTTGGTTATTTACTTGGAATCTTTTATACAGGGAAGGCGTGCGCGTGCGGCAGTGCGAGCGTAGAGTTTTTGTTGACGCACATGAAAAATCCACGGGAACCTAGCCATAAACAGCTTCGCTGTAAAAACTTGAGACGGAATTGATCATAGGACAGAACACAAAGAACACATCTTTCGGCAAACGGATGGCACATCTTTCGCAACACGGCCAGCACTGAAAGATGTGCTGTCCGTGTTCTGTCCTTTTATGTGTAATTATTTTATAAGTTTTTGCACTATACCTTAAGAGGAGGACAAAGTGAGTTACAAACATGATCGCTGGGGATCATTAATAAATCCTTAACAAAGAAATTTTGTGCGAGTTCAGTGTCTCATTAAATGCTTTCTCTTGCAAAAACCAGTGCATTTAAACGAGAAAATGTGCCTTTTTCGCCCACAATGTGCAAAGTAAACGCGAAGCTGTGGCATGTTCGCGCAGTGCGGGCAAAATGGTGTCGTAGCATCCCGAGGACGGAAATGCAAAGTGGTTAATGCACATTACCGTTGTGGACGACGCTGACGACTACCACGAGCGCTCAGCGATCAGTGAAGTAAGTGGGCAAGGCAAGAGCACGAGGTCGTGCAAGTCGCTGAAGCCAGTTGTTCCCGCCACGCCTGCTCCTGAGACGGAGTACGGCTTTGGCACGACGGCACCATTAGGAAGAGTCTGCGGCAGTGACGACGCAAACAAAGGCACAGGTTTCTTGGAGTTGTTGAGCAGCGAAGAGAGTGGGTAATGCTGACGTTCAGCAATGAGCAGAGAGGTGGTGACGCATGCGCAGAGGTACGATGAGAAGCTCTGCGGGGAAGGCGGGTGCGAGGCGACAAGTTTTGGCAAAACATATTTTACGTTTTGAGTTGGGTTTGAGAAGAAGACGTTAGAGCGAAATCGAATGCGTTGTAAGTTTCTGAAACCTTCGAGCATTACATGTAGCAACTGGATACTGCCAGAGTGGAATTTCGTGTATCGTGAGTAAAGTTTGAAAACACCCGTTTCGAGAATTATTTTTAGCAGACGACAGGGGAGTACGCTCTGCTGATGCTGCTTCGTCGTTGCGCCGTTATTGGCAGTTCATCGGGGCTCTTCTCTCTTCCCGCTTTGTGCGGCGCGGCCAATTGGAACACCCAACTTCTCTCTCCTTGTGCCACGAGGGGAGAGAACAAGGGTCTTTTTGCCATCTTCGCTGCGACGACAGACAACAACAAATGCCTACACCGAAATCCCTGCAAAGTGTCACCCGCAAAGCTATCGCTTTAAAAATAATGTTTGTTCGACACTTTGAGAATCATAAGTGTTTATTCCAAGTGCTAGTTGTCCAAAACATGGCTTCATGATCCCTTAACAATCGGTTGCTTTCGTCCAGGGTCCCCTCACAGTCACCATCCAAGAGCTGGACGGAACATTCAAGCACAACCTTCAGATCGAGGAGAACGCCACCAAGCACGACATCACCTGCCACTCAAAGAGCAGACGGTTGGTGACGTCTTTGTTTCTTTGTACCACAAATCAGTCGGTCTGTTGGCAGCATAGTGCTTGGCGACGAACTGAATTGACGCCACTATATAGGCTAGAGTTACAAGGGACGTTAACAATGTTTGTGGATTGTCGGCACCAAAAATTGAGAAAAGGGGAACAAAACAGGCAGCGTCTAGTTTTGCACAGTATAAACATTGTGTTCTATAGTACCATGGAACGCCTGTAGGGGTTCGAAACGAACATGACATCGCCCGTTCAAAAAGTTGAAGCGTGCAGTGATCCGTTTTCTCATTTGAAGGGAAGCAATGCCAAGGAGATTAATTATGAACTGGTAGCGGTGTCGAGAGACAACGCCCCAGTTTATGGCACTGTAAATTAATGTGGCACGGACGCTTCCATTATGGTTATACAAACCCGAAAGGATTTCAAGGACGACGACCGAGCGATTGCCGAAGTGGAACGATTTTTGGACACTCAAAACGCGGAGTTCCACAACAACAACCTCCGTCGGATTTTCCATCGTTGACAAAAGTGTGCGTCTTTGGGTAGAGAATACGTAGAGAAAGACTAAACTCCTACCCGAGTTTCATTGCTGAATCTCTGCTCCTTTGCGGCAATAACACAAACTACGAACACCCCTCATAAAACATAGGTTCTCAGGGGTTCCCGAATCCTCTCGACAGTCCCTGCCCCTAAGTAAGGAGTCTTTCCTCTTTTGGCACCGTCTCAGCAAATCTGAGTCATTCGTTGGTTTGCAGTTAATCTGCCAGACACTCCGTAACATGTGCATTGTTATTTGCAAGGTCTGATGGCTCCTGCACTGCTTTGCTGCATTGATGCCAAGACTGGGAGGGGCTCCTTGGCTGTCAATCAAGAGGGAGGGGCATTCCTTGGCCGTTAATCAAGTGGGACAAGCATTGACACTCTATTTTCCGGCTGTCTTGTGGGCGCCATCGTCCGAAACCGCCAGCGATTTCAGGCGAAGCTTTGGATAGCTGGCAACCATGATTGAAGCGCCAAGATGGTCAAGTGTCGCTACTTTGAGGCATAGCTTATATCCAGCAGCTCTAACCCGAGCCACGAAGCACTCACAAGGCAGTAATACCTGCTGGTGATTTTTTATTTCTTTTTGCGTTTAGAAACAAGAAGAAGAAAATACCGTTGTGTACCGGCGAAGAGGTGGACATGGACCTGACTGCAATGGAGTAAGTGTTCCAGGTTTTGGTATTATTTCAGACCCTTCTAGTCATTGGAAGCTTAATTAGAGGGGAGACACTACCCTAAATTTGCAATTGCTTAGAAAAAAAAAATTTACTTTTCTAATTTTCATGTATTGTGGTTTCACAACTAATAGAGCACACTCCTGAAAATATTGTTGCAATATCTCAAATATTGACGAAGAAATAATACCTTCGGTGAGCAGACGATGCAAAATCTTTAGTTTTGCATATGTGAAAATTCAACGTTTCCTATTTTCTAACTGCTGTGGCTCCGCACCGGCGTGCTCTTGAATGATGATCCTACTCTCATTGAAAAAGAGCATTTCTTCATAGTTTTAGTACATTGAATATCTTTGTTTGAGAGTAAACACTCTTTGGGCAGGAACACTATAGAAGTCCATCTTTCGCGTGGAACAGGCTATGCACGTGGACTAGAATTGGAAAGCCCGTCCTTATTGAACAGAAAATGGAAAACAAGAAAAGAAACTAAAAACAACACTTGTTTATAGAAAGTTTTGGGGGTTTGTCTGCCTTGTTTCTCGACAATGCTTGGCCCTGCCCAGAATTGCGGACACTGGTTCGTGTATTGCAAGCATATCCAATGCCTCACTCGTTTCGCAATCAATGTCCACATGCCGATAACAAAAGGACACTCAAAGAAAGAGTTTGAAGCTCGGACTCGCTCAGCAAAGCCATGCAGGAGATTGGGTATAAGCAGAATGCACCACCTACACTCTTGATGCCTTTTAGTTGCTACCACCACCACCACCACCAGTAAAAGCAAATGTAGTGGTGTGGAAACTTAAAATAGGTCCTTCCTCAGTTTCACTTTTTTGCTGCAACTTTCGTTTTTGGAAATTTTTAGTTTCAATGAATTGCCAAATTTATTCTTCGCTGTGGATGTTCCTGAACTGAAACTTGATAAATAATGCGGCTAGACATTTATTTTTCTGTTTAAATGAAGATCTTTTTGGCAAAACAGTATGACTTTAATGAGGAGAAAAGGCCATATTATGTGGAATACTCCTCAAATTGTCATTTTGCATAGCAGATTTCAGGGTAAAAAACTGATAGCCCCATATATTCTAGTTAGAAATGCTCAATTTTTTGGAGCAATTTGATACAAAAGATTTCCTCGCTAAGTGAGGCGACTTACATCAATATCTCTATACCTCCCACCGTAGCTTATCAGAGAATTGTCCTACGGCGATGAAACGTCACACAGCATGTTTAGGCAAGGAGATAAATAGACACTCCAGATTTCATCAACATGTTGTTGTTTGGTTTAAAAGTCCGATTTTGGTCGAGGTGAGAGCGAGAAACTTCTCGGCTGCCAACTGGACGGGGCGTCACAGCTTACGTGTAATCAGCCAACGAGGTATCTTCGAGTCGTTCACGGCTTCACGGTTGGGCAAACTTTTGGTGAGGTCGTCTCACCGACTCACGAATGGCGAGAGAGGTCTAATGTGCCTGTCTTTAGTACTCCCTCGTCTACCGGTCGACGTTGGCTCGTGTACAGCAGCAGAACAATTCGAAGTTTGCGAAAGGAGAGCGGGTCGTTAATGGCTTTCAACGTGGAATAGCACACAATCACAATTTAGACCTGCGTTCTATCTCACTCTGCCGTGGCACTTGGTTTATAGCACGCAATCAACTTTTTTTTTTTGTCTGTGAGCAGATGTCATACAGCGTTTTCTTCTATTACTTTTGGCTGCTGATGTCGGTCCGTAGCAGACGAGTTGCTTCCTTCGCTCGCGTTAGCAGACGAACCTCTTTGATTGGTATCTTCGTTTGCTCCACAAGAGGCAGATTACATCTCACTCTCGCACTCTCGACTGAAATCGGATCCCCCGGAGCATTCTGTTATCACTACACAGCCAATGAAATTACGACATCAGCCGATGAGTATGCCAAAGAACAAATGGCGCAGCATGAACATAATAAGCTAAGCCCAGCTCAAAATCTTTCTTTTTTTTTTTTTTTAATATCCAAATTGATTGAAAAAGATGCCTGGATCTTACGCTCGAAATTGGAAGCTTGGAAACTCAGTATTTGTTAAGCAGAAAAACTTTCAGCCTTTCTATTCTGGGGAAGAAGGAAGACCAGCGAAGTACTATGGTGGGAATGAAGTAATGTCCGGCCGCAAGTTGGCAAGCCAGAGTGGAAAGACTCGAAAGGTTGCCGCCATTTATGAGCGACGGCGGCAACCGGACAACCGGCAAGCCGGTTGTCTGGTTGCTGCCATTGTTCATAGATGGTGGTAGCCGTCCAGAATTTTGTGTCTCCATGTGTTTGCTGACAGACACGATCCTGGGGAAACTAGCCCTTAACAGCTCCGCTGTAAAAACTCTTTCCAAAAGCCGAATTTTAAGTTCCCGCGCGATCGCGCCAGTGCATTGACACCAAAGATTGAGTCGTCCTGTAACTGTAGTTGCTCTCACGCCTCCAAACCACCTTGACCGGAACTGTCGTGTTCATCCGCGTTGCGCGTTCCGTGATCAACCGTGCTTCTCCGGGCGCGCCACCTATTGCTGTGAGCGGACAACGCTTCACTTTTGAGTTTAAAGTTCTTTTAAGGCGAGGGCCTTAAGGAATCTCAAATTCTTTGAAACGGTGTGAGGTCAAAAAGAGCATTGGACTCTTGTGAGCGACATGAAGGGCCGCATCGCGCCGGTTCTGCGTGAAAGGCTGCCCTGGCGGTGTCACAACTGGAACTGCGATACACAGACACCAAACCCAGTTGTCCTGACCGTTTGACGATTTCCTTTCGAAGTCTGAGAGGTCGTCAGGCGCCGAAAAGAGAACTTTGTCCAGTTCCCCGACTCCCCGATCATCCCCAGTGCTACATGTGCCGAGTGCCACCCTGTTTTTTGAGGGAGGACGAAAAGCCAGGAGGCGACATCACTTTCCGACTCCGATTTCCTGTATTCCAAAAACCAGGGCTCTAGTGCATTCTCAATCACGTAAAAAAGCATGCTTTACGAATTCCGTTATTAAACAATAGAAATACCGCTTACAAAGCTTCTAAATTTCGTAATCAATTACGTCACAAATAAAAAGGAGCAAGAAAATGAGAAGAGAGAGAAAAGCACCAAAAAAAAAAATGGCGTGCGCGCTTTTGTGGAGGAATATTTTTTTGCATTGTGGTACTTTTTGCGTTTCTTTGACTACAACTCGCATCGGTTTAGACAAGAAAAAACAAAAGAGACCTTCGGCGCGTCAGAGCACTCTCAGTGACTATAGTTAAATCTAGTCGAATAAATTTCTGGCTGGAAGTATAAACGGCAATTACAATTAATTAGAGTTTCTTTTATTTTTTTTTAAATTATAAATAGCTGCATACTGTTATTTATGCAAACTTCAGCTTGGTTCAGAATTATAACGTGCAATAGAGTAGTTCTGTGGAAGGTGCTGGTGTGGGAATCATTTGACAATAGTTGCAGTGTTCTTTAATCCTTCTTGTTGACAGGAGAGCTAAGTCCAAACTCGTATTTGATTAATTAAGCAGTGTCATTCGTACGTGGCCCTGATCTTAGACCTTAAACGAGTCAGATATTTGTTTTTTTATGGCTGACACACTTAACGGCGTAAGCGATTTCGAAGCATAGCAGGTTTCGTACGACGGGAAAATGATCTGTAATATGGGCTTTTTGTTTGATTTGTGCTCTGACTTAAGTGGTGCAGTAATTTTATCATCACGCGTCGGATATGTAGGACACAAAGTGGCTCCTTTCAAACGCCACCAATAGATGATAAAAACAAAAAAAAAAAAAAAACAAAAAAAAAACAGGACTATAGCCTTGTGTTTTAAGGCGCTGGTCGAGCAGTTCTGCGTGGACTCGCGGGGCCTAAGTTACACACAGGGCAAACCAATAAAGGCTCGATGCCGAAGAGGGAAAGTCATACTGTGCTGCCAAGCTACTGTTGCCGCGCCGAGTTTGTTCTACGACTCCTACGAGTACGAGGGGCAACGCCATAATATCGGACGACGATCCAGATTTCACAGTGTTCATTGAAACAGGCTTCTCCGGCCTCGCGCTGTGGCTGCAGTGTGCTTACACTAAAGCCCAGCAGGCGGCGCGGGACCGGAGTCAAAGAGGTCGCATACTTTCATCGAAGGATAAGAGTATGCATCCTTCATCTATCGAGTCTAAGAGCCACTTTCTTCCCCTGCTCGAGCGGAGACGGGCAAGTTCCCTCACGCCGACCGGTTTCCCGGGGTAGGAAGAAATGACCACGTCAGAGGGTCAGAAGGGGCATCCGCGTCGGAACCCTCGCGTGCAACAACGCAAAGCGTCTGCAGTGGCGGTTTTGTCGAAGTTGGGGAGCAAGGATTTCCAGAAACTACAGCGGGAGGTTGCGGACGACTTCTTTGCAGTGCCGACTCGCCGGTGCTCTGGATCCGCATTGACCCCGACATGCTGGTGCTGCGCCAGGTGGTGTTTGAGCAGCCCGACTACCAGTGGCAGTACCAGCTGCGGTACGAGCGGGACGTCACCTCTCAGATCGAGGTCAGCGCGTTGCCGTCACCGCACCGGCCGAGTCTTTGGGCCTCTGATGCGAGGACTTGCTGGTTCACTTTTAGAACCAGGGAGCAAATTCGCTGTGTTCTCCTTGTCTGTGTCTTTCTTGCCTCTATTTTTTTTTTTTCGCATTGCTAAAATTTATTGATCTGGATGTTCGCCTACCTGAGTGAATGTTGGCAGCCATAGACCATGCTACAAATTTTGTTTTGCAGTTAATTCTATGGCTATTATTGCATACATAGAGAGATGAGGGTTCACGTTCACAGAAGGGGCTTACACTATGTCGGGACTAACGGTAATAACCACGAGCAGTTTGCTTGGTACATTCTCAATGCAGTATGCAATGCAGTCTGAGGGTTTTACCCAGAAACGAAAGGAAAAAACAATATATAGCGATACCTCGGGCATAGGATCCCTCCATATTTAGCAGATTTTGTTGTCTCTCGAACTTTGTTGGGCATTTTAAAGAAAACATTTAGATGGAAATACATTGTGACATTTTACTTTTGAACATCCATTGTGATACTAATGACAGCTGCATTGTTCTCTCAGAAACAAAAGTCAAGGGCTGTCCCTTTTTTATACAGTGTAGCTTGTGAGATGTTAGGACTGCTGACTGGGCGAGCTGGTGGTCCATGTTCTTTAATGTTACGGTGCACCAAAAGAAAAACACTCACAGACACAGGCACACTAAAAAATAACAGTCACTCAGCGCTGACGCACAACTCTTCGTTTATATTGAGTATCTTCTCCTACTTAGAATGAACAACTCTTCTTCTTTGCACTAAAAGCAAGATGCCAGTCCAAAAGTTTAAAAATTATAAAATTTCTTTCCATGTAAAATAAAAACTAAAATAAAAGTTGAAAATTGAAAAATGAAAATGAAAAATACTGAACAATTCTCACTGTTGCTGCCTGAAGGACCCTTTGGCCAGATACTCAAGTTCCCGTTTGGAAAGAGTTATAGAGGGGCTGCTGACACACCTGTCATTCCGTCTTTCAACGCTTGCTGTTTCTATAATTTCCCTGGTGAGTTGGTTGGGACTTTTGCCTAGCACAGTACAACTATCTAAAAGCTCTGCAGTCCTTGCAGTGGATTCCTAAATGTCCTGAGTTGGCATCAACATGTTGTTGCCATGCTCTTCAGTGCATGGCAACAACAATATTGTTGCCATACACACTAAGTCTGTCACTGTTTTTCTTTTGGTCCTCTGTTATGCCAAATATTGTGAGAGGTAGAGGGGAAGGTTCAATCCCCATTCCTTCCGATTTTGATGATGACAAACATTGTACCAGCTTGCATTTGTGCCATTCCTACTGTGTAGTGCTTGAGGCCCCAGGTTGGCAGCTGTACTGCCAACCTGGCATACCAAACTGTCTCTTTAGGACAGACACACAACCTGGCATATTTTAGGGGCTGAATTGTGTCTGTGCTACCAAGTTGACCTCTTTTTATTTTACCAGAAGTGGTAAGTCACATTCCGCAGTGACAAAAATTTATACCTTCGCACATTTCTAGGACACTCGAAAAACATTCCTGGTTCCTAGCAAAGACGTTTTATACAGGTGGATTTTGTGAAACTGTGTAAGAAAGAACTTTGTGGGAGCAGCACCGGAGCCCCATCGACTGCCTTTTACGTTGCTGCAGGCAATCGAAGCCCTAGAGAAATTCCCGACACCTCAAACACGCCTGTCTCTAACGGACACCATCGAGAACGAACACTGTTTCTACCGGGTGCGGTGTGCGGCTGCGTTCTGCTTACGCAAGGTTTGTTGGGTGCCTTTCTTTTTTCAGTTTCCCAATCACCCTTGACAGTTTACAAAATATATCTGTCAATGCCTCATCAGGGGGAACTCTTTTGCGAAACGAGAGCAGATCCATGCAATCTACGATCGAGAGGCGATTGATACAAAGATTGCAGGAAGAGTTAGATTGTGCGATCAGTATAGAGCAAAATGTATTTGAATTATGGATTGGCTGCAAGACACTAAAGTCCAGTTCACGTCTCAACACTGAGGCAGCACAAAGTCAGTGCTGCATCCATGCGCTACCATCACCGCTGCATCAATGCTACCATTAGTGCTGACTCGGCAGTTAGCGCTACATTATTTATGCTAGCAGGAAGAGGCAGAGTCAAATGTATTGGTATAGAGCAGGGGTGGCCAAGCTGCGGCTCGCGAGCCGCATGCGGCTCTTCGCGTGTTAAAGTGCAACTCGCGGCTCCCTCCCCCCCCCCCCCCCCCCCCCCCCGCACTTCCCCGCCTCCATCCCGGTCACACGAGCACTTCCCCAGAAAGAGAAATGAAATTCGTTTTAAAGCGAAAGTCGGGTTGCGGTTTGGTAGTTTTGAGCTACTGCTACCTAACTTACGGTTGAGACTGCTTTTGACTCAGATGGATTAAAAGAGGCTCTAGTTTCGTTCATTGTCCCCGACAAAAATATGCTCCCCCCCCCTCGCGGCTCTTGAAAGTTTCGTCGTTTTATTTGCGGCTCTTGGGTCGGGTCAGCCTGGCCACCCCTGGTATAGCGCATAATCGGGGCCGAGTCCACAACAGTGAATTCGTACTGGGCTGCATGTGAGAAGAGGCCTTATTGAGCATAGTCATTTGAATTAGTAGATGAAGTGGGACATTTTCAGATTAGTTCGTTAGCTTGCTCCCTTTTCTCGCTGTGTTGTCGTTGCCTTGAGTGGTTCTGCCGTGGCTGTGTGCGCAGGTGGCAAACCACATGGTGTCGACGTGGGCGGGACCGCCGGCCATGATGACCATCTTCAAGAAGATGTTTGGCTCCCATTCCTGCCCCAACATCATCCGGCAGAACAACTTCTCCAACTTCCAGCACTACTTCCTGCAAAAAGTGAGCCTCACCACAATGCCTCGCACACATGCGGCAAAGCTACTGCCCATTTTGCGGGCTCTACGTTTTAAGAGCTCGAGCCAAAGGGACCTTGAAACATGTCGGCTTGCAGTAGAAAACTGAGTGCTCCTTCTCTGCCCACTGTAAGATTTCTTTGTAATGTCATTGAAAATTTTCTGTACATTCTTTTTTTTTTATATGTTTTTAGCTTGAGGTTCTAGATTTTCACCTGAGAGTTTTTGTTCCATCTTCAGCAAGCCATACATAATGGATTATCTGTCACTACAAGATAATCCTGCATTTGTCGGTTTGGAAAGAGCAGCTTTGCCATACTTTATGGATGTGGAGGGTTTATTTCTAGTGCTAGCTCTAGCCAAAATGAAAAGAGGAAAAAAAGGGGTTTTGAGTTCTCTTTAATTTCTTCACTTGTAAGGGGTGACTTCATTTGTGCTTTACCGCTTTTGGGTTTCGGATATGGTGCTTGAAAGCTTGGTGGTATTTGATGTTTGTTGTTGCGTGCTTGCGTTATCAATACAATGTTTATTTTTTGTCTCTTTTTCTCCGAAGGCCATCCCTGTTGCCATGGCGGGGCTGAGAACAATCCATGGCATCTGTCCGCCAGAGGTCATGAAGTTCCTCTTTGACCTCTTCAAGTACAATGAGAACAGCAAGAACAAGGTGGTTACCCAGCTTCCCCTTTCTCATCATTGTTTCAGTGAACACCCCTCAGCTGAGTCCAGTTAAAATGTGAACATAATCAAAGCTAGTCAGAAGCACTTGAAAAAGAGGGTGACTGAACGATTACTTACAGCCAGGACGGGAGCCTGATTACTTGTTACAGGGTGCCATGTTCATTGCGTGTGCTCTGATGTTTGTGTTTGTACTTTCTCAGATCTTGTTTCCAATGATATTTGATTTTTATGCGGGCACTGGGTTCTCCTTACAGTGGGCGGCAGTGGTCTTGCCTCCCACTAGTCTGGTTGAATGTCGATTTCTACTATGCCCAACCCACCTCTATATTTTGCCTCCGCTGGGCAAAACAATGTTGATCTTGAAATTGCATGTCGCCCCAGATTGTTGTGTTTGGCAGACTTGCGTGTCTCTATGCAACAGGACTGCATAACCCCTGCAAACAAAATGACTGCTGTGGGGCAGAGAAAGTTCCGAGAACACCAGAGCTTGCAGCAAGAGACCATTTGCTAACTCCCCCAAGTGCCCCGGCCTGAACTCAAGGAATCATGGGAATGGTGTTCCTTCAGTTCCTTAGTGATCGGTAATTTCGACTAATTCGATGCTTACACACTTTTGAGTGTAATCTGAAGTTATCCTGAATAGGCGTCATGTAGACTGCTGAGACCTGTCATGCCACTTCTAAAATTTCTCGTCAATGTCAGCATTTTTCATACTGTGCCTTCAATTCACCCTTCAACCTGGCTGAGCTGCAGAAATCTCTTACGATATAATCATTCTTGTGATTGTTGTTTTAGCAGGAAATTGCTTAAAAAGCCGAAAATTCACAACAACCTAAATCAGGATTTAGCTCGGAGTCGGCGGGGTTCTTTATAGCATTTTTAGCATTTCTAAGTTAATATCAGTGTTTTTAAAGCTGTATGAAAATAACAATATTGTTAGAGATTACTGCGGCTGAGCCAGCACAGTGTGAAAAATGCTAATGTTGGAACAGAACAGTTTGAAAAACGGAAAACGATCACTAGGGAACTGAAGGAACACCATTGCCATGATTCCTCGAGTGTGGGCCGAGGCGCTTGGGGGATTTAGCAAATGGTTTACTGCCCTCTCCTCCTCCACCCTCCTGGGAAATTGTCAGCTGTCCAGATCTCAAGAATTTCTGGGGAGAACCCTGTGTGGGCATTATCCAACACTTGTGCTCTTCTTAAATAGGTACTTTGTGCAGGAACACTGAAGCGGACATTGCCAAACAAGTTATGCTTCTTATTCAGTTTTCAGACAACTACTACAGGACGGCCCTGATCGAAGCCCTCGGGGAAACGGTGACCCCCGTTGTGTCTGTGTTAGCGCATAACGGGTGAGAACATCTGTCTACATGAAAAATTATTCTCGGTTGATGGAAGATGTAAATGCCAGAATTTGGTAGTTCAACCTGTCTTGGAAACGGCTCCTTGAGCACTTGGAATACTAACCTAATTACAAATCTCCCTGAACAAATCACTTTCGGATGCGAACGAAAAAACCACCTATGAATTGATGTTTGAAAATTTCTGTTTGTCATTTGTCTCTGTGGCTGCAATTAGTTAAGCTTGTAATTTAAGTAATCCTTGTGTTGCTGAGTTATGACTGCAACATCTGCATCACAGATCATAAACATAAATCTGGTTAACTAAGCGAAGGACTGTTTCCGAGGACGCAAAACAGAATTCCCGTATAGTAAGTATTTTAAAGAGAGAGAAAGTTGGATATTGCATAGCTGAAATTTGTGTATACAGTAATCCCTCGTTATAACGGAATCGCTTTTTTCGAATTATCGCTTCTATTGAAGTTCAACGTGGTCCCGACCGACATGCACACATTTTTAACCGGATTATTCTAAGTGCTTCGGCGGCCAACCACTCTTATTACGATGTCCAAGGCGTTGAAAGCGCGCAAGCCTACACGGAGGTGCTCACAGACCTTTGCGCTTCCTCCCACTTCTCCACCGAGGCAAACAGCAAACTGGGAAAACAGAGTAAATGGGTGACAGAGGGCAGAACGCGCAGAACTGGCGGAGTGCCGCTTCCAATGCTGATGTGTCGACGCGGGGACGTGGGCAGGGAGCAGCGGAAGCAGTGTCAACGTTCCGGCGCTACTCACAGCGCCCGCAGCCAACGCTGCCCAGCTTCTGTCGAAATCCGAGCCTGAAGCCCAAAGGAGATCATCCCTTTGTGTGCCCCCGATACGCGCGCCTGCGGCATGCTAGACACACACGTGCATCGTATTGGAGATTAGGAGCGTTTACCGAAAGTCGCTTAGATCTGTGAGGTTCAGAAAAGCGGCCAGCCCAAGTCCAAAATCGCCAAAGAATTTTGCATTCCAGCATCAGCTGTTCAACACTGCCCATCATTTTGCGGAACAAGCGGGGATATTGGACGGGCTCGAGAAGTTTCTCATGCAGGAGAAAGCGTACCCATGACCCGAAGATAAAAGATAGCCAACTGCTTCGCGCACGTCGTATTTTCTTTCGCGAGCATGTTTGCCGAGCCGGTGCACGATTTCCATAGCTGCAACAAAAAATTGGGTTGTGTGTGTGTTTATACACCCTAGAACTTGGTCTGCCTCACAGTGGCGACGAGTCTCCCAGCTGTAGATGAGAAATTTAGCCAGTGCGGTACAGCCGCTAGCCTGGGGTCTTTAACGTGCATCACGCAGTAGTGATACACGACCGCACGCCGGTACGATGCTCATCCAGATCGAAACGGGCAGGGGTCAGGCTCGAACCCAGGATCCCTGGGTTCTGCAGCTAGCTGCAACAGTCTCTACAGGAGTGTGTGAAACATGTTTGCGAAGCCACCGAGGATAACCTTGATTCGTTCGTGCTCGTCGATGCAGACGTTCTTGTTCCTCCTACCATGAATGCTGCAATCGTAGACCTTGCATGTGGCCAGGGTAAACACGAAATGACACCGGAGGGGCACCTCGGGAAATGCTGACGACTGCAGAGATGCGAAACATCGTACAGCTGCTTTGAGACAAGGTGGAGTGCAGTGTGTGGGGATTCCTGTGATCTCCCTTCCCTGATGGCTGCGATAACGGACGCGGGTCGGAACGCTCGGCCTCCTTCGCCGTGAGCTCTGACCTGTTCGTGAGGCGGAGGGCCGCCTGGCTTGGGGGGCTCTCCTCTCACTCTCTCTCTCGGGGGGACCGATTTCCGTTCCCCCGCTCGGATGCGGATCACTGCCGACAGGCGAGGAGGTTTCGCCTCTTGTTTTCCCGCTTTCGGGAAAGGGACTCGTCCGGGTGACCGCGAAAGAGATAGGACGTGTGTCGGCGACTTCTCCGACGCTTCCCCGGTCTTGGCTCTCCGGAACCCCGCGTCTGGCCAGGTAAGGACCTTTCCTTACCTTGCCGGCGCAGGGGGGCATTTTGGATGGGGACATTGTAGTTCATTTTAAGAGTGTTCTAATAAATGCTCTTGTACTCTGTCCTTACTCTGGTACTTGTGTCTTCTCTTCCGCTATATTCGGGAGAGTGAGACAAGGTAGACGATCCTTGGCACCGACGGAGGTAATTAATCGAACCGACCCGCGGTAATGCAGCCCTAAACGTCCGTCTATATTACCGCGGAGATGTGGGGACCGCGCGCTACTAGGTTTGACGTCTCCTTTGAGATATCGCCGCTGTTGAGACAACCCTTTGGTTATTCTATCGGTACCTGTGTTAGTTGGTAGCTAGCAAAATCCCACAAGTGGCAGTGACAAAATTTTTGCAATGCCCGGAGCAGTTTGAGGAGAAATGATGCCCAGATAAAATTATTGGCAAACTCCTCTTAATTATTTTTTTTTACTTGGTAAAGCTTCCACGAGATGTTCATAACCAAGGTTTGTTTGATTAAATATGCACTTAGAGTGTTCCGCAGTGTTCCCGTCCACTTTCAAGGCTGCTGGCACAGTTTTTTTGGCTGTGTCGCTTTTATCAAATTCCCACTTATACTATTGAACATTTTTTGCCGTCCCGTTCCCTTCGTTATAATGAGGGATTACTGTATTTTGTTTAGAATAAGCACAAATGGGGCTTGTGGCAGTCGGAATATTCCCAAGAGAGTGGCATATTTCAAATGCAGACACTGACGTATAGGTAGCCTTCACTACGTCTGGTTCGATATTTTATGGTTTTGAGACACCTTCTTCAAAAATGGCACACTATACCTGTTGGAAATAAAAACTGATATTGTGCGTGGGAATTAAAGCACTGTGCGTATGCACGTTTGTCCTTTGTTGCTTACTCTACAATATCTTTTTGTACAGTCTGGGAGGCATTAAGACAGTCATTGTGATTACTAGGTGGAGTGTTGGGAACATTTTGTTTTTTGTAATGTTTGCATAATGTTGCCAGTTGTTGTACCACTCTTTGTTTTCGACACTCGTAAATTGGGCAGTGCTATGGTACCATATTATTATTATTTATTATTTGCATATAGTCTCGTCTTCTGGCAGATGCCCGGTAGAGTCTTGACAAGCATGTTATCTGGGGTACTGTCGCGTCTGATCTCAAAAGTAACAGACAGGCCAACGGCGGCCTGCTGCCTTTCATGCGGCCACGACGGCGGCTAAAGCTCTGGGAGTGTGATCCAGACGGGTATTTTTTTTTGTCTCGTACACGATCGCCGGAGCAGGCAGCCAATCACTGCAGAGTCCCTCTCGGCAGACACCAAGCTCATCCTGGAGGAGATCACGCGCTGCCTCAACCTGGAGAAGTTGCTGCCCTGCTATAAGTTCACCATCACCGTCGGGTGAGCGGAACACGGACCCACTTCTTAGTTTGGGTGCATGGCCACTTGCTCGTGAAAAACGCCAAGAGTCTCGTAAAGACAGGTTCAGACATTTGCGTTTGACTGTGACCGACCGCGTTACAGCAACTTGCCACCCCTTACGACGAGAGAACTCTAGAAAAGACGCTGGCACACAAACGCCATGTACAGTAGGCTCGCGATAATTCAAACTCGGATATTTGGTACCTCTGGTTAATTCAAACATTTGAATATTTTGGTTGGCCCGCTATGCTTTTAATGCATCTATAAGCCGCTTAATTTGAACGGCGTTTTCGCTTAATTCATACTTTTTGTTCTGGCGACCCCGTTTAGCGCGCTTCTTTCCGAGCATTGGTGCGCTGCAGAGAAGCAACGCAACACCTGCGGAGCGTGCTTCCGCGGGTGTTGCTTCTCCGCGGTGCACCGGTGCTCGGTGAGAAGCGCACTCAACGGGGTTCAGGCGGGCATACACGAGCTCTGAAAACGGGCACCGCGCAAACATTCCATAGTAACTTACGCGGACGCTGTGACGAGGCGGCATGGTGGGCCACATCACAGCGTCCGCTCAAGTTACTATGAAAACTGCCGAGCGGTATCAGCTTTCATTGCTCATGTGTTCACTGCTTAATAGTCCACATTAGACAACCTCTTGGCCTGATGAACAAAGTTAAGTTTGTTTTGAGTTGTGATCTGCTGTCTAAGCAGTCCACGATAAACAACATTTTTAAGGGATAAATAAACATGTCATACATTTCACAAATGTTTTATTTATGCCATACCTGCTTATGTTCAGTAGGCCTAAGAGAGGAAATCACTAAATATCCACTTTGTATGTGTCATTCTTATGACATATCATAATTTTATCTTGAATCATATTTTGATGAATTTCTGATAATTCCACGTTGCGATAATTACAACAAAATTCTTGCCTTTTTGGAGTTTGAAATAATGAATCTACTGTATTCCCGTATCGTCGCAATACCCGACGTACACTAAATGCGTTTTACGGACTGTAGTCCACACCCGGTGTTCTGGACGTCCACAAAGACAAAGTTCAGTTTTTTTCACCAATGTGTTATGCCTGTACTTGCTTGTAATTAGGCCTATGTAGAGGAAACTGGGAAAAATCTGCTTTGTATGCGTAACTATCCATGTAACAAATCATAGTGTTTGGTAAGCAAGCGTGCGAAGTATCCTTTGGTCACAACACCATCTTCGTGGCGGAGTTAACCGCTCGGGCATCCGGCCCGGATACTTTACCTTGGCCCCGCCCCTAAGATCGTCGTCCCACGGTTCCCAGATGCTTGAAGGCGATCCGCAAGCTCCAGAAGATGGGCCACCTGCCCAACATCTCCGCCCTGTTCCGAGAGTACGCCCAGTACGGACTCTTCCTGGACGTGCGCCTGGCCGCCCTCGAGGCGCTTGTGGACTACACAACGGGTGAGCTTGTACCGACGGTCCGCACCGCCCACCTTGGACTCGTCTGAAAGTGTGCGGTACCTGGAACGTCTCTCTGACCGGCGCATTTACCGTGCCGTTTACGGTTTACAAATTTCGTATCGACGACTTCGTAGAAGTGCTTTGTCGCCCAACGCGATCTCTGCAGTGTTGCAGCAGTGATGGTGTACAAGGCAGACGCCCGTTGCACTGCAGGTCGTTCTCCAGCTTGACAGTTCGCGGAAGCCTTGGCTATAAGGAGTTGGCACTCTGCGACGACGGTGACACTGGCATTTGCCCGTTTTTTAAAAGCAGTTCCCTTTCTTGGGGTGTTCGGTCCACTTTGAGGTGTGTTTCTGGCCGTTTATTTTCCCGCTTTATTTAGCGGGGGAATGGGACGTTGCGTGAGTCGACGTCACATGACCTATGCACAAATTCAGCTTCGTCACTAGACTTAGCGGATGAATTGACTTCATGTGAGCTCAACACCAATTCAGTTTCTTCGCAAAGTTTAGCAAGAGAAATGACGTCGCGTGACTTCGTGTCACGTGACCCATACACAAACGTGACATATATCATGTGATCATGTCATGTGACCTGTACGTCTATACATGTGATTTCAACACAAATCCACTTTCCCCGCCAAATTTAGCGGGGAAAGTGACATCGCATGGGGCCTCGATGTCACATGACCTACACGCAAATTCAGTTTACTCGCTAAATTTAGCGGGAAAATTGACACGTGACCCGCCGCGGCTTTTCCAATCATGTTTGCGGCTAATGGCATAATTAGACGATAACATAGTAGTTGGTTCTGGCCTAATGTTTTGCTGTAACTTGTACAACCAACCGCCTGGATTGTGGCATCCGACAGGATGACGTGCCGTCTCCCTTGATGTAATTTGTGGCCACTTTGGAAGCACTTTCGATGCATGGGCAGAATAGGATGTCGAATGCGCCAGTTGAAGGCACGCTTTAAGCACCTTGCCAAAGCCGATTGTGGAAGCCGAGCAGCTTGCGTACTAGAGGCATTATGCTAGAATTTATTTTATATAATGCAGAATTTTGTTTTAACAGAGGCTAACTCAGATTTCGTGTTCGTCCACGGTGCGTGTGGCACAAGGGTAGAGGGCAGCAGAGTTGCCCACCTGCCAAACTCTCGTGCTGCCAACCACCTGCGCTTGTCGACACATTTCGAGTTGCCCCACGCAACGCTTCCTCGCCTAAATTCTTGCGTTCTGCGCGTCGTTGCAAGAAAAAAGGTAGGAGAGGACGACGAGGTGAAGGTTCTTGAAGCATGCGGCGTTGGAAGCTTCGAAGACAGGTGTCGACGTCAACTTCGGCTGCGTTTCTTGTAAAGCGAAATTCTGCGTACGACGGCTCGATCGATAGATTGAAATATGTCTGCATATTTTGTGGGGGAGGGTTGTTTGTCCCCATCTATGGAAACAAAAGACACGTTTGTACCGCACCACCTAGAATAATCTAAGCCTGCAAACAGTTTCCCTCTATGGCCCGCAAGTTCACCTGCTCCTTGCCCACCTTGTGCGTTTGTTTACTCCCCAAACGTGCCCACATGTACCTGTTTCTCTCCGACCTCGACCGACGAAGACGCGCACTTGGCTGCCTCGTCATCACGCATTCCCTGTGCGTTCTCTATGTTAATCTTCGACTAGTGTGCTCTTCCTTGCATTCCAATGTGCCAAAGATGGCGTTTTGGAACACTCGCTCGCCGTATACTTTCATGAAACGTCATCGCAGTAAGGCGGCACCAACTCAGCAATGCGGAGAGCAAGTCGTCGTCTTCTTGCGCAGGAGTTCCGGTGACACCAGAACGTTAAGCTCTGATTGGTTTTGATTGAAAAGATAGTGGATTGACCTCAATACCAGATTCCTTCAGGTCTACCCACTATTTTTTTTCAATCAGCTAATAAGAGCTTGGCGTTCTGACATCATCGCAATCGCTGTGCAAGAAGCAGACGAACCTGCTCTCCGCATTTGGTCCGAGGGTGGCACCTAGTCTCCTTTGACGCACTGGTTGAGCATGAGGCCCAGTCAAACAGCAAAATTTCAGTGCATTGGCTTTGATTGTTCTAGGTAGCGTTTGTTCGTAACGGGAACTTTCCTTCTGCACGCCATTCACAAATTACCCGTGCATGTCGGATTGGCGAAGGTGTTGTTTTTAGCCGACGGAGAAACATGGTCCGAAATTTGAGCCACCTTCATTGTTGCAGTGGACGGAAATGCGGATGACCTCAGCTTCCTGCTGGACATTGTGGAAAACGACCCGGTCCCTCGAGTCAGGTGACTTGGCTCGGATCTTTTCTTTGCTTCACGTCGCACGCCCTTTGCTTCTTCTAAGCCTGGTGTTTCGTCGTCTTCATCGTGCAGGTTGGCCCTGCTGCGGATGTTGACCCAGAATCCGCCGTTCAGCCGCCGGGACGACAGTCCGTTCAACACGGAGGAGCTTGCGGAGCGACTCTGGAAGCTGATGAAGTCAGTCATGTTCCCTATGCTACCATTTGCTTTAGTGCTGTTCAGAAAAGTCATATTCAATGGCGGTTGCAGAACAGTTTTGTTTCCTCAAGAATGCTGACTTTTGGGACTTGATGAGATGTAACGTGGAGTGGACTCCGAACCTGTGTTTCTTTCGAATGCTACTGCAGATAGCCCAGGACATCAAATCTATTTTTTAACAGACTATCCTGTTACGTAAACTCTGTCTTTTTTTTTATGTGAGTCGACTAACTCTGTTAAAAATTTGCTATACCATATTTTCTGGACTGTATTTCACAGCAAGAGCAAATTATGACTGAAACAATAGTTCACACATAATATTCTTGTACACCGCACATCTTGAGAATGCCTGTTTTATTAAATGCTCAACGAAGCTTGTATCATAAAGAAATCATCACTGAACATACCACGACGTTTTGTCATAACGAGCCGTTTAGAAAAACAAATTCTTACATGTATTCCGCACCACTCAAAATTTGAACTTTTTAGCGTGTATACATAGTCCGTAGCCTACAGTCGGGAAAGTACGGTAGTTTCCTTTCATAAATGTTTTCCACCACTCCAGCTCTTTTTAAGGTGGGCCCTCTTGCGAGTGGATTCTCCGTATCCAAAAATGCTCGGCGTATGCATGGAAGGATTGACCAGGGGTTAGAACGACAAGAGAAAGTTGGAAACACGGCAACTCGCACATTTACTCTCCTCGTTCGTTGTGGACGTCGCCGTTGGGGTCTTTGTGACGGTCGGATCTTGTCACTGAACTGTTCGACGTACCGCCACATTGCAGCTCGGGGCTTTCGCACGACTCTCGTCTGAGGTGTGCCGTGGTGGACCTGTTCTTCGTGCTCTATGGACGAAGCCGGCCATCCTGTCTGCCGGCTCCCGACCCAAGCCGTTCCTCGGTTAGTCGCTTCGGACCACTTGCATTTGTTTTCTGTTTGTGCCTGTTACAAAAGTCAGCCTCGTCACATCTATCAATTATGCTTTAAATTAAGATCTCCGAGCATTACGACTTGGCAGTGTACCGCTTTCAACCGATGACTTCCCATCGGAGCCCCGTAAACTTGGGCCCGAGCCGCCAGAAAGGTACACCGCGTCCCGTTGCTTTTTTAACACTCTGTAATTCATAGCCTCGGTTAGTCCCTGCGACGAGCGGTTTTTGTTGTGACTATCAGAGAGGCTTCTGCTCTTGAAGCCTCTGAAGCTTTAGACAAAGGTTGCTTTTTGTTTGTTGTTCTCTTTACTGCAGACACAAGCAGCTCTTGACCTTGGTGGTGTACACGTCACTAAAAAACAAAAAAGCAGAACACTAAAAATTAAGCAAAAGTGGGACGGTCCAAAGACACGTGCCAACGAGCATCTTTTAAATGTTACAAGAAAACAGGATACAGTTGAACCCAGATACGTTGAATTCAAAGGGGATCGTGAAAGAGTTCGATATATCGATAATTTGATATACACAAGTATGGTCGTAAGCTCAAGTTGAAATTTCCTAGCGTCTGCTAATACCGAAGGTCGGGACAAACGGGAGCTTACCAAATAGGGCATCCAAGAGCCGCTAAATGCAGTAAAACGTAGTTGGCGGAGACTGCAAACAGTGCTGCGTATAAGTGCGCGCCTGACAAAGCGCGGACATATTCTTTAAAAAAAATGTAATAAAAAAAATGCGAGACGCATTAAGAAAAAAATTTTATCCTAGAAGAAGGTTAAGCGAGCAACAAAAAGAAAGCTCACTAAAGGCAGGCAGCAAAAACAAAGGCAAAACAAAGCTGGCAAAGCAATGACGGCAAAAGGAAAAGGTAAACAAATATAAACAAGGCGTTCAAAGTGATTGCACAACCGTCGTTGTCGACACACTGGACTTGCCGAAGACTTTTTTTTTGTTTATTTCATTTTGGGGCTAAGAAGTCGCACAGCGACAGCAGTGTTCGGAAAAAAAAACGCACGCTACCTTTCCAACAGTGGACACTCCCAGCACTACCTGCCCCCCCCCCCTAAGCACACGCGCATGCCTTTACCCTTGCTCTTACCATCCTCCACATTTTTTTACGGGGTCCCTCGTCTCTCCTCTTTCCCACAACTGCTCTTTTGCTGCATATCCCCGTGCGTGTATGCTGGCTTGGCGTTCTGCCAGCCACGCAACACGAGCTGTGTGCTATGGGGTTGCCACCGGTGCGATCAGGGCGTAATTGGATTGCAGGAAAAGCAACGAGCGGCCGTGTTTGCTATATTGAGTGTCCCCACCTTTGATACAAGAAAGACGACGCTCCTATACTGTTACATTGGATTTTTAAGGGCATGTTTGGACTGTTCGATACAAACAATAATTGGAAATACCCGAGTGTGATATAACCGAGCTCGACTGCAAGTCGTTAAATTGAAGATAAAGAAAGGAGGAATCGGAGACTGATTTTATCCCTACAGCTTCCATGTACTTCTGTTAACAGTTCCTCTGTGCAGCCAGTTTTTAAAGGTGGAAATGACATACACAACGGCGGCTCATTTTCTTTGGTGGTACAATAAAGTTTCCCTGCCCGCTGTTGTTGTCAGGGGGAAGGGGGGGGGGGGGGGGGGGGAGGAACATTGCAGAGTTTATGAGGTGAGTTCCGTTCGAGTGACTGCGACCTCGACTTTTCAGATTGTGCCGCCGTCCATGGTTGGCAGCATCTTACTCAATTGAACCATAAGCTGCCTTCCACTAATGTTTTTAGTTACCCATGGTTTGACTAATAATGGTATTGCTTTGCATGTAGGAAGCTTCTTTGCACAACATGAGAAAAGACATGTAGAGAAGAAGTTATTTTTTCCCACGCGACCCTCGGCTGCTGGTGTGTCCTTCGATTTCCTCTAGTTCGCTGACCCTGGGCTTGGACTGCCTGCCGACGGTAGCCATTGTAAAATGAAGACGGCTTTCTTGGCTTTTGGTTTGCTCGGACATCTTGTCAAAAGAGGCTAAGCAGTTAGCTTTGTGTCTGTCCTAAACAGCAGCATGATGTCTTCAGAGGTCGATATATATGACTATTTTTAAGGCACTTTCGCTTCTTCGAGGTAATTTGCTCGACCCATAAAAGTTGTACAAAGAGACGCAGAGATTTTGGAGATTTTCCCGAGTTGCAGTTCTAGGTCTTGTGTTTTGCGATCTCCTCGTGCTGGGATAAGGTGCAACGTGGGGAAACTTTCTTTCATTCTTTTTAGCTGTCGATGGTGCTGTGCCTGAAGGACCGGAAAGCCAAGTTTCAGGTGCCCACCATCGTTCCCAAGGAGGACTTCTTCACAGTGAGTGTCACGTCTCTTCATCATATGTGGCGACAAAGGGTGCGCTGCATGCCGAGGCACTGCGGAACACACAACTCCGCAAAAACGTCTGCTGCACCCGCCCCCGGCTGCGACAGTCTGATCCCGCGTCGTACCTACCCCGATTTTCTTACTGAATCAGAGTTCACTGGGTAGGCAAAAGTGTGTAGCAGAGAACTGTTTCTGCATGCGATCTATCAATCGCCTATTCACGTTTATTTTCTTTTCCCTGTCAATATGTTGGTAGGTATTTTTTTATGATGTGTCTAGCTTTGGTGGTGCACGTAGCCCGCAAACAGGAGCCTTCATTGTGCGTGTACAGTCAAACCCGTTTATAACGAACAGCAGGAAACGCTACGATCAGTTCGATATAGCAAGTAGTTCGATATAGCAAAAACCACTGATAACGAACTTGCACGTTGTGTTCGTTGTAAGACGAGAGCTTCTCCTCTGTTCACTTCCGCCTTGTAGCAACGCGCTGGAAAGTTTTTTTTTGTGTTTTTTTTTGCATGCATGCAGAGTTTGTTGTTTTAGCTTATCTCCCCTTCTGAATCGCTTCTCTTTGTGGGCAAACGCTTCAAGATAAAAAAGATTTTTTTTTTTTTCTGTGCGTGCATGCAGAGTGTATTTTTTAGCTTTCTCTCCTTCTGAATCGCTTCTCTTCGCTCAATTTTGTTTGCAACTTGAGCTTTTGGAATTCTCTTTCTTTCCTACTTCTTTTTTTGGGGGAAGAGACAGTCTAGAAGAGGATTATTTTCGCATTTTGGAAGCCTTCCCGGGGGGAGAAAGTTTGATATAGCCAATATCTGTTTCGTTATAAAAAGTACTTTTTACATTAATTTTTATTTAAATTTTCCGTGAGTTCGATATCGACAATAATTTGCTGTATGTGGGTTCATTCTAAACGGGTTTCACTGTAGTTTGCCTCGTTGCCGCTGAGTGCCCTCGGCACGCGGACTGTCACCGACTGCATGCGGAGCGTGCGATTGTTGACTTGCGTGCTCCGCACTGCAATGTCAATCGAGGCCACATCCCAGACCTGGACACAAGAGCTCTAATAGCTTGCCCTATAAATGCTAGGTATTTAAAACCGACTTTGAGTTCCGCCGGCAGCCCATGGAATTGTTCGGTCTGAAGAAGCTGAATGCTAGGTACAGGCAAAATGCAACAGAAGGACACTGTACTTGTATGCTGCACGACGCTGTTAACACAAATGTGACATCTCCGCTTTTTTACATTTCACTTCGAAAAGAATTGGGTGGTCATTAAATTTTATTATTTGGTTTCCCAAATAAATTTTGTTTAACACTCTAGTGCAGTGGTTCTGACCCACCGATGTTTCAGGGAACCCCTTTTGAACCGGCGGAAGTGATTGGAGGACCCCATCTATTGGGGGTGGGGTTTATTGAATGATTCCTATGACAAAAGGGTAAATGAAGGAAACTAAATGCATGCAAACCAGCTTTGCAGCCCTGAAATAGAGAATAACCTACCCTACTCACTCAGTGCACATGGTTTCATCTATTTAGCTTTGTAATGCAGCCGGCATCTATACAAACAGTTTTTTAGTGCTCGGCTCGATCGATTGTCTAAGGCTTCAGGGACCCCAAGGGGTCCGCGGGACCCCCGTTTTAGAACCTTTGCTCTAGTAGTTCTTCGTGATAGCCCTTCAATCCTAAAAGAAAAATAGACAAAACCGTTGATTGCTCATTCGCGCCAACAGGGTAGCGCTGCGTGCACGACAATTGCCGGCGCTCAATCACCATAACTTCATCTTGCAGGCGAAGTTGGAGCCGCCGCCGGGCATCGTCTCCGGCGTGGAGCTGTTGGCCGAGGCAGCACTGACGGCGACAGAGCGGCTGGAGCCACAGGTGGCACCGTTTCAGGATGAGGAGCTCGTCAAGGAGGAAGAGAATCAGCTTCCGAGCCTTCCCGCCGAACCGGAGCAGGAGCAGGAACTGGAACTCAAACAGGAGCCGTTCGATTCGGGTAGCGGCGGCGGCATGGCCCCCGAGCCCGAGGCCCCGACGGTGGTGGTGGACGACGAGCCGGAGGCCGACGTCAAGTACTTCGACGCGCCAATGTCCGAGGTGAGCCCACGACGCTGCAGTCGTCGTTATGGCCACTGGCAGGGCGAGAACGACAGGGTGGTCTTTCGGTTGTCTTGCCTACAGCGCAAGAATTCTTCCCTTCGATGGTGCTCTGGCATCTCACAAGCCATTTGGTTTGGCGGCACCATCTACATACATTCGAGCATTTCGACCGAAATGTCAGGTTAAAGGAGGGAAAAGGCACGCGCCGTTCCCATTATGCGGGCAGTTCTGGTGGGCCGTACCATCGGAACTGCCAAAACATGCAAGCTCTTTTTCCTCTCTTCTCTCCTTAGTAGAACAGTCCGTCGTTTTAGAGGTGATGCGACAGAAACTGTTGCAAACTCGGACGACGGACAAACATCGAAACTAGAACCTTCCAATGAGTATTGCACATATTACCGGCGCATTGTTCCCCGATTATCTCGAGGGCACCGCCGTTTCGGCGCCTTGTGCGGAGCAGGTGCGATTGCCGATGGTTGTCATTAGAAAATGCGAGCACCCGAGCTTAGACACGGCGTCGCGAAGGTCGGGCGTCATCGTTCTTCTCTGTCACAGACCGTTTCGGCGTTGCCGGAGGATGGAAAAGCATTTCCTGCGATTTCAGATGAAGCTTTGTATAACTGGAAACCGTGGTTTGAACCATCATCATGGTCAAAGCGTCGTTGCTTTGAAGCGTAGCTTATCTGGCGGCTCCAGTTGAAACCGGAAAGGCGGCAGACGACGAAGTGTGTCACATACCGAAATGCTGATTTCGGGCCGCGAGACGTTTTCCTTCGAACGGTTACACCTCGAACGAACATCGCCACTTCGGCAGATATGTTATGACGAGCATTTCATTCAGAGTTTGGTGTTGGTGCAACAAACAACTTGGGTAGTTCGTTTGAAGGCCGCCGACCGCTCGTCCCAAGACTGAGAGACACAAAAATGTGTGTCCGTCCCCTTTCAGGCATCCTAGCCCGAGTTTGCAGTCCCCCATCGCCTGTTCGAGTAAGGGTGTCTTGGTTTTTAAGTTTCTGCAACTGCCAGCAAAAACGGTGCAGTTCGTTGAGAAGTAGGATTGTGGATGCCGTCATTGTGCACTTTGATGCAGCGTAGGTTACTTTCATTTTGCGAGACGTATGGTGCAGGGCGTTTATGTGGCACGTGCATCTTTTATGTCCTCAAGTAGGCATTTGAAAATATTACGAGCCTTCCTACTTCCTTCTCTGCGTCGTCGTCCCCGATAAACGTAAAAGATCAAGTGAGCGCTCTCGTCTTCGGAAAGACTTGTCTCATTTCAAAGGGCCATCCAGGATGGAGTGACCGTAATATGCTTGGCTTGAGGAGCAGAGTAGCACAATGGTCTTCCCTTTCTGATCCAAGGTCAGCGTTGTTGCGGCAGTCTGCCGACGGTAGCCCTCTTCCTTCTTTCTCTCGGAAGTGTGCGTGCATGTGCTGCATGGTGAGCATAGTCGTCGCCTGCTCATCACTACTATCACTTTACAGCGACAGCAGCAGAAGACTCTGTTTCACGCGCGCGCACTGCCCCACGACGTCAGGCAAAGCATGCGCACTTGGTTCTTGACGGGCGGCAGTGCCTTCTACGGTCGATGGGGGGATGACACCCCACATTCCTCACCGTAGAACCTGGTCTGCACGTACTACAAGATGTAAAGCAACCCGTTGCTCGTAGTGGCATTCATCTCGGTTCAGGATTGGGCGGGGATGTTGACTCGTGCGTGCAGTGTTCCCTATTCCACAGTTTCAGTGACTACAAAGCAGTGTTTTGATGGAGTAAATAAAGGGAACATATGTATAAAAGTGAACGTTACCATGCTCATCACCAGTCATCGTTGTCACTTCTTCGTGGACCGTGGCAGAAAGCCGCATAATTTTTGAGCACGTTAGCCTTTTGGCGGCAAAAGAAAAAGGAATGCGCCACTTCGGGTCCGTTGTTCGGCTACTCTAGTCAGCACGTCTCTTGCAGGAGCCTCCTCAAGTGGAGTTACCGCAGCTGGGTGGCAGCGGTAGCAGTCTGGTGCCACCGCCGCCTCTGCAGAGGGAGATGTCGCACAGCAGCGCGGACTCGGCGCCGGTGGCAGCAATGCCTCCGGCGCCGCCGCCACAGCCGACCGACATCAACTACACAGACGACTCTCAGTCCAAGTCGCTCCCCGGGCTCACAGGTGACTCAGCGAAATGTACTTCCTTCTCCGTCAGTGCTTTACTGCGAGTCCCAGTGGGTGGCAGGCTGCATGCGGCCCGAGGGCCGCGTGTATGAGACCCCTGGTGCCCTATGCTACACGGTGGGACCAAGCGAGACGAGGACAAAACCATCTGCTGTGATCGGTCAGCGGTGCGGCGCTGGCCGATCGTAGCAAAGGGCGTTGTTCCGGTCCCTCGGGTTCACTTGGCCCCGTTGTGTAGCGTAAGGCCCCTGGTCTAAAGCCGCTGGGCGACCACTGTCTCGGTGCCCAGGTTGCGCTCATCTTTCCAGCCGTCCCGGTGGTGCCTTCAGCTTTTGCCACTGGAAAACAAACAAATGCCAAGAACCCGTCATTATTTAAAATTTTTGTTAGATGTTTTTTAAGGGGAGACACTACCCAATAGGGTTAACTTTTTAACCTATGGTTTAATATTAATGAAATTTAGAGTATATACCGGAAGTTGCAAGGCAGAATGCAGTGCAAAGTTTCATCAGTGTACATGAGTTGTAAGATAACTTGTAGTCATTTTTATCAGGAACACACCGACTTTGTTTAGGAAAACTATCGTTAGGAAACTAATGCAATACCGAACATTTTTCTACTCTAGATCTGCAGCAGAATGCCTAGAGAGTGCAGCTGTGAAAAGAAAATTTCTAAAAAGGAATTTACTTCATGCTAACATCGCAGTGAAAAATCAAATAAATTTTTTTGCCTTTTATGTCGAGCACAAAATCTAAACATCTTTTATAAAAGACATTCACAAAGTCAAAAAACAATTCCATAGTTGCAGTGCCCATAAAATTCCACTTAAGAAAAGCAATAAGCGAGTCTTTCCTCTTGTCCCATTAACAAATAGTTTTCCTAAAATGATATTAATGCCAAAATGTGGAACGGAGAAAAATGTGTTCAAAGTGTTCCAACCCCTACCTTTTCTTTAGCTTCAATGGACCGAAAATAATTTATAAAAAATTAACTATGCGGTGTAAACTAATGAAACTTTCTGGAAATACTCTCCAGGTGCTGATGGATGTAATTACGACATTTTTCAAAATCAACTTTTTTTGCAGAAAATTTTTTTTTTCTGGGTAGTGTCTCCCCTTAAGGAATATTCTTTAGCAGCAACAAAACAAACAAATAAAGAATAGCTTCTTTGCCTCTTGGCACAATCAGTCAAAGGTTACGCCTCCTTGCCGACGCCAAGTCATGCCGCACGTTGACGAGAAATGTATTCGTTTGCTTCATTGTTGCCATGTGTCGGCAGACGTTTGGGTCAGGCCTTGTGACCAGACTGCAGTCAAGGAGATTGCCGGGCTCTAGAACGATGTCCATAGAACAGGACGCGCTCACAGCATTGCCAACCCATGCTCGTTGCAGGCCGGCTTTACGTCGCTGCCGTTTATTTAGGCAATGGTGCCGAGGAAAGCCTTGTCACAATGTTCCTTTCCCAATGAAACAAAGCTGAGAGGAAAGAATGGCCATTTGGGCGAGCCGGTGCGTATTAATCAGGATGTCTAAACCCCGAGACTGGGAAGGAAACTAGACGACAAAATAGGAGGTGGACAGACAGCGTCTCAATGGGCCATTTTGTTTGGAAGTTATGCGAGAGTAAACTTTTCGTGGAAAATGCCTTGGAAGTCGTAAAGCAACTTTTATGAATACGCCTCAATATTCTGGAAAGTTGGGTTAGTCCGTAGGAGGTATTTATACAACAAAATAGAACTAGAAAACAAAAACAAACACAGGGTGTCCGCCTCGAAAAAAAGCTTAGTTTTTTTTGTTTTTTATTTTCAAAATAAATTATGCATTGCCAAACTCTCATTCTCCAACTAAATGAAGCGCTAGCAACTGATTTTCTTACAGTTTTAATAATGGCTGCCGACGGAGTCCTTTGAATACGTGGAGCTAAATGGTGCGTTTTCAAGAACGGGCTCCATTTGCCCATTGAAATTTTCAGAAAATCACTCGAAACTTTTGATTGAGACGATGTTTAGTTCTGAAACTTTGGCGTCCGGTTTGGACCACTAGCGCTACGTTCGGGCAGAGGCCGAGCGCTCAGCGACGCGTCGTTTGCTTTTTGCAACGAAAAAAACCTACATTTTTTGGAAGAGTCACGCCGTACATAGAGTTCACGGACGGCGTTCCATCTGCAATCTTTGCCTACTTGTCCTTGTCCTGTAAGCGCGAGCTCTCTTGTCATTGCCAACAACATCCAACGCCAACAACGTCCGACGCCACCTGTGTCTCGCACCGCAGGCATGTCGGTCCAGCACCAGCCGACGGGCTTTGACTCGAGCATGTTCAGGACGGGGCCCCACTTGCTGGAGCCGGCCCCGGGCCCGAGCACGGTTCGGGTGCTGACCCCGTCGGTGACGCCGTCCACCTCGGTCGGCGGCTCGCTGACGGAAGCGGACGACCTCAGCGCGGGCTCCAGGGTGCACAAGGACAAGAAGAAGAAGAAGAAAAAGGACAAGAAGCACAAGCACAAGCACAAGCACCGGCACGACCGTCTGCTCGAGAAGGAGCGCTTCTACAGCTCGGGGGGGAGCACCAACCAGTCACCAGCGCCGTTCGGCGGAGGCGGCGGCGGAGGGTTGGGGGGCAACGGCAGCCCCCAGCACGAGATCATCTGAATCTAGGAAAAACTGTTTACGTTAATGTCCACCGTACACTGTGCGAAACATTTAGTGCAGATGGGACATCGGCGCCTTTTGAGGCATTGCTCGCAAATGGCGACAACGAAATATACGTTTTGCCCCCCGTGCTTATAACCCCCCCCCCTTCACGAGCACATTCGCCTGCATTGTTATAGTCAACTGGCAGGCTAGTTGGTTGCACGCGACGGAAAAAAAAATGCGGCGCAAAAGACGAAGACTAGTATGGACAAAGTCAGCGCCTCTCCCGTGTACTTCATCTCTTCCCACTTTAGCAGAGCAGACGCTGGAGAGGAGGTCAGAAAGCAGTGGGAGGAGCTTCCCACAAACTCTCGACCTGTCACCAACCATAGTCCCTTTTTTTTTGTGCCACGTTTTTTGCGTTACACATTGTTATAGCCCCACCCTCCGAGCTCCCTGCCCACCACGATTGGCGATTTCCTCCTCTCCCGCATTCGCTCTAGTAAAGTGGAGAGAGTGGAGGGTTTTATGGGAAGAGTTTGCCCAGTTCGTCTTCACCTGTGACCAACTATTGTTTTGGCGACAAAAATTCGGATGAGAGAGAAAAGCGAGGAAAGCTGCCGATGGTATGTTCGTGCCAACAGCGCTATATTCTGTACAAAGGGGTGGTATGAGGTGCGGGAGAGGAACTTTCGACTTTGTCTTTTCCAGAACGACCACTCCGTTTGTGTGCTGCGCGGATCTTAGAAGTTTGCAACTCATCCGTGCGTGCGCTCCACTGCTGCAATCATCCATTACGCGTAAAAAGCACGATGGACGATTGCTGCCACTTTCTTTTTCTCACTCTCTAGGAGTATGCTCTAAGAAGGAGAGTGAGGAGGTGAGGAAAACGACGCACTTGGTCTGCGCCGAGCAAGCACAGGTCAGTCGCGATTGCACTCAACATGACAACATCTATAATTGGTGCAGCCCCGATCGAGTTCAATCTTTCTCATTAAATGGGGGAAAAAGAAAAGGAGAGGATCAGTATTAATTCTGACCAATCCTTTTTCTGTTTGACTTACCAATTGCATTGGATGTTTTGTTTAAAATCCAAGGGACATTCACGTGCGGAATATTTTTGTGGGTTTTTAGGATTCGCACAGTATGTAGATCAAGTTGGAGTCGTTCAAATATGAAGTCATAAACCTCTTTAGTGCAGCTCTGAAAGAGTGGGCGAGCTTTGTTTGACCCCCTCGTCACCTGTGTGTCGTGTAAAGTTTTATCAACTGAACCTCCACTGAAAAACAAGAAAGCAGTTAGGAAAAACTTAACCTAAAGCCTTAATTTAACCCATGTCGTTAATCTAGCAAGTCTTTGTTTAGTCTGCGAGTGTGAAATAGGTATTTTAACATCTTATAATGTAAAAAAAAAAAAAAAAGACAAAAAAGTGGGGTTGGAGTAGAAAACTGGGAAGCAAAATTTTTCAGTTTCTTTGGCATTTGAATTGTGGGGGTTGCAAAATTTTTAACCCAAAGCACTAACCTTTACGTTGTGTTGCACAGTGTTCTGTCGAAATAGTAGCGTTTAGGTTTTGGTTTTTCATTGTACAGTGTGCGCACATTGCTCTTCATGTATTATGACTTATGAGGTCAAAGTGATGCTTTATGAAATACATTTATCTCCAATGTTTTTGGGAATCTAATATCTTTGGGTAAAATGATGGTCAGTTCATGATTGGGAACTATTTAACAGGTAATTAACGCAAACAATCATTGTAAATAGATTTTTTTTCCCCTCGTGTTTCTTTTTTTTTTTTTTTAACGTGAATGCTGTGGGATATTGTTGATAAAACCTATTTCTATTGTGTTTGCAGTTATGCTTCCATTGAAAGTGTGTCTGTACAATGATCCTGAAGTTCATTAAAAAAATAAATCTCCAGGACTCTCGTTGCCAATTATAACATTTAACTGGTTTTGTGTAACATTTGAAGAACCACGGGCATTTGCTTCGGAGTTCGTCGACTTGGCAAACGTTTTATTTAGTTTTATGCTTAAAGAGATATCTCAGGAAAAAGACGATCGAAATGTTATCTGAACTAGTTACATTCGCATATAAACAGAGACCTTCAAAAAGTGATAAAATGCCGGTCATGTTAGAAAGGTGAAGGTCACCCGTGTAGGATTTCCGGGTGTGGTGGTTCCGGCGAGAACAAAAATCTCGCACAGCGAGTCGGACAGATTAAAAGGGCACACCGAGCTCTCTGCACAAAGGAAAGGAGAGGAAACAGCTTTCTTTACGGCGGCATTTCACGTCAACACGAACACCACACGAAGAATCGGCGGAGGCAACGAAGTTGACCGGCCAGACTTTCTGGAACTCCGCACGGGTCAGGGATGCTTGTAGAGCTGTCCGTGGTTGGGCTCGTGTTTCGTCGTACGTCAAGCAAGGTTCACAGAGCGTTTACGATCAGTTTTGCATCCCAATTTGACTGTCGAAGCGCCCGGTCGGAGCGAGCAGAGTTGAGCAGCTTTCACGAAAACGAAAACATCAACAACCACGCCCAAGCCGCGCGGCGGCGTACAGCAGAGGTTGAATCGGAACGTTCCCATGATGCCCCTTGATTAAATAACGCATGCGCACTCGGGCCATTGCAAATGGCGGATTCTGTTATTGTTCCATGGCGCACATCACAGGGATAAAATTATGCTCGAAAAAATATCTCAAGCAGGTGAGTTGACGCTTGCACTCCTTTTTGCTGACATCGGGTAGGTTCCAAGTGTTGCGCGAATCATTTTGGAGGCCGTTTCGTCGGCGAGAAAGCTGCGATCGTCGCGGAGAAGCACGGGGGTTCAGACGATTTTTCGCGATCGACCCATTTGAACCTTTTAAAATTCGTCCGCTTCGAACGCGAAACCATTCCCCTACGCGATCGGTGGCAGCTTTCGCGGCGAAGGCGAGCATAAACCGTGCTCTAGGTCGCGATGTTAGCCGAGGCCAGAGTACACGCGAAAAGGAATAAAGCGGTGCTCATCGGGGGGCAACTTCGGCTGAGCTCCACTCCCCCCCTCCTGTTTGTTGCGTTGGCTGGGACGACCAACGCTGAAGCCTAGGCTTCGTTAGGCTTAGCGGAAAGCTCCGAATTTTCTCGGCGATTTCGATTCGAACGGCACGCAAAACAGGTCGCATTCAAAGCACACATAACCGAGCTTCGTGTCTGACTCGGAAGTGAGCCGTTCGCGAGTTGAAGCGACGCCGAGCGCCCGTGCCAAGCGTGTGCTCTCGGTCGACTCCGAGCCGATGCTTGGCTATCCCTTCTGTAACCTTCAGCGTGCGAAAACATCGAATAAATCGCAGTTGCCTCGCAAGCACATCGTAACCTAGCGTCCCTTTTGTGCGTTATCGATGTCGGCCCTGCATTAGGATGTTCGGTAGCTTCGGTGTGAGCGGTCCGAGGTGTCCGAACTGAAACCGATAGCTTCCCCCTCCTTCCCCCTCCATCCTTCGAGTCGGTCCCGAGTCCCTCCGTTCTGCATTGGAGTTTAGAAAACACGACGTCGTCATTGCAATCGCACGCTTTGTGCCCTGCCAGAGCTGCGTTCGAGAGCGGGACGCCTCATTTGTTGTCGGGACGCGACCCGGGCACGTTTCGGCGTGTTTTGAGCCACTGTCCGCTCTTCGGCCATCGATTACATTACACGGGGTCGTCGCTAAGCCTACTTCCCTGCTTAGTCCTAGCGTCGGCGGGTCGTCGGCGCGTACGGCCCGCGGCGGTCGGTTTTTCGCGATCGGAGATGGGGTTTCCAATAAACTCCGCGGCTATTTGCTCGCGGGCGCGCGGTTGGCATCGTGGTAGTTCGCTACCGTGCCCGATGACAGTTTGATACAAGTGCGCTGCGACGGTCCCGGCTGATTTTTCCGGACCGCTTCCCTGGGGAGTCGCGTGCGACGTCCCGTTGGGTGCCCGCTACGATCGCCGACGCTCTAGGAAAACCAAGGAAAAGAAAAAGACGCTAGAGTCTGTTTTTTGGGGGATTACCTAACGTTGTGTTTGCGGAACGCAGTTTATGCGAAGTTTGGTGTAGTCTCTGTTCGAGTGTAGACTGTGTCGCGTCGCTGTGAATTTTGGTGACGCTTTTTGACAAGCGGGTCGTCGCAGCGTTGGCCTATGTGGCGGGGGTGTTCTTAATGCCCGTTTGATGACGGGCCCATTTTATTCCAACGTGGAGTTACTATAATGACTGCTGCTTGCGCGTTTTGAGTTTTTTGTGATTTTAGTAACGTAACACTTGGGAACCCGCCTGAACTTGCACGCCATGCCGGCATGTTTACGCGACCATTTGGTAGGCCCCGGTGCAGTTTTATCTTCAATTATTGTGTGGCAAAGGCTAGCCTTTCGTATTTGTTTCCTAATTGCTGCACAAAGCCACATTAGGCGGAAAAAGGGGCGGGGGAGGAAGGGGAGGAGGAGGAGGAGGATGATGATGATGATGATGATGATGATGATGATGACGGTGATAATTATTATTATGTATGAAGGAGAAGCTGAGTTTAGTGAAAACTGTGAATAACCCCTTGCTGAATGCTGTGTAAATCTGGTCGCACCAGCAGTTTAAAACAGCATCGGCAAAGCCCTATCAGATCAGCTGATACCGAGGTCTTGTCAAGGGTGTTAATGGTTACTAGTGGCCTTTCCATTAATCCAAGTGTGGTCTGCAGCAGCCCACATTTGATAGAATGCAGTATCTTCTTGGCACGGTGCGTCGCTCCGCTCGCTCTCGATTCTGGCGTCGTCGGAGCCACCATCGCAGGTGTACGTCCAACGTGTGGTCATTTGCGGTTTGGCCTACTGTGCCCCTTCGTTACCATTGCTTCATAGAATTTGTTTCGAGCATACTGAGCGTGTATCCTTTTTTGTCTGAAATGGGTCGCTGCGCCACATGGTTTTCCAGAGTTGAAGCTCCTGTTCTTCACTTCCGTTAGGTATTTTTTCCTCTGTTTTATTTGGTTTCCTTTCCCTCTCTCTCCGAAGTTGAAGAATGTCATTTTTTCACCAGCTGCAAAACACTGCGGCTAAGCCAGGCTCTGATAATGTGGGGCAGTGGAGTCGGCTGTCGGAAATGTGCGCGACCCGATTTGCTCATCTTCGTATGCCATTTGGTATAAAAATTATGAGAGCATATGTGGAGACAGTTTTGTTTCTAGACGTGTTCCTGTTTTAATTAACTTCTCACAAAATACCAGTACTTTTCTTTTTTTTAGTTGCAGCTTTTGTTTGTTTTGTGGAGTTTTCTATTTCGCTTGAAAACACTGCGGCACAATTCTTTCAGCTCGTACTGGTATTTTCAAAGCTGATAGCTTTATACAGTGCACGCCCGAAATTCAAGAGTTGTCGAAGGTAGGAAGCTCAATCTGGTGGCAGGACCACTGGAAGACTTCCCTGCCACAGTGATGTGATTGCTGCGCCAATTGCGCCAAACTACGCCAAGGGGCTAACCCTGCTACATCCTGCTACATTTTGCCAAAATATGGGTAATCTGCGCCAAGCCTGCGCCAAAGGACCAATTTTGGTCACCTTTGAAAGCCGAAACTAAACTGAGTACCGTAATTGAGCACACATGAACTAGGTGGTGCAAGCAGCCGTCCGACACAAAGTACCCTGCATCAATCGTTCATCCGATCTTGCATGATTTTTCCCGCCGTCTCTCGTCTCGCGTCTTAAAAAAAAAAATTCAATGATAGACGTGGACGTGTGCGGACGCTCGGACTTTAGCGTGCTGGGTACCAGCCATTTAGTCATGCTGTGAAACGAAACCATGTTTTTGCGCGGCGGGGGTTACTTTATGGGCTGAGGCACTCGCTCCTAAAAGCAACGGCCGTGGCCAAACTATATTTGGTCCCTGCCTTCCAGTCACCGTGGTCTCATGACGTCGGGTGTTGCTGTCCCCACGTCACTGAAGTTATGGCACTTTCTAAACTGAAACGTAAGGACTGCCGCATGTTAATCAATAATCCTGTTCTTGTTTAATGTGCTACTGCAAACATCCCTTTAGCTCAAAGACTGCTGTGTCAAAGTATTGATTACCTAGGTTTCTCTGGGTAGGCTTTCTTTCGGGACGTACCCCTGTACGTGAAAAATCAGCCGCGAAAGAAAGTTGGTGGAGAGAAGTGAGCTAAAGCAAAAAAGGCAATGTCCGTACGCTGAACCCGCACAGCGTGCTTATTTGTCTCGAGTTCAGTCGTTTTCACAAAGCGCTCCAAAAACATTTTGACCCTGACTCGCGATGTCTTGCATCAATGCACTCAACTCAGGTTCTTTTTTTTTTTTTTGTATGTTGGGCAGTTACATTTTGCATACAATTTTGGTAATTAGTTGAAGACTGAGCGGAGTGGCTTGGTTTCGATCAAACAGCCATCTCCGCTCGCACGACAATTTCGCATTGCACGGCAGTGGTTACGTGTTTCATCAGTTGGAGACTGCGTCCATTTATTATATTACTAGTCAACCTAATGATGTGTTATTTATTACTAAGCCGGTCATTTTTAAATAAATTTAAATATGTGAAGTTTGGTCCGATATAATTGTATCATTTAACTGAAGCATTGCAAAATATGTCATGTCATTGGCATTTCAGTTACATGTTGAAAAACTCCCAGGTGGTCTATCTCGACAATAATTGGTTGATTGCAACGAGCAATGTGTCTTTCGTTTGTCCACCACTTGAAATGAATATCTTTTTTTTTTTTTTTCCTAAGAATATCTGCTCCAAAAGCCTTTTTCGCTGCTCCAAAACCCAGTTTTGCTACTCCAAGACTCTGTTTTGGCTGCTTCAGAAGCTGCTGCAAAACGGCTTAGGCCAATCACATTACTGCTGCCATTCCCATCATATCGGTTCCCGTAGCTCGAAAAGTTTTGCGAAAACTATGTTTGCAACAAGGCAGAACAACTGAGTGGCCTGAATAAAAAAGCTTACACGGCAGGCCTACTTACTAGAAAAACCTGAAAATGTTGGGGGAGGAGGGGGTTTCAGGGAGCCTGTAAAAGTCCAGAAATAATGAGGCAAAGTAGGACCAGGGAATCTATTTCAATGCAGCACTGCCTCGGATTATTTTTCTCAAAATGTGCGTACAAAAAATTTCACAGGAGCTTACATTTGCATGCTTTCAAGATTCACTGAAATGGACAGTCTAACCCCTGGTTAGCTCAGTTGGTAGAGCGCTCCACTTGTAATGGAGAGGTCCCGGGTTCGATACCCGGACCAGACGGATTTTTTCGGTCGCTCACCAGTCACCTAGCTGTGTTTGGAGATTTATGTTTGTCCTTTGTCCCTCTTGTTCCCCTTCTCCAGGGATTACTTTCGTCGTTAAACGAATTGATTGTTTATTGTAAATAGGTTGATTAATTCTTCTTGACATACAATATACGAGTGTCTGTTACCTAGTAGTGCGCGTGTGCACACAAAAAGACAAGGCTATTGAATGTTCCTAACTAGGGTGCCTTTCTGTGTGCTTTGCGTAGGGTGATGACATTTGACCATTTGGTTCCTGGTGCTTTTGCTTCGGTGCGCATGAAAGCACGTCTCCTGGCATGAGCTCTTGGCATTGACAGCGCTACGGCGGAACTTTGTTACCGACTATTCCTTCGCATTTTTCTCGAAAGCACGTGCTGTCAGCATGGGGTACTACAAAGAATGGCATCACCCCAAACATAAAGACATTGAGGCACCCTCT